GCGCTTGACAGGACTAGTGGAGAAAATTAGGTACATACATATACTTCCAAATTCCGTAGAGGGCTATTTATAAGAGGTGTATAAGCGAGCATATGCAAAACAAGCAGGAAGAGCGAAAGGCCAAGAGTTTAAGAATAACTCATCTCCGGTGTCGGATTGGGGATCTCCTTCTATATCGGGAAGGGCGGTTCTTAAAACTTGTAGCGGCTCTTGGGACAATGGCTTCGTAGGATGGGCGCTTGGTCCGTTCAATTCAGACGCACCTACCACACCCTCTCGAGGAATCACGGGGTAGATAACAAGGGGGAGAGAGTCAAGCGGCTCAGATGTCCAGTCCTTGGAAGTCCATTTTTCCTCTGAAATTTCTCCGACGGCCTATCATGGGGTGGCGATGGAAGCGGATGGGCGGGGGAAGAGAGGATAATCTGATAGATCCAAACTCAATGCTAGTACTCGTCCCACGTTTGATACCCACCGGGGAGAAGTTCTCCGTGTTCCAAGCGCCACACTGTTGGTAATATGCACGACAGGATGGTATAGGATTCCTGACCCGTCATTTTATGCAGCGTGGAGAGAGCTGAACTGGCCTTTTGCAGGGGAAGTGGGAGCGGTATCGGATCCGAGAAGAAAAAGGCAAGATTGGATGTAGTAACTAGTATCCAAGTGATAAGGAGAGAGGGGGGGGGGGGGGGGGGGAATCTTGCCTTGAAGCGATTCTATCGCTTCATGACTGCATAGGTGGCTGGCTGTACTAGCATGTTAGCAAGGGAATTTGGAATCTGAGCTACACAAGACGCAGAAATAGGTATACTATCTGGGGGATGCAGAACAATGCAGTTGTTGTGGATCATTCTTAAGCGAGCATCCCTGGGACAGTTGGGTACTTTTGCTCCAATGCACAATCGATCAATCGAGCTCGTATGAGGCGCCGGCGATCTAATGCGACAGAAGTGGAGTTCCGGTGTAAGTGCTGCACATGAGGCCAGATATTGAATTCTAATTGTAGCGAGTCAGTTTTCTTATGTGTCGGAAATGCAAATACTGGGCCTAGAACTTGGTGAGTCTAACAGTCTCTGCATGCTGCACTCACAATTATTATAGACCGGATAGAAACAAGATGAGATGAGAGAAGCTGAGAAACATCCAGATACCTTGAGATGATATAGATCGCTATAAACTTCCAAGGTTCGGGCGTGGGGTCTCGGGAGATCCGTCCCAGTTCCTTGGAACTGGGAGGAAGGGATTTCACGTGGAATGACATTTTGAATGTTACCAATGATTGGACTGGAGAATGTACCCATCGTAGAATTACTTACATAGTACTTTAATTCCTGCAACGTATCTTGCTTAAGAAACAAGCTTAGGGCTATTACGTGGAGATTAGTTATCGCGCCACCGGCAGTGGAATTGTGGAATTCGAAGAAGCTAGGAACAATTATCAATAATTGGGCTTGGAATGTTTGATATAATTTGACATCACGGGGGTCTAGCGGTGTAAGGGAATCTTGCAAGGATCGAGTCAAGGATGAATCTTGTTTTTAATTGAACGAGAGCGAAACGCTGATCTCGGATTATATTCTGAGGAAATAATATAATGATATAAACAGTCTATTATACCAATTGAGGTCTTCAATACTTCCCGACTGCCGAATTGGAAATTTGCCCAGAACTCGGTGAGGTTATGCTTATATGATCTATATCCCCGGTAATATTGACGGGCAAACCAATCGCAGACTTCCATGAAATCTCTAAAACGTTCAATGTTTATAGTATATTCCCTGAGTTGATCGTCGGGACTCCACAGTGACAGTTTTACGGCCACTAAAGTTAGCGCCCATATTTGTGTACATACTATACTCCGTACATATGAAATCATTCTAGACCTCCCGGTTTTTAGAGATTGAAGATCTCCCACATTCTCTTGACCGACTAATTATAAGCTTCCCGATTTGAAACTTCCAGAATAATCTTTAGGGTTGACCGCTTCTCATTCCACTATTGTTAACTCAGCCAAATCTATTTCCCTTTCTGCAGCCCAACGGCCAACGGGTGTTCGGCATACAATCTCGGTAGCCAGCAGAGAAGCCCAACTTGCAGATCTTTGGAGTTCACTAACTTTCTCCCCGATTTAGGGCCCCCCTGATCCTGACCCGAATTAGAGCTATCCCGATATTTCCCCCATTTCCCCCTTTCCCCTTCCCGTCGGGAGCCTTCCAGCAGCTTGGAAACTGGGATTAGCGCCCCGGTTGTTGATGTGCCCAGAGTTTCTCTGGTCCATTTTCGACCCTCGTGATGTGTCGAACGTGGCGGAAGTAACAGGGATAAAGAGAATCCCATCCTGGTCTTACGTTTAAAACCAATCACCCTCACCTCTCCGGGCAACCCGCTTTATTATCTGTGCGTTATTTTGTTATTTAGTTGTTTTTTTTCCTTTTCGTATACTCCCCTACCTCCTTCTCTCACGTCGCGTCTAACATACACCTCTCATCCCTGCCCTGTAATTACTCTATTCAAGCGCCGTGTTACATGAGCGTCAGTACTTTGCCTGATGTGTTGGCCTTGAAATTTTTTTCCCCCAAATGGTGACCGCATAAATGCAATCGATCAGCCCAGAAGAATCGGCCTTTGAATCGCCTCCCCAGACCTTTTTCACTCCATGGGATAAGCAATACATCTCATTACTGAAGAATATGACCATGTCTTCTGAATCTAGCATGACGACCTCAAACTCGGGGCTTTCTTACCCGTCAATCTTCCAACTCAACCTAGAGATTCCCGCATTTTTCATGTCTTATCGCTGGTGGGAAGACGAGGCAACAACTGTGTTCTGGGCATTCGATATCCAAGAAATTAGCCGTGTGATCCAATTCGGACTCTTTCGTGACGAAAATTTCCCGAGGACTTCCCTTTGCGCTCGAAATGTGGACACCATTGATACCTTTTTGATCGCCCTATCCGAGCCCCATGAGTACCAGCTCCTTGGGAATCTCTCTCATATACAAAGGGTGGAGGAGATCCTACGCCGGTCGAGTATCTCTCCTTTCCAGGCAATTCCTTGGAGTTGGCTTCCACCGCAATCAAGCCCTACACTAGATGCGCGGGAGATCGCTGCCGCAATTGAGGCCGAGAGCCATTTTCACTTCAGGCAGGTTGCCTTTGAAGAGTTTGTACGTGCTGCTCTCGGATACAATGCTGTCTTTGTCGAGTGGTTCCTGAAGCAGCATACGGCTCTTTATATTATTCTCCGGGACTATCTGAGCGCCTATCCGGAGGACATCCCTGTGTACACAGAAGTGGAAAAGGTACGTTCTTTAAGTCATTCAGCTATAGACTACGGATCATTATATAGAGCCTGAGCTGACTTCTATAGCATCTTCGGTCACGGAGTCCATTCGCACACCGAGCACTGGTCCACTGCCTTCTGGCTGTGCGACCTGGCGGGAATCGTGACGTGTCCAAACTCAACACCGCTGGATTTGAATTCATCGCAGGCCCTATTCAGGCTTTATTCAAGGACCAGCCAGGAAGACTCACTGCCATGCTCAAGATGTTGAGCGTTTTGGCAATTCGATTTCGCCGACAGTATATCCATCCTCCTACGATGGATTGGAAGACTCCATTTGATACCTCCATTCCTTTCCTGGACGATTATCTCGAGTCTACATCCCCAAAGGATTTGGCCCGCAGCATGAGAGGCCTGGACGAGCACCATTTTGCCGAGTTGACACCGAAAAGCCTAATAGCAGAAGATGCTGTCGTGAAACAATTACAGATTCAATGGCGTGCATTGAGTACCTCTGTCTGGGAATGCTGCGCAGCCCTCCCAGACCTGATTCCATATCTGCAAGAATGTGCACAGGTAAGCGATCTTTACCCTAAAAGTCACCGAAGTCCCCAAAAGTCAAAGCCCTCTAACCGGACATCTGAACAGTCCCTCTTAACGACCCGTAATTATCATTCACTTACGGCTATCATCAAAGGCTTGCACACCTATTCCATTTTGACCACCCGCGCCGCCAAAACCGCTACCGCACAAGGAAATGTGATTACACTCGAGGCCCTGATTCCACAAGAAATTGTCTCCCTCATGAGCCCGGCTCAGAACTTTGCCACTTATCGCCAGCATTACCAAAAATTCCCCGGTATACCCTTCCTGATGCCTCACATCCACGACCATAAACAAAACGGCGAATCAGCCCTTCAGCCAGTTTTCCAGTACCTGCAAAGCACCCAATAGACCCAAAGAGGTCACCAGGTCATCGGCCTGCTTAGGCTTCTCCCCGGCTTCGGCTCCGGTGAGAGAGAAAAAAGCAACCTAGCTCGGTGTGTGCTTGGCTTGTGTGGCTGCAGGGTGAGACCGCCTCGCGTGGGTCGTGTGCTAAATATTGTTTCAATTATTTGTTTGTCTCTCTGGTCAGCAGCTAATGCATTGATGGTGTGTTTTCCTTGGCAGTCTTATGATGGGGTGATCTACACCAGATGACCTCAAATGCTATATTTCATCTGTATTTCTACTCTGATACCCATGCTAGCATCGGGCAGCACCGGGGAGTCCGGCGTTGCATTATGCTAATATGAATCTAATTTTCTATTTTTTTTTTCTGGATGACATTCAAGATTCTATTTACACTTGCATAAAAGTGAAACGCTCATTGGATTTGAAAACGTAACCAGGTCAGCCCATCTCCTCCACCCTAACGCAGTCAAGCAAATCCAAGCATATCAGCAGATCCACCCAACCACATCCCACGCACGCTCCTATCTCCTCTTTGCGCCGACCAAGAATCTACGAATCAGATAATACCCATTACATCCGAAGAGCCGCCTCAGGCAAGAGTAGGGCCAAAAGTCAAACCACGCCGATATGCAGTCTCACGCAAGGGAGAGGAGGTCGGAGCAAAAGGCCCTGCCCAGAATCTCTTTGCTTTTTTTTGGTTATCCAAGAAGAGATGACATCAGTACATATATTGGTCTGGCCAACCAAAGCAGCAGATCATAGTTCACTCCCGTTTTGCAGCCGCTTTAGGCGCCTTCGCATAGCCAAAAATGCCCAAGAAATAAGCGATCCTATTGACGAACAAGAACGTCGTGATCCCGATATTACCCCAGGTCAAAGCGTTCCATGCCGCAACGTCTGCAAACGCGTCCCAGCCCATCGCTAAGTATGTGGCGTAGACATGGCCTATATCGGCGATGGCCAGCCCGACTAGGTAATTGCGTAGTACTCTTGGCTCGGTTGTGGCGTGACAAACTCCTACGCCGACTAGGAAGAGGAGTGAGTAGACATTGCCGAGTTGGTAGGCGAGCGCGACGCTGCTAGGGTGCAGCGTGGCTGGGGCTGCGATGTTGGGTGTTTGCCCGGCGATAAAGCCTTGGAGGTTGTAGAGGGGGTATGCACTGCCAAGGGCTCTGCATTCAGGATAGTAGGATCAGATAGTATTCTTGCATGGGTGGGGGAAAGGGTTGGGCTGATCGTACAGTGAGATCGGCTCAAGGACGCCAAAGAGGATGTGTGGCCATGTTGGGAAAATGGTGGGCATTTTGGGGACCTGGTGGCGTTCAGCGTTATTCTTTGTTTATGTCTTCTCAATTGTTGTGCTTTGGCCCTGACTGTAATTCAGTCGGAGCGGTCTGCAAAACAAAGCTCCTAGTGCGGAGTAGCTTTACCTCCGCGGAGAGGAAGGCAACTCACGTTCTAGCGGACCACGACAAATATCAAGTCTAGAATTTCAAATGTATGATAGAATCTGACCAGACCAATGAGTGAATATCTAAAGGGAGGTCCTTTTGAAATGGAAGGGGGATCTCGACAGAATGCCAGCTGACGTAGACACCCCCCGGAGGCCCGCTTTACTGACACCCGTCACCGCCCGTGGCCGTTATCGTATGGATCTTATCAGAGCTTCATCTGTCCCTATGAATGAAATGTGTCAGGGACATCCAGGATGCAATCTGTGTGATAGCTGGTCGAAATGGAATCTAGTGCCTTACGGCCTCTCGATGAATCACTACTCCGCGAACTCCCTCAACTCTCTCTCCGTATCGCCCCTCTACGAGAACCAGTATCCTCACGAACCCTAAGCGTCCCATCACCCCTCGAACCCAATGCCAGTGGGGCACGGGACTCGAATAATATCTCCAATTCAAACAGCAATAGTGGAAAGATCCCTGCAAATGCAAAAGCAGGCCTACCGACAGTTACGGAATTTTTGAACGCTGCGCGTATCAGGAAAACCGAACTCTCAGCAGACTCGCAGTCAAATGTGGAACGTCCTCCGAGGCCGATACTTCCGGCTTTTGTGAATCTGCGTGCCTTGGAAAAGTTCCCATTCTCGTCATCCTTCGATGATGACGCCCTCCAAGGGCCCCGCAAGCGTCGACGCCGAGACCCCCAGGCTGATTCATTCAGCGAGCATCTACAGTTGCCTATCCCCCAGGCTCAGAAGGAGCAGCGCCCTCCTCCATTTGGGCCATTTGCTATTCTGAATGGATTGAATGAACCTCCGCCTAATGCTGCCCTTCTTCCACCCATTGAAGCCGGGTCTAATATCTCCCAGCTTTTGACTAAGCCCTCCGGGGGCGATGGTGCTGCCGACGCTGGGACGTTAGTTTCGGCTCACGTCGCGATCTCAGATGGGCAGCCTGCGGAAAGACGAGATGCTAGACTTGAAGAAATTGTCAGAACGTCTCTCAATGGGGATGAAGACAATGACAATAATGATAATAATGAAAACGTTGAAAGTACTAACCCAGTGGATCCTGATGAGATTGTCCTAGCTGTTCGTGAAGCAGAAATATCTAAGACCAGCAAGGAATTGCCACTTACTCCTGGAGAAGATGCGCCATTGTCTCCCAAATCCCGCGGCCGGTCTCGTAAGAACTTGAGGAAGTGGTCCGAAGAAGAGACGACTACTTTACTTCGAGGTGTGGTCAAATGTGGGATTGGCAACTGGACTGCTATTCTTGCTCAGCCGGAACTGGAGTTTAATCAGCGAACGGCCTCAAATTTGAAAGACAGGTATGCTCGGTTCTTGGCCAACTGTATAGTCTTATGCTAAAGTTTCGCCATGCTGAAGATTCCGGGTCTTATGTCCATGGGCGTACCGGTAAGCAATGCGAATCTTACCCTCTGAATTAATTCAATCAGAATCGCTAATTTTACCACAGCGCATCCGATCCCAACGAAGCTGCGAAACAACTACATGACACTCTCGCTAACGCCCTACTCAAAGCCAAATCAGATGGCTCTGACGAAACACCTGGCAAAATCCACCTCTCCCATCTAGGGCCCTCCAGTCAAGGCTCCGAGCCAAAATCTGGAGCAGGAACTCCGGCTTGCAATCCACACAAACCTTCTATCTCGAGTACCGTATCATCCACGCCCGACACAGATCCCGGTAGTAGTAGCATTGCCCAATCACAGTCGCCCTCATCAGGAAATAGCACACCCGCTCTCTCAAGCAAGTCCCGCACAACCCTCGCATATCTTGGAATCCCCGAACCACACGTCGCAAAATCCAAACGTCGCTCTCGACGACCCTTCACAACCGCCGAAGACGAAGCCCTCTTAAAAGGCTACGCAGTACACGGCTTCCAATGGACCCTAATCCAACAAGATGCGCGATTGAACCTAAGCCACCGCAAAGCGACAGACCTGCGCGACCGCTTCAGAACCAAGTTCCCACACGCCTATCGCGACGGCGGTTCTGTGAGCGGCAAAGCCCTCACCAACCAAAACCAGGCCCAGGAGTCGGCTGCAGGCGCGTCGACACCCCGGCCCCATCCTGTCAACACCGAACAATCTCCAAGCAAGGCTTATGCCATGACTCCAACTCCAACTCCGACTACCACTCCCCGTAACTCGGTGTCGAGGAGTCGTCATGCTGCTACCCCTTCGCAGTCCAATCTCGCACAGATTGATCCTGCGCTCTTGCCTCCGCCTCCACAGGGATTTTTGGAGCACTCGATGTATCTTCCTCCTGCTGCTGCCGGCGTGCTTTCATTCTCTTTGGATGATGGCTCTGGTGCGGTTGCTTCTTCTGCGGTGGAGACACCGTGGGAAGATAATACCCTTGCTCCTATGATTTGGGATGAGTTGACCTAATCAGGGACAAGCTTTGGATGTGCTATGTTGCCAACGCATGTCATGAATTTTTGGATTTCTTTTGGTGTTTTTCTTTTCTCATTTCATTTTCATTTTCTTTTCTTTTTGCTTTGCATTTTTGGTGATCTGTGGAGCATTACTACATCGCCTTTTATCTTTTGGTCTTTTTCATTGTTGATCTATATCCCGCAGTACACGATGGTTTTTGCTACAATTTCTATTCAATAAAAGTTTTCTTTTCGCAGTTTAATATCATTATAATCAGATTGACAAGGAGAAAGAGATACAACAAGTCTGGTCTTCTCATTGTGCATAAAGATAGCACCATGGAAGATGAGACCAAAATGAAATAGAAACGATAAATATGTGGCAGAAGAAAAACCAGGGAAAAGCGCCTGTTCAATTAAGATAACAAAGAAACCCTGTACTTGCTTGTATTTGCATTTGATTGGGAAGAAAGAAGCGGTAAATTCGGATATCAAACGAGCATAAAAAAATTCAAGTAATGATCGTTACATAGCATACACTGCGGGTACCCATTTTCAATCGCGAAAGATGTCTGCCGTGGAAAGGATATGAGAGTGAGAGAGCGGGAGAAGAAGGGATGGAGAGATGGAGATGAATGTGAGAAATGAGGTCCTAAGAGGCCGAATGCAAAGCCCAGCCAATCCCGATTGATGAGGCATGCTTCTCGTTAATGAATTAATGGTGAAGGCAATAGCCATCTACCACGCATTGCGGTCCCAGTTGGGATCTAAAAAATGAGCATTAGCGTATATTCAACAATACATATCCGCACAAGTGACTAGAATAACCCACCTTGTATGTAGCTGGCAAGCACCTTACTCCCCGTCTGCAGAAGAGGGTGTCCGGCGACGATCTGAAGGAAGCGCTGCAGACCCTCGCGGCGGTGCTCGATGACATCGTCGCTGAAGCGATTGGTGAATACCTTCCCGGGGAGCGGGGGTATCGTGACGCGCGTGCTCTCGCGCTCCAGGATATCGCGGAAATACTCGAAATCGGAGTACCGACGGCGCACGACGGAGTGTTTCAATTTGAAGGCGGGGATGTTGGTCCGGCACACAATCTCGTACGACGTGTACATATTGCGAGATGTGCCATGGGTTTGCGGGTTACGGACCTATTGCGGTTGTTAGTTTGGGGTGTTCTTTGGGGTATTTATATTTGGTGCCCGATGGGGAGTGGTGACGCGGGTTTCGGGTGGGGATGTATGCTGATTAGGGGAGATAGATATGGGCACGAGACTCTGGGGTATTGGGGTAGGGGATTGATCCAGGTGTGGGTATTGCGCCTTGCGTATCAAGTAACTCACTTCTATCTCGAGGAAGTTCTCGGGAGGTCCGTAGATCTCCTCGAAGGACTGCTGTCGCGATTCTGGGACGGACTGCATCGTGGTGGGGTTGGGGTGGAGGGAAGAGGGAAAGGCGAGCGTCCTTTTGTATTGTGAATGCTTAAATATGTGGTTGACGTGGATTATTCAATTAGACAGCTTGTCTCACTCTAATTCCCTGAAACTGAACACCACAGAGATTCCAAGAAACCCGAGCCCGGGAAGCTGGAGAAGCATCTCTATCAGTGGAGACCGGGGAAATAATTGATCCGCCATTTTTGGCTTATCTTTCTGACAGCCGTTTTCTATAAGGCTGCTACATACTTCATAACTTTCTATGCACGGAATTTATTCTGAAGGTTTTAGCATAAATGCCACTTATCGTGGATATGTCATATATAGTATGATCGGTGATGATCGGTTTTTTCTTCTTTTCAAACGACCAAGAACAACTCAACTGTCAGTTCCTATCTATATAATTTGGTCGATTTGTACACTCAATGATCATTCCGCGCAATACGATGAGATCCTTGACCTGCTTGTGTGTCTTCTTTAGGATGTTATAGCTGCATACTTAACCCGTTCAAGGAAGTCCATTAAGCAAGCATATGTGAAGGAAGAATCTAGTGCTAATAGTAAGATTTACCTCTATGATAATAATGACGATGATATAGTGGATGCTACATAGCCGTTTTCTTTTTCTATTATATATAATATATGACATGGTGGCTTCTTTCGATTATTTTCTTGGTGTTCTTAATGGGGTTTGCATTTGCCTACCTTCACCTGACATCTCTACCTATGTAACCCTAATATCTGTACACATACGCTGTAGTAACATACATCTACTTCATATGATAACTCTCTGCAAGGAATCTATTAAGTTTCCAAAACAGAATGCCACTTGAAGCATATCGCTAAAATAAACAAGTTCTAAATATCACCAAAAACCGATATAAAAATGAAATTGAGAACAACACTGTCAACCAAGTCAACTTAATAATACATAAGTGTATAACTTGAGCGACTGTCTCTTTATGTTTAGATATCGGGAGGTGGCTTTGATCAATTATAACCGAGGGGCCTGAGCCAGAGTTTCTATCAGAACTATTCAAAGGGGTTGGGATGGTGCTTTCGCTCTCCAATATAGACATGTCTCCTGCATACCATGTATATGCAAAGGCCAGAGATGTATCTACCACAGGCTTCTGCTTTTCTGTATATAATGTGCCCTTGGTTCTTGAAGGGTAAATTGAGTGCTGTACTGGTAGGAAACGATGTGATTCAATCACACCAAAGTTACAAGGGTATAGCGGGTAAGACCAAGAAGGTGACACAACTGGAGGCAGATCTATAAATGTAAAGCTTGGTCTGGAAGGGGTAAGTTCTGCATTCAGTCAATGATGCGGCCTTATGCGCTGAAGATGCTTATTGGAGACATTCGGCAGTGTGCCGACTATACAGATTCATTATAATCTATAGACCTCTGTAGAGAATAGCCCTTTGCACTGGAGAGCAAATTCTATAAGAATATGATATATTGGGGTGAAGACGTTAGCAACAATGTTCATGATCGGCGATAAGCATCGGAGTTAACATGGCATGACATAACCCAAAACGACCTGGCGGTGACCGAGGTCCGGACTTATCAACTATGTATCGATAAGCACCGTATCCCCTCATCTGCCACATCCACACCAATACACCATGAGTTCAAGGGCACCTGATAATGGGAGAGAATCTCCAAGAGGCTCAGAAGGGACCTGGCACCCTGCCCGCGAATGGCTGGAAGAAGACGAGCTGGATACCGAATACCACACCGCGCTAGAGCCGCCGTCCAGGGACGATGCCGCACGGGGGGCCAACATATCCAATGAAGATCAGCAAATGGGTTTTGGGGTTGCAGATGGTAAGACTATAAACTAGGCTCTCAGATAGTATACAAATGGACTAACCACTTTGTTGTGATAGATAATTCCCACATCAGTATCGGAAATATTCAGATCGAGCTTACAGCGGACGATTCGGACGGGAGTGAGGACACAGACGATCTGAATGAGGGGCATACGCGCGGTACGCTGCGCTGGAAATTTCCAAAGGATTTCACTAAAATTGCTCATGAATTACAGTTCCAGCTTCCCGGTTATTCGAGTTGCTTGCATCCAGTGGTTTACAACATATCCTCCAAGCCAACGGCTGGCCGACCGCCATGGAAGAAGAACAAGAGCAGTTGGAGCATGAAGACGATGAGTTAAGCGACGAGGATTTCATGCCCATATTCCGAAATCGCCTCCGCGCCAGACGATCTGCAGAAAGAGTTACACTTCCACCGGTTCCTAACCCGGAGGGCAAGAAGTTGATGGGCGAAGGTCATTTCGGAACGGACCAATTCTACGGCGACCGTCTCAGACAGCGCAAGAGATTCTTAGCGACAAGCCTGATGTGGCGAGAACTAGGCATTGATACTGATGGAGTGCGGAAAAGAGCAGGCCAATCTATCTCCCAGGTAAGCTGAGTGTATAGTCCGCGCGTAGATGATTATAACGAACAAAACTAACGCATACGTTTGGCGCCTGCTAGGGCCTTATTCCAAGTTCGACTGCGGACAGGATTATTCACTATGACACGCGGAGTTATTCAGGCCAGTTCTCGGATGATGGGAATTTCTTTTTCTGCTGCGCACAAGACTTCAAGGTTCGGATGTACGATACATCCAATCCGTACGACTGGAAATATTACAAAACTGTCGATTATCCGTTCGGCCAATGGACTATCACTGATGCGACACTGAGCCCCGACAACCGCTTCCTTATCTACAGTTCAATACGAAGTCAAGCATACATGGCCACCACGGACCCAGAAGACGACTCAGATCCTACAGTTTTAGATATGTCTACTCCGCCGGGCCAAAGTAGAAGACGGGGCTGGGGTGGCTCACACTTTGGGGTATGTAAAGTGATCCTTTAATTGGCATTTCACTGACTAATTTGGTGTATTTCTAATAGATCTGGTCTCTCCGATTCTCTGGAGATGGACGTGAGGTTGTCGCCGGCACATCGGAAGATTCGGTCATCGTTTACGATCTGGAAACGCGACAGCCAGTTCTAAACCTACGGGATCGGCATCAACATCATGTCAATGCTGTTTGTTACGGCGACACATCATCACCACACATCCTGTACTCTGGATCAGATGACACGACAATTAGGGTTTGGGACCGACGGTCAATGGGCGATGGACGTGAAGCCGGTGCCTTCATGGGCCACACTGAGGGAGTGACTTACGTTGACAGCAAAGGTGATGGCCGATACGTCTTATCCAATAGCAAAGACCAAACGATGAAGCTTTGGGATTTGCGCAAGATGATGACATCTGCCGATATGGAAAACATCGATCCCGTCGACTACACAACCGGCTTCGATTACCGCTTCGAACAGTATCCTGACCAATACCGCAGAAATGCCAAGAATGACTGCTCTGTTGTTACGTACCGGGGCCACCGAGTCCTCAAAACCTTGATCCGCTGCCACTTCTCGCCACCGGGAAGCACGAACTCACGCTATGTATACAGTGGCAGTGAGGATGGTAAGGTTTATGTGTACAACTTGGATGCTACCCTAGCCGGCACTATTGATGTTGGCCAAGCGACACTCAATTCGCGACCGCGTGATCCAGATGCATATGCTACAGCGTATGAGATGAGTGGAGAGATGCTATGGAGGACTTGCGTTCGCGATGCAAGCTGGCATCCGAGTGCGCCAGTACTAGCAGGTAGGAACTATATCCCGGAGTATTGGTTTCAGTAAGCATTGCTAATCCTGTGTTCAGCAACTTCTTGGAATGGCTGGGGCTTGTCTACTGGCACCTGTACTGTGCATTCATGGAATGCCGGTGCCACTAAAGACGAGGGGGATCCACCGGTTGGTAAGAGTTATGATGATAGATTACGATACATCCCTGAGTTCGACGAATACCGCGAGAATGCACCACATGGTCGACCCCGGCGTCCACTGCGCAGTCGGCCGGTTCGCCGATGGGTTGGTGATCAGGAATCAGAGGATGCAGCATGGTAAGATGCCTGGGGGTCTTCATTAATGTACTTTTGCACAATACATACTTCCATAGTAGTCAATTTCTCTTGACATATTGCATTCGTCATTTCATCCCGTCTACCACTGTAGGTAGATATGACCTCGAGCTGTTCAGGAACCCAATAACGAGAAATTGGAGATGGGAATCAATGCTTGAAGGGTGTGAATTAAGTAAAACAAGGTCCCCTATTGGTACAGGATGCGAAAAACGGTGGTATCTCATAGATAGCGATCATGCTCTGCCTCCTATCGCTCGCCAAAAAAAGCGCCAAGTGGCTCGTGGGGATGGCCACGGAAATTCAAAACGTAAAAGGAAAAGTGGTTTGCAGTGTGGGAAGGCTCGTAGTCCAGGGTGGTTTGGGGGTTCCCCACGGGGTAGGTCGTGGCATTTAGTTGAGATGATAGAGCGGTGTCCTCTGGGGTTGCCTGTAATTCAGGACATCTTGCCCATGTGTCTTATCGTTCTTCGTCTCTTCCCGCCCGCAGAGGTTTCCCATTATCAACCTTCTCCCATCTCTCTCAACCTGTCAGATGGTTTGAGTGCCTCTTGACTTAGGCGCCACCAACCAGCACTTGGTTGACGGGAATGTGAACTATAACAAGCGGGTTAATACAAGCTATGCATCCTGCATGTGCGGATTTAGATCCGCATTCTGGAACACGTACTCAACTTGACGAAGTAGCCAATGGCTCCCTATCGGCGATGTCAGCTATACCGCCTTGAAATACAATCCAGGGGTCACCACAATGGTACAACACATACCATAACAAGGAAACCCATGCCAACAGCCTGGCTGATCTTGATGAATTCACGCTTGTCGGCTATTGGAAGGTCAGCGTGTCATGAACTCGCAATATGATTAGAATGACTGTCGATCGACATACGCTTGGTGCAGCGGCGCACGAATTGGGAACCCTCCCGGATGAAATCCTTAGGGATATCAGCAAGCTCTTGGAAAGTCTCAGACATGATTGCGAAGAAAAGCAGGGTAAATTTGGCAATAAAAGCTGAAGAAGATTGGGTCGCGAACAAGAAGAAGAACAGGTGGTTTCTCCGGAATGACTTGGCCTTTCTGGGGGACTGGATAATATTTGTTCCAGCTCCAGCTCCCCCAAGTCTGGCCCGCGATTACATCGCCATCGCCATCGTCTTCTTGTCCAGATATACTCAATCAAATCACTGGCGTCGAGAAGGAACTCACGAATTGACATATCTACTTTCGGCGTGCGCGTTATACCCCTCGCCGTCAACGCTTTCCATTAAAGCCCTTTCCCTTGTTTCACTCTCCTGTTCTCTAACCAAATCCCCTCTATCCACATCTTCGTTAAATCGTTGCCTGTCTGTGGCAACCTGCGCTTCATTTCTCTTCTCTAATTTGTATCCGATCATTCGCGGAACAACCCTGATTCCCATCTTCTGTACACCGCGTCTGCAGCTCGCGAAAGTCTTGTTCTACCGGAAGCGCTTCCTTCGCTTCGGATTGTACGTATTTTCTGGCCTCCTGTCTTCATGTCTGTCATTCCTATGTTACCCTTCGGGGGCTTTGGCCAATTTTCCGTTCGCTTTACCTGTGAGGACTTGTCCAACGAGCTGTTGGGAGCTATTACGGGAATCGCGCTACCCCTGCACTGATCGCGGCTTTTTATGTTTTTTTTTTCTCAATGCTAATTGGTGGCTTGTGTCTGCAGACATGCACTTTTCTTGACTTGCTCAGAAGCGGAAAGGACCAAGAAGAAGAAGAAGAAGAAGAAGGGCCTGTACTATCGAACTTCAGATATTCAGGCAATTTCAATACTTTCTTTGAGATTCAGTCCCCGGAAGAGGATACTAATTTAGTTCGAAATGGCTACCGACGACGATAACTTCGATATTGACATCTACGGTGACGGCACTTACAATGCCAATCTGGAGGATTCCGAGCTCGTTCTCGACGCGCCCGAGAATCAGCCTGATTCCAGCACCGGATCATCCAACACCGCCAAGCAGGAGACCACTGCTCCCACTCAGAACCAGCAGCAGAACAACAATGGAGCTCCATCGGCCCCTCAGCAGCAAACTCCCCACAGTCTGCCTGCCCCTCCCCAGGGAGTCAAGCGAAAGGAATACGAGGACCAATCGGTGGATCCCGATGCCACAACTGCGTTGCTGATCTCGGATCTATCCTGGTGGACAACCGACGATGACATTCGCGGCTGGGTCAACCAGGCCGGCGTTGAGGATCAGTTGAAGGATGTGACCTTCAGCGAGCATAAAGTCAATGGCAAGAGCAAGGGGTAAGGGAACATTTTATACTCAGGACGCGCGTAAACGCGCGTAAACATATCAAACATGTATACTAACATATTAAACCCCAATAGTCAAGCATTTGTCGAGTTCAGCACCGCACAGGCAGCGACCGCGACCAAGCACAGTATCGAAAGAAATGGTGGTCCCACGCGCAAACACACTGTGCACTACACCACCCCACACCAGAACCCGTTTAAGACTCTCCCCAAGGATACACCGATGCGCAATGCTGGCGGTCGCGGTGGCGGCGCAGCCCACAACCCTGGCAGCAACCCCAACTACGGCATGAACAACCACACTGGTGGCGGATTCCGCGGCCGCGGCGGCTTCAACAACCGCGGCATGGGTGGGAACATGAACAACAACTTTAACAACCGCGGTAACTTCAACCCCATGGGTGGATTCCAAGGTGGTGGCGCGCCCAACCCCATGATGGGTGGCTTCCAGGGCGCCCCGATGGGCGGCATGCAGAACTACGGGTTCAACAACCGCGGCAACATGATGGGTGGTGGCATGCGTGGTGGAGCTGGTATGCGCGGCGGTCGTGGTGGAAACGCTATGGGCGGTGGCCCCAACATGATGGGTATGCCAACTATGACTCCCCCCATGGGTGGCATGGGCATGAACCCGATGGCTGGTATGAACCCCATGATGGGCGGCGGCATGGCAGGTGGTATGGGAGGCAACATGCCGATGCAAGGTAAGTGATTCCGATATACTGACCATTCTTTCGGTTCTATCCTGACTTTTTCTAGGGCAACAAGGTTTCCAAGGCCCCAACCCCGGATTTAATCAGGGCTACTACAACCCTAACAACCCCAACAATCAGAACGCTGGTTCCGAAGGTGGTTCCTGGAACCCCCACGGTGCGAAGCGCAGCCGCCAAGACTAAGCAAACATTCGTTGCGTTTGGACCGCCGTATTAGGGTGTTTTTGCTTGGGAATTACGCGCGCGTCATTTGGCTCTAGTGGTAAATCCATAGAGTCTCTTGCTACGGATGATGGTCATCAGTGCGGATGAGCTTTCTTCAGATTGGAGAGGGAATTTCTCCCATATTCATTTATGGTTGCTTTCTCATGCTCAGGGAGGGAATTGCTGCCAAACTAGGAAGGTTGAGGTTTTCACGATATCATCTTACTAGTTCTGGTTCTAGCTAATTTTTCAATTTTTTTTTCTACGGTGTATTAGGATATCTCTTCTTTTTTTTATTCCATTTTCCATTTTCTAGATACAGAGTATGTACGTACATCCAAGTAATTAGTCAGTCCGGTTGAAAGACTCCACCCAAAAAGGGCACCAGATATAACATTTTCTGACATCACTTTCGTATCACCCAATCGTGACTTGAGAAGCGATATATAAGAACAATTAATATATCTGCAGGTACCGAGTAGCTGGTACTAGGACATCCATGCTGTACGCTCGATTTACATGCGAGGTAATGCAATGCAATAACCCCTGCATCAAATACGCAGTCAACCTTAGTTTGATATCTCTTACCAGATACAAGCAGAATACACTCCAGCTCATGTAGAGAGCATATACTTTTTGTGCATGCCCAAGGCAGACCAGACAGTATAGTTAGCCTGACGGGGCAGTGTAAGTAAGGCCAATCATCAATGCTGCACTGAGCAAGGGGTATACCGATTCTTGAGAAACCCTATCGTGGCAGTGCAGGTGCCTAGGACCGACACCCGAAAGAGTTTTATAGCCCTGTTCTTTCTGTATGCCCAAGGCAGACAGTAGAGCCTGAAGGGCAGTGCAGTAAGGCTAATAATTAACGCTGGACTGAGGAAGTCGTACACCGATCCTTGAGAAACCCTACAAAACATAGTGGCAGTGCGGTTGCCTAAAACCAAGACTGGGAAGAACTTCATAGCGCGCGAATCATATTTTCATTCCGGGTCCAATCTTGTGATTCGTAAAATGTTATGTAAGTAGTAAACCTCCCATGAACGCATGACGACTTTATGTATCTCCTGGAAGTTCGATGCCCAACCGCGCAGTATACAAACTTGTACAGGAGGGGTTTATGTAAAACGTAGCGTGATAATAAAACAATAGAAAATAACATGATAGGAATATGACAAGATAGGAATATGAAAGAGAATGCGTCAAACCCTTCCAAGGTGGTGCTGTGAAGCACAAGGGTAGAAATCTGTATGGAATGGGTCATGAGAAAGGGAAATAGGGTGCTTTTCGATACTCAGAACAGACTGGGCCCAATGCGACCCTTCGACAGCCAAGAATCCTTGAACACCAACAAAATGTAGATAGATATCAATCTCAGTACGTGGCTAGGGTCCGAAAAGAGTAGTTTCTGGCACGTATCGGGATTTATTCCGCTGGTCCATTGGGCTATTTTAAATATAACCCAATTGAGTTCGAAACTGATTGAGCAGTTCCGCACCTCGGTCCAGTAGAAAGGTGGAATCATTTCGGAACCGGAAGGCGACGTGGGACTGAGCCCTTGATCCGAATCAGAATCCGAGTAAGCATCGTTGGCGGGGGTGGCTTCAGATGTGATAGAGTGAGTGCTCAGCTTAGCCTTTGACTGTGCTGCCGATGCACGGAGTGTGAAAAGTTTCACGAAGACTCTCACTCGCGTGCGGAGGGGGTGGGTGGATCCGCTCTCCGGGGTCATCTGGAATAACATCTCGACTCGTTCGTTCGGCGATAGGTTCACCTTTGCGTGGGTTTTGTAGTCCACGGTGGGTACTCTCATGCACGGGCATTGACAAGAAAACGCCGGCTGGGGGATTTCTAGAATGACCGGAGATCCTTTGGTGCTGAAAACTAGATCCGTGTATAGGCCTGGGCCCCCCAGACCACCGGGGGCTTTTTCTCTCATTTCCTTGGCGTGTCCTTTGATGGAGAGCAGGTCAGCCGATGTGCCGAGTCCAACGCTGCGAAGTAACTTGGTATCACTTTCAAAGACAGCCGACTCTTGGACCTTGTGGCTGAGATCACTCAAAATTGGGTAGCTTTCGGGGACCATTGCCATCCTCGCATAACTGCCATCTGGGGGTGGGTTGCCCATGTATGTGTTGTTCATGCCGCCAAATGCGCGCGGATCCACGTACAATCCATGGTAATAGTCATAATTAGACTGTTGAGTGGGCATGTGTTGGGGCATTTCATAGTTCACCGATGGGTTCCGGTAAGGCAGGTTCAAATCGACGAGGGTAGATTCATCTGGGAGGGCTGGCACATGCATTGTCGAGGAACCCCCAGGTTGGATAGCACTCCTAGACATGCCGCCACATTTGTGGCAACGACGAACCGATATGCACAATTGACATGTGGTCATGGGATGATCGCATTGTCGGCATTTGCCCAGGTCAGGGGCCTTCTCTTCTGCTGGTGGTTTCTGTTTGTTCGACCGCTTGCGCTTGGTCGAAGGCTTGGATCGTGGCAACCCGGGGTTTTGTGGGGGTTGGGTTTGGGACTGCCCATCGGCTCCTCTGGGCGGGTTTGTCCTCGACCCAAAAGATGAGGGAGGCATGCCACCTATCAAGTGTTCTCCAGTGACATTGTTAGGTCTACAAGCAGCCTGTGGTATGGGATCAGGCTGCGCATTGTTCCTGCTGGAAAAGTCTCCGGAGTTTGTATTGAAATAAGCCGGATCCCCATTCCAGTTATTTGGTTGGTTAGACGGTTCTCCGTTCCCGTCATTGTTGTCATCGCGACGAGACTGATCACCGTTGGTAGAGACATCCCCCGAACCAGCAGTGATGAGACAGTGTACCTTGATGTGATTGAAAAAGACGCGCCAAGAAGGTGTCTCTTCGGGGCAAAGAGGACAGTTGGCTGGAGGGACATATCTCCTTCGAGTTTCCTCCACATCAGCCGGGAGCACACTGGTTCTGTTATGTCTGCAAAGATGTTCATGCATCCTATCACGCCGGCGGAGGACTGTGGTGCAGTTTGTTTCGGTACAGTGCCAGTCGCATTCGAGTATACCATGCCCAGTCAAATGTCTTTTAAAGGTCGCAAAATTTGAAAAAATTGTTCTATGCTTGCAAGGATTGCATTGCCAACATAGATACAATTCTTTGTCTGATTCTGCGGAATCATTTAATGACATGGGAGGTGCTGGGATCTTTGTGTGAGAGTAGGTTTTGATAAGGTTCTGCAACGCTTGAGAAAGCTGATCAGGAATTGACTCGCCAGAGGCGAGAGCTGTGTAGGCATGGAACACCTGATATATGGCACCGTCAAGCGAATCTTGAAGAACAAGAGGGGTGGGACTTGGTATTCCCATGGCGGTCCGACCAATCACTCCTGGAAGCGTATGGACGTCCCGTGCAGGCCGTAGGGCAGTGTTCCCATTTCCTAGATCATCTGCTGCTCTTTCCGTGACGATTGAGCTTCCTAGATCACCTTCCAAGGTTTGAGGAATATCACCATCCGGCCCATCATATTGCGGATTAATACCAGCAAGATCACTGGCGAATTTCTCTGGAGGGTTTGGCGCTTGACGATCGAGCTCGGGCATCCATATGTATTCCTGTTGGTGGAGGTCCGAACTCAAGCTCGTCACTCCGGCGGAAGATTGGACTTCTGAATAAAGCGGATAACCCTGTCAAGGATTAATACTCTGAAGCCAGGATCTCTGGATCGGCTTCCACTCACATCATTGTCTGTCCATTCGGATGAGGCCAAGGAGCCAGGGGCTCTGGCCCACTCTTCATTATTGAAAGAAGGGTCCATGATGAACAGGTGTCCTTGAGAAGGTAAATGATGTCAAAAGAAAGAAAGCTGCCCTTGAAGCTGAGGAGGGGGGGGGGGGGGGGAGAAAGAGACGGAGATAAGGCAGCTTATGTATTGAAGGCAGTGCTTAGCCCGGGTGAATCTAGGAATCAAGGAAGAATTACATGGGTGGAAGTAAAAGAATTTAAAAAAAAAACCCTAAGAAAGAAATCAAAGGAGGGAAGTACTCTTGATGCCCAAGCAAGTGAAGCGATGGTCTCGTGGGGTGCAAAGTTCTTGAAGGCAACCGATGGATCCATATGTAAACTTGCGTTCAGGCCTATGGATCTTTATTCTACTAAAACAAGAAACCCTTTTATGTATTCCATTTGGACATTCGGAAAGGATTCGGTGCTTCGAAATGGATAGAATTTCTATTAAAGTCCTAAGCTGGACTTAGTGAAGATTATGTCGCAAAAGCTCTATCTACAAAGACAGAGTCTGGGGATCTTTTGGAGAACGATGACGCAGGTACTCCACTAGGAATGTTCGAATGAGGGGAGAGAAAAAAGATGAAACAACTGCCAATAATAAAAACAGATGGGCTTGAGATGATGAGATTACAGCATGATTGGAGAGGATAAAAAAACAAACAAGAAAATGATAGGGCAATACTTCGACAGGTCGAACTAAAGCTATCTAATAGGATGTGTGAAGATAACTATCACTCGAGGAAGTACGGAGTAGACAACAGAACTCACCCGCTTGTACCCAAACCCAAAGTATCAGGCATCCGGCGACTCCGAACATACAAAGTCAATGGATCAGTCCAATACCTATGACGCGTGAATCTTTGATAAAATGTTTTCTGGACAAATGATATGCATCATGTTCGCGAGATTATGGGGCTAAATTTGAAAAAAGGAATATAGTTTGACCCAGAGCGGGGAAATATGAGGCTCTAAACCGGAGTAAAAAGGCTTTACCCTGAAAGGGTAGCAATATCCTAGCTTTAGAGGCTCTTTAGGGCACTTTTAGCGCAATTATCAAGTTCAAGGTGATTGAAAACCAAACTGCATCACCAAGATTAATTCTACAGGGGATTGGGATAAACCACCTCCATTTACATGAGCTCTTGTCCAGTTTTTCATTTCCAACGGTAAGCCCGATTTTCTTCCCGGTTCCTGTCCCAATCAACTCGCCTATGGCAGGTTTTTGGTCCATAGTGCCAACCAGGTGTTACGCGCAGAAGGTTGACCAGCTGCTACGGATCGAAATTTATACATTTATATATGTAGTTTCTTAAAAGTCCAGAAATAATCAAAGGTGCCCCACTAACAATATTAGTGGATAATTAGCCGTTATGGTAACAAAGTGGGCTTTATAGCGCTAGACTTTTTCTACGGAATTTGCGAGCGATTCAGATATTGGAGGTATTTTGGAGTAGGGCATATATCGCTTGAAAATGAAGAACTAATCTCATGCTTCTAAGGACTTGTAGGTTGGCGTGATGGACACAAAGACCTGCCGTGCTCGCCTTGTGCTCGGACGACAATCACATATGTACTTGTACTTTTGTCCGTTGCACGGGGATCCCATGATACGGGGGCAACTGGTTAAAGTCATCACTAATCATCCTCATTTTATCCCTCCACCAGATGTTGATTTTTCTCACTGCTTGGTTGGTGGTTGTTTCAGGCCAAGACTTCTTTTTTTTTTTTTTAAAAAAAAGGGCGTAGAAGAGGTTTAGATTGGGGGAAACAGATATCCAGCCTTTGGATACGAACAATTACGCATAACCCCAGAGAGGGAGAGAAAGGGAAAAAAGAAAAAGAAATGGATTACTACACGGCAGTACCTGCAGGTGTGAATGGAGTAGGAACTGAATTGTCTCAAGGTTTGGATCGAAGTGGAGAACCGGGTCAGACCGAGAGGTTATTTATCTACCATGGTTCATCTGGAGTTTGAACGCAAGATCGAACGACATTTCGACTTTGCTGATCAATACTCGACCATTCCAGAAGGGGGTTAAGGTGAAACAATATCCTATTGCTCGCTGGCGGAGAAATGATTGTGATGAATCCTACACTACGTCATGTATTACCCGGCTACAATCACCTTGTCTATATCTAGGGAAGAAAAAGGGGGAAACAACGCAATCTGAATATCATTCGTCTATATGCATAAGCTTGCACCCCTGTACCTGTAAAGAAATCAAAAATCAAAATCAAAATCAGAAGCGAACGAAAGACAGAAGGAAAAAAAAGAGATCAGCAGGAGAATCCCAGAAACCCCACTCCCGAACCGCCAGCCAATCCACCAGCTCCTTCCCCTAAGAAGTAGTCCCAACCAAAAAAAGATGAAAGAGAACCTCCAAACTTGCTCGCCGCCAAATTTGCTCGCCACCAAACTCCCCGAGATACCATTGTACAAAGTTTGATACAAAGCCCATGACCGAGGCCTAACTTTGAGGCGAGTACGCGGCTTTGGCTGATGACCACGGTTCAGATGAGGCGGGCGCCTGCGCCCAAGCCTCAAGCATATAGGAGCTTCCCTCCTGGGGCTCAGAATCAGATCCGAGCAAAGACGGCGAGGCGTCATTTTGGCCGAGGGGAGTAGTGTCTTGGCTAGTGGCGTCAAGTGGTTCGCCGGCGAGGCATTCAGACGACGAGTCGCTAAGAGAAAGTCAAGGTTAATAAATAATGCGAGAAGGCATACAATCAGGTTCTCGGTGGAATGGTCTCAATAACAACGGAATTGAAAATTGAGGTTACCGGGGGAGAGCGTGCGTGTTGATGGTACATGTTATCAAACTAGGTGACTTACTTTTCAGAGCTCATTTTGGCGCTTATGGAGGAAATTGGAGTATCAAAAAGAAGCGGTCACCGCAACTTTGAGGGAGGAAGATGAAATAAAGTGGATTGATGGAGTTGGTAGCTAGGGAAGCTATCAATGGTAATGCAAGAAAGACTAGCTTAATAATTGCTGGTGTAGATTCCGGAGAAGTAGTCGAGGCACTAGCTGTGATCTTGTAAAAGGGAAATGTGATGATTTTGGGGAGGAAAGATGTTCAAATTTAAGTGATTTCAAATGGATTTCGGAGATGTTGGTGCCTATGAAGGAACAGAGAACCCGGGTGCCGGGTGCAGAGGCTCATATTGCCTGGGCGAGAGACCTAGGGTATTTGGTATTTGGTATGGGGGCAGTGAAGAGGGTAGATAGAAAAAATCAGGCGAAGGGTCTCTACGATTGGATCGCCATACGTATGGAGTATGTAGACATCTATGGATAGTTAACTAACTTGAAGAATATGTTTAGATAATCAACATGACGCTGACTAACGCGTTCGAGCTACCTACAGAGCTTAGAAACTAACGTGTATCAAAAGAAATAATAAAGGGGAAAGGTCACATAGAGAAACAATTCGTGGACACAAAACCACCAATATAGCACACAAGCTACAAAATATTAAGTCTGGCCCTCGGCTATTGTCCCTGTATGGGCATTTATTGGGCGATGATCATATGCCCTTAATGTATAGCAACTACTGGTTCATGCAATTTACTGTGTCGGCTTTTCCGAAATTAGCTTGAGCTGCATGCCTGTACGTCAGGTGCGACACATAGGTATTATGCGTCTACTCGGCAGTGGATGTTTAAAAAACAATTTGATTCAAGTATGGAGTATGATTCAAACATAAGCAAATAAAGAAGCTATTGTTCCTGAAATCTCCTTCATCAAACTAGTGGATACATCCCTGCTCAAGGCGATGCGTTATACTTACCCCGGAAACATTATGTCGTCATCAGATGCAGTCTCTAAATCTGTGGCTGTGTTCGCCCAAGTCTAGACTTCCATTATCCAAGGGGTTTTTGGTCTATGCGATCTTGTAGTGTATATGATGTGTACACCGTACAACCACAGACTCGCCTAGACACCCAAATTTCACCTTAACCTTCAGCATCACCACCTTTACCCATATACTTCAATTTAATTTGAGAGCCCGTCCGCGGGGTGTGTAGAAAGTCGGTGTAGGGGTATACACACACACACTAGCAATTCTTTCGCACCCTTTTCGGCCCAGTGCATCAGAAAGGCATAGTTCGAGAATCTAGACCCTTGACCTATTCCATCAGAATATATATTAGAAAATGTGACCCGTCGATCTATAAACCCGTGGGGATGGTACTCCGCCACCGTTTGTAGTTTGCGACGTTAAAAACGAGGCGGATGATCTTCGAGTCTAAGCCCATGCGCGACAGAATGGAGCGCAGATCGCGGAGAATTTGCCCCATCGCAGGAGAGAAAAGTGTCCCGAGAACATTCCTTACCATTTTTGTATTACTTTGGATATGATTGTTCGCATTACAGATTCCTAGGAACAAGGCATAGGGGCTATGCTATCCTTCGAACTATCGCTTTCTAGTTGGGCTCTTGGGTTTGATGCCCGGGCTCTGAGGAGTCCCACGTATCTCGGTGTGTTTCAGGAAAAGGAGTCTAGACGTCTATGCAGAGATTGATGTTCCAAGGTCTTTGGGTCTAAGCACGAGATAAAATCTAGGCCGATCGAGGTATAAAAGATATAAAATACAAAATAATATTATTATCTCCACTTTATATGTACCCCTTTGCGTCATACAAACGGATTCTGAAACACAAAGGGGTTGGTGTTCGTGATATTTAACTATCAGCTGACTCTTCCAAAACTTTTCCGGAACCTTTCCAGGTTGGGTCGGGCACAGTCCTCGATACCTCTTCGCCCCAGGTGCTCCCAATGCAAGGAACCTAAGCCAATTACGAATCTGGATACCAGTAATCCACACTCCGTATCGCCCGGGCTTTGATTGGAAGAGGGGGATGAACGGGTGAAAATGGCCTACCGCAAGTCCAAAGTAACAATGTTAGACAAAATCCAAGCCTGCCGTGGCTTTTCTTCAACGGGGGGTGCAAGATAAGTCCGTCATCGCGACTGGTTAGAGCCAGCCCAATCACCGCTGGAAACAGGGGTTTGGCAGGAACATGAGAAGCCTACGGAGTACACTGCCAAATGTCGGTCTGGATTCTTAGTTTTTGGATCGGGTATTTCGCCTACACAATTTCAAGGTATAGTTTCGGGAGACGTAATACCGGTCAGATGAGAAAAATAGGAGCCGAGCAAAATGGGTGAGTGGGTTCTGGTTCATCACCAGGGTATAGCAGCCTTAATATGATGCCCGACTTTGGTTCCGGCCGGTGTTAGTTCGACTGTGATGGTATGGTGGGCGGTGCGGTTAAAGATTGCTGCGCCCCTTCACTTTTACGCCGTATCTGCATCCTGCATGTCAATGTGGCCCTGGCATTGAAAAAAGTACAAAGGTATTGGGGGCATTGATGTAATAGGTCAATTCCCTTCCCTTTTTTCGCTGTGCCACACTCGTAGGATTCGAAAAAAATGAAGTTGCGTCGGCGCGGAGCTAAGAGCTGTGGTGGTTGAGAAAGTCATCGTGTGATGCAATTAGCACTGCCAGGAAGGCTGGAATGAGGAGCGAATGAAATCGGGACGATTCTAAAGAGGATACGGTCAAATGGTGTACGTGAAGAGCCAATGAAGTTCCTCCTGTGCATTACCTATTCTTATGGAGGCATTCCTAGCAAATCTATTTCTGACATTTCACACTGAGGCCGAGAACGTGCCATATTTGGATATCTGAAGTTCAATGTGTTTAGCAAAGTAAAACGGCCGTTGTAATGCTGATGTGGCTCGATAAGTATAGCAGATTGTGAACTCGTCCTCGCCACAGAATAGTATCAATCATCATTCAAGATCAGAACTCGTAACCTTCAGATCTAGCTGGCGAGTATAATCACTAAGAATTGAACCATGAACCATGCTCGACCAGAATACAAGTGACTCCAAGCTGGGGCGGCCGATCAAGGCCAAGGGCAAGAACGAACAGAACTACGAACACAGGTCTAGAACAGTAGATCAACTCTTCAAGAGTTATGCCGGACCGGGAAAAATGTTGACATGAACTCGGAAATTTTTTGATTTTGTTTCATTCAGGGGAATCTATGCACAGGCGAGAGATGTGCCAGGGCATCCGAAACCCTTTGCGCTTCGTCTCATGTATCAAAGTCCATTTCAGTCTAGGCAAAAATGGAGCGAAAACCCAGTAAACACCTAACAACCGCACACACCGTTCCAATTCGATAACGAGCCCTTTAAATGTGGGTATCGTAGGCGATGGGGACAACGGTCTCGGGCTTGTTGCCAGCCTGCTTGACGAAGTGGGCCTCGCGGGGACCAACGGCCTGGCGCTTCAGGTGAACGTGGACACCCTTCTCCTTGGCCTCACGCTTCTTGATGGCGTTCTCCTTGACACGCTTGATGAAGTCCTCGCGGGAGCGGGAGTGCTGGACGTGCTCAATGCGGACGCTGATACGCTTCTCGAGGTAGCGGTTGTCGACCTTCTTGTAGAGGATGACACCGACGGCGGACTTGGTGACGTTGTAGACGACACCGGTCTTACCGTGGTAGACCTTGTGGGGCATACTGTTCAACTGTTAGATTCTCGTCTTCTCGTCCCGATTTCGCATTGCCCATGGTGTATGATCGCAGTGGGCGTCCACTGCGATCGGGCGAAAGCGCAGGGAGGAAGTTTCGGAAGTTTACTGACCCCTTCTGGACGGCACCGTTGACCTTGAGGTCGACAATATCACCAACACTAAAAATATCCGTCAGATTTCAATTCTTGTCGTTTCATTCGAGATTCGATGGTTTTGAGCGTACCGGTAGGTCTTCATGTAGGTAGAGAGGCGGATCATACCGGCCTCCTTGAAGCCACGGCTGAAGGCATACTGTTCAACAATTCGTTAGCACTTATCCTCCCTGAGGCCCCAAGGGCGTATTCGGTTGCTCCAAGTCGTCCTTCCAGTATGAAAAAAGACGTGTGTCGCAGAGGGAATCAGAACGTACCCGAGTGCCGGCGCGCAGACCGTACGAGTGAGGCATGACGGCGGTGTTGTGGTTGGTGCTGGTGGTTAATTGTCGACGGGGCCTTCAACACGAAAAAACGAGAGTGTCGGATAACAATTTGTGGGATGAGTGACTAATCAGCATATGTGGACCCTCGCTAAAAGAAAGCACACTACGCCGCTTTGGGCTTAGTCGATGTGCTTCCAAAACTGGGTTAGCGCAGGAATTAATCTTCGGCCAATCAAAGCTTGAATTGCTTCGAGCCTTCATCGACTTAAAGAGGTTGTTGCGTAAACACGTAATCTTCTTTCTTCTTCCTCCCTTCCTGTATCTATGTCAAACCTGCGGAAAGCACTATATTTCAAATGCCCTAACTTCTATCTATAGTATATCTCGAGTCTATCCTCATAATAATTTGTGTATTGGCTACATGAACGATGACAAATGGTGAATGTGCAGGTAGTGTTAGGGTCGAGGGGATAATGGCATTCCTTGACCATATCGCCGAGTTCTGCCATTTCCAGTTTTGCTAAGTAGAACGTTTCTTCGACCTCCACTGTTTGTCTGCGGTGGTCCTCCAACCCTCTTTTCCGATGGACTCGGTACGGTGAACTGACATGGTAACCACAATATCATCCTCTGAGAACTGTCTAGCAACTAGCAGCCCTAGACCCAGCTCTAGAATATAGACTATATAGACTATCACACAACGTAAATGGGCTTGAACATCAGTGAACAGACTGCCGTTCTTCCTAGGTCAACTAATTCTACAGTAACCACTAAATCGGGATGCTGGGGAAGACAGCCTCTGCCCATTGATTGCGATAGGCCAACTTAAGTAGTTTAAGAGTACTAAAATGACCTGAATCCTTTGGGCTCATATCGCCTTCACCTGCTTGTTATAGTGCAGGAAGCCACCATGCAAAACCCCAGTTTTGATGACCTGCCTGAGGCAACATCAAAGAAGGTCACAAGTCAGAGCTATACATCAAAATGTCTTGAAGCTCATGCTGTGTTCGAGACAAGTAATTGGTATAGTTAGATCAAGTAATTCGGACAAATATCTCAAAAAGAACAGCTGCAGACGAACATGCCTAGGCGATTGAAGCCCCGACAACCCTGGAATTCCCAAGGTTGTTCAAGAGTGGGACCCATGGACCCCGCCGGCAGAGGCTCTTGAAATTACATAATCAAGCTGACTACTGCGCTGGAGTATCCTTCCCAATTCGGACTAGCCCCTTAGGGCTCGCGTCGCGCACACTCAAATTCTCAATTCGTCCTTGTCCCTTCGACCTCCCGTCGACAACCTCCGCCCATCTAACCGCAGCTATGGCCCCGTGAGTATATCAGCAAAATCGAAGGCATTGCAGCATTCTAATCAATTTCCGTGCAGTCGCGTTTCCTCCAAGACCTACAAGGTCCCCCGTCGCCGTAAGTGAATTTCCAGCGAAAGTATCGATTTGAATGTTTAAAGGCTAACTCCATCGCAGCCTTCGAGTCGGCCCGTCTGTTAGTACTCTCCGGCCACTGACCAGAAGCGTGCTTCTGGTTATGTCGTGTTCATAATTCCTAACCTTTTTTTAATAGTGATGCTGAACTCAAGACTGTCGGCGAGTACGGCCTGCGCAACAAGCGCGAGGTGTGGCGTGTCCAGCTCACCCTGTCCAAGATCCGTCGTGCTGCTCGGTATGTGGAAGGAGCAATCTGTGATTTTGCGAGGCTTCGAGCGATCGGGCCTATGCATATCGAAATTTGGTGGACATGGCGCTAATTTTTCTTCTTCCCCACAGTGAGCTCCTCACTCTCGACGAGAAGGACCCCAAGCGTCTCTTCGAAGGCAATGCCCTCATTCGCCGTCTTGTCCGCATCGGTGTGCTCGATGAGTCCCGCATGAAGCTCGATTACGTCCTTGCCCTCAAGGCCGATGATTTCCTTGAGCGTCGTCTCCAGACCTGCGTCTACAAGCTTGGCCTCGCCAAGTCCATCCACCACGCTCGTGTCCTGATCAAGCAGCGTCACATCCGTGTCGGAAAGCAGATCGTCAACGTTCCCTCGTTCATGGTCCGTCTCGACTCCCAGAAGCACATCGACTTCTCTCTCACCTCTCCCTTCGGTGGTGGCCGTCCCGGCCGCGTTCGCCGCAAGAAGGCCGCTGCCGCCGCTGGTGGCGAGGAGGCCGAGGAGGAGGATGAGGAGTAAATTATTCCCAATATTCCCCACAAAATGGAGTACGGTCGGGTTTCGCTTGGGGCGCCTTCATACCATGGAGGTTCAAAATGACTGCAGCATAGCGTCTCATGTTATACGATCATGCAATACAATGAATCAAAAACAGCCGAAAGGCTTCAATTTGGAACCCGATTTAATCAATTCAATTCCCTTACTTTCGTAACCTGGAATCATCTATAAGCTTGGAATATCCATGGACCCATATATGTACAGTAGATCCTAAACGCCATTTTCCCGATCCCCACCCACTTAATATAAGCTCAATCGTTCGTTCCTCGTGGCATCGTACACAAGCCTAGGCTTGGCCCTGCAAACTATCATGTCTGTGTAGTCCCCACCAATTCTTTCAAGGTCTCTTCTGCCCCCCTGTACCAACGCCCCATCTCTTCTAGTCCATCGCTTTCACCCTGTTGCTTCTTGCGTTGCGCTTCACGGGCTTGCGCGATCGCATCTGACTTCCGTCGCTCAAGCACGCTGCGCTCTCTCTCTACTGCCTCAGCCTCTCGGGTCTTCCGAGGCAATGTGTTGTGCATAGTAGTCAGCTGACGGTTCAGCGCTGCCAGTTCCGCCTCACGTTCCGCCAGCAGTACCAAGGTCGCGGGGAGAGGAAGATTCTGCGACGAGGAAGTATTGTTAGGATTGGAAGGGTCCATGGTGGCTATCTGCTTAGCGCGGAGCTCGGCGATGGTGGACTCCAGATTCTCGATTGAAGCAGGCAGCGTTGAGAGCTGCGTAGTTTGAAGTTCGACATTCTTGTAACCTGTCACAGCCGCGATAACGCTTCAGTCAACATGTTCGTCGTCCACGGGTCATTGGTCACTCACGGCTTGCCAAGTCACGTCCCATTAATTCCATCTCCTCAATCATAATCCTTGCGTCTTCTTTCCGTGCCTTGAGCTCGGCTTTCACGTCCGCCAGTTGCGTCTCCAGTTCCATGTTTTCATTGTGTCCGACGATCACAGGCGGGTCGCCAACAATGGCGCGCAAGAACTTTTCTTTTGTTACTTGCTCGAGGTAGGAGAATCGCAGCTTGGAGAATAGTTCCTATACGAAAACATCAGTATTTGCTGGTCTGGGCAGCGGGCATTCGCGGTATTTGGGCTCATCGCGCGGACCTTGTAATGTGAAAGATCTGCCTCCAGCGAAGCCGGGGTAGGATCATCAAAATTTGAGATGGATACATCAGAGGTTCGCTTTGAAGGAGACGGGTAAGATCCCCCAACTTCGGTGGAAATTGGCTCGCTGATACGAATAATCGCGAGTCGGTTCTTCAAATCGCCATTCTCCTCCAGCTGCTGAAGTGCCGCAAGGGCTTCCGATGACGAGTTTGCCATGTTGATAGGGCCTGGTTATCGAGAACCTGGCCGTGAAAAGAAAAACCAACGAGGTTTGCGATTGCTAGCGAGCTTGGAGGGACCGAGTCCACCTGCGGGCATACAGTAAATAGATATCAAAGGCGGTCAGTCCAACTTTTGGAAGGCGCTTTGGACTTTGCCTCTCTCGGTGCTCTTTCAACTGAAGAGGGTTTTACCTTTGTTCTAATTTAATATGGCCTCCTAGTGTACATACTTGCTCTTGATTTGCATTACTTGCCTTCTCGGTGCACTCCTTCCACATCCTCAGAGTGCTGTGATCTGCGGCTCATCTGCATCATGGACGACGACTATGTTGCACAGCTCCTGGCTAAGGAGGCTAAGGAGAGTTCTATAAAGTACGCGTCCCAAGGACTCAGTGCTTTCAAGCCTTCGAGGTTGGTTTCGTCTCATTATCTGTGGTTGCATGAGTACAAGACTGACAAACACCTACAGGCCGACAAGCAATGCCCCAAAACCCAATACCCGCTTTCTACGAAACCTCATCAAAGTAACAGACAATCATAACACAGCGCTCAAGCTCAAAGAGGAAAGAGAAGCACGGGAGCGTATGCGCCAGCTGAAATATCAGGCCTCAGGTACTTCAGGTGCTTTAGCTCCAACGACAGACCGTTCTTCCAGACGATCTGATGATCGTGAAGTGCGAGGATCACAAGACCACCGGAGAGGAGATCGGGAAGATCGCAATCGCTCACATCGAAAAAGAACTCGAAGTCGTTCCCCTTCGGCGGATCGAGACCGGTCGCGGAGGCATCGACGAAGAGACGAAAAATATGACGAAACCGAGGAGAAAGATAAAGACCGAGATGAACATCGGCGCGAACACCAGGATCACGAGTCATCGAGGAGAGATCGACGGCACGGAGATAAGGAACACACCAGGCGGCGACGTGATCGGTCATATTCAAGGTCTCCCAGCCGTTCTCCGCACAGAGACCGAAGTACCGATCGCCATCGCCATCGAAGACAGAAACGTGAATCTGGGCACCGTACTCGCTCCCTTTCCCGCTCCCGCTCACCAGAGTCGTACAAATCTCGGCGATCAAAGCGGGAAGATGCATCGCCACATGGCTCCCGCCGTTCTCGCCTAGAACCCAGCACGCGGCATAGACGAGTGTCGCCGTCGTCTACTATAACTGCACGTCAAAAAGAGGCAGGCAACGAATCCGATCCCCTAGAAGACCTTGTCGGACCACTCCCTCCTCGACAAAACGAGGCGCCTATCCGCTCTCGTGGGCGAGGTGCTTATAAACTCAATATGAGCAATATCGATGCTCACTTTGCACCCGGCTACGACCCGGCTACCGATGTGCATCTAGAAGAAGACAAATTACACTCCCTTGGCCAGGAATCGTCTCGTCGCCCTGTCGCTGGGCTCATGACAAAAGACGATGACTGGGACATGGCAATGGAGGCGCTACGCGATCGTGAGCGCTGGAGGAAGAAGGGCGAGGAGAGGCTACGTACAGCCGGAATCGACGAGGCAGTCATTGATAAATGGAAGAATAACACCGCTTTTACGGGTGTGGATGGAGAAGGCAAACCGGAGGACGTACAGTGGTCGAAGAAAGGCGAAGGACGGGAATGGGATCGCGGCAAGTTCGTGGATGACGATGGCCATATTGACATTCGGGCTGCTTGGTAGTGTTCCAAGCTTTCTTGCTGCATGCTTTGATCATTGGCGTTTGAGGACTGTGCTATGGGTGATACCAAGGTGTATATTATAACTTTCAATATTTCTTGGCCTAAGCTTCATTCATGAATATTTTGGCTTGCTTTGTCTAAGCTTATACAAAATAATTATAAATATAAGATTCTTTCAATGATTCAATGTTATATAGACACTCCCTTTGGGTGAAGATATATATATTTCTAGAGAGGATAGCTAAAAATCTGAAAGGATAGCGAGTGATTTAGCTAACAATGTTTATTAATAAGCGCCTTGCCTAACAGCGAGCTAATAATTAATACCTATCTTGTATACTCCGAAAAAGTGCAGTTGATGTACAATTGTCCATGTCCATAGTTAATCTCGACCCGGCCCGTTCCGCGGCTTTGTCAGAGTGCGGAAAGTCCCCCGTTGATGATGATACTCCAAGACTAATTGACGAAATTTTGGATACAAGGCAATGCTTACTAGAGATCTTTCCTTGTCCAACTCGATTATTTGTACTGATTTGAAACCCCGCTGACCAACTATTATACCCCACCCGTACATATACCTGCAGTCTTGCACCTATTTCTTTACATCACCACTGCCCTCTTATCTTCTCCAATAACCCCATCTACTCACAATGACAGACGCATGGGCCTTCTCATACCCATCTCCATTGGAGGGATATGAAAACCTCGAGCCGCTATCCGAGTAAGTGTCCCATACAACCACATTGAATTGAAGACAAGAGACTCATTCTCTACTGCAGCGAGCGAACCGAAGACGGCAAGTCATTGAAGAACCCTCAGCATGGCGTATTAAGCAAAGCCTACTCGGAATTCCCAGACCCTCTTTCCAAAGGCCGAGAGGGAGGTTTCGACGTCCATATCTATCATTTCCAAGTAGGTCCCGCCACCACCAATCCCGGACAGCAAAGTCAAGCCACAGCGAAACTGACGCATCGACCAGTGCAACCCCGACCAAGTCACATACGCCAAAGCGCTCTACGAACGAATCAGACGAGAATGTAAGCAACATACTCTTCTAGCCCAGGAATTGCATCGCCTGGCCGTCCACTGCGGGGCTCAGTTGTTCAGTTCGATTGATATCTTGCTTACACTGTTTGAACAGTCCCCGAGCTTCGAATTTATGGTTTCTGGGACAGGCCTATCGGCCCGCACCCCGTGGCAATGTTCGAAGTGAATTTGTTCACGCCCGCGCAATTTGGAGCCTTCATTCCCTGGTTGGTTATCAACCGGGGACCGCTTAGTGCTCTCGTTCATCCCAATACAGTGGCAGTAGAGGACGAGAGTGAACGCAACCACACACAACGCGCGACTTGGCTTGGTGAACGGATTCCGTTGGATTTGAGGCTTTTTAAGCTGATGAAGGCGGCGCAGAAGAAGAAGGATGAAGAGGAGGCCGAGAAGGCGAGACTTGAGAACCTGTAGGATTAATGGATTGTCTTAGCAAGGTATAAATGTCATCAATGAAGATTTATAAACGGAAAAGTTTGTTTCACTGCGTATGGATCACAGCGTGTTGTGTTGAGGAATGTTAACAGATGATGTTGGTGAATCCTCCGTTCTATACAGATCAACCGAGGAGCGCCATGCATACCTCAGGATCCTCAAGACAAATGATAATTACAAATAACAATATTCATGGGAAGACTATATCGCTACGACTAACTCAACCTGATTCGATACCAGTCCGAACTTTGTCATGAGGGCTTCGCGGGCAGGTGACGCAGCAAAAGAACAATAGAGCAATGATCTTCAGCCATGAGATGTGTTATGCAGATCGTACCATTATAATAATCAACGAATAACAAATTGCGACTCTTATTACTACTGCATTCACCTGTTCATGGGGCCGATACAGGGCTCACATTCCTCAGGTTGCATACTGCATACTTTACCCCGGAGGATAAAGGAGGTAAACAGGGCACCTTCCAACAATCCCACCCTACCGGAATGCCACCTGAGTACACATTGGGGTGTCCACAGCCATGCCGTCTTGTCCGAGTTTGAAAATCCGAGTCAAAGTGCTGTGATCTGCTGCTCAGAACACTAGCATGATCCCCGTCAAGAAGACCACTCACCTCGAGGGATCCATGGCATCGCTGGAAGAACAAAAGATCTTGTGATTATGGACTTATATGACTTGAAATCCCATTTAACTGCTTCTCGCCCCACGGTATGTCTTCGATCCCATGCCCATGACGAGATCATGCTGATAAACCTTGAGATTAAACATCGGTATAAGTTAGCAAGGTTCGACTACTTCCCTCAGAGAGGGATTAAAAGGGTGTTTGTCGCTCTCTAGTACTCGCAAAGTCGTCACACAAGATGCATTTTCTTATATCGTTGGCACTAGCTGGTCTATCGACCCAACCTGTCTGGGCATCCAACGACAGGACTACATCTGATGTCCCACCATATGTCTTGGAATATGGTAAAATATCTGACACATATATTTTGATATTGATTTGCTTATTCGTCTTTACAGCACCCTTGGTTTGGCTCCATAGCCAGGAAACATATATGCCGAGCGATATCCAGCAGCAGGTCGATCATACCAGGCCCAATGTCAACTGGACAACCATCGAAGGAGTGCAGTCACCACTGAATCTCAATAATCTCGATACACTCAATTCTATGGGCAATACAAGCGTCTACCTAACCTCTCTAGAGGGCATCGAAGCCGAACCAGAACCAGCCTGGTTCCGGGGTATCAGACCAGACGCACAGGGACGAACAGTTGATGGTACAGGGAGTGTCATTATTATCACAGATCGTGGTAATGGAACCATTGATGCGTTCTACTTTTACTTCTACGCGTGAGCTCAGCTGTATTCTGGGATTGTATTTGTACTGACTTGATCCCAGATTCAACAAAGGCAGCAAGGTACTAGGCATGGAATTCGGCGACCATATCGGAGACTGGTAAGTGAAGCACAACACGTGTAGAGTTGCTCTGGCTAAAAAAGAAAAAACAGGGAACACAACATGATCCGCTTCGTCAATGGCGAACCCAAAGAAATCTGGTATAGCCAGCATGCCAGCGGACAGGCGTTTACCTACGCCGCCGTCGAAAAGAAGGATAAGCGGCCATATGCATACTCCGCGAGAGGCACGCATGCGAACTACGCAATTGCAGGGTAAATACAGATACTTTCCAAGTTGTTGAATGACAATACTGATATACACCCAGAACACACGACCACGCCATCCCGGGCTTCAACCTCCCTGCAGGATTTCTGATGGACTATACAGATCGCGGCATACTGTGGGATCCCGTGCTCAATGCCTATACTTATACCTACGACAAAACAACCGCTGCGTTCAAGGCTGTGAACTCTGAAGATCCAGTGGCGTGGTTAGATTTCAATGGGAGATGGGGTGACGATCAGCCGCCTAATGAGCCTGAAATATTTGGTGAGGCGAAAAACGTTGGTGGTCCCAATGGTCCCAAGTTCAAGGGATTGGATAGACAGAAGGTGTGTCCTTCCAAGTCGTGCTTTGTGCTTCCGATTAGGACTTTCTCTGTGAAAGCTTCGTGAGGGTTGGGTTTTATGGGATTGGGGGTATATTGGATTGATAGTATAGGAGCATATAGGTAGTTTTGGTATATACTGATAGTGGAAAGAGTGTTATTTAGATTGAGAGATTGTCGACCTGGTGATATCAGTAAAAGTCAATATGTGATAGCTCAGTTTCGTCCCAGCGCAAGGTATGCCGATCAAAATAAAAGGAGAACACATTAAGTGTTCCCGGATCACTCGAGGAACTCATGTTCCTCTTACGGATATCTTTTGCCGGTCTCTGTCAAAAGAAATATCCAAGTTCCTGCAAGGGAAATCCACCCCACTTGGGATCCACTCGGTTTTTCAAGGTAGAAAACGCAAGATGTTCAGGAGTAGGGAGTATGGAGTACTTCATACTCTGAGGAAACAATATGCACATTCATGTACCATATACAATAAAGCAAAGACTTGACAGAATCCCCAGGGATGGTTCGCGTCCAGGGGGTTTCTTTTGCCCCACCCCCATGACCTCTGAGCTATCTTAAATTATGGTGTTTCAGAATTTGATCTAGCTCGTATTGGAGCCCATTCGATATGGTTATTAAACGGCGTAGTTAGTTTAATTATGTGCATTAGATTGCGGCTTTTTGGGTAATTGTTCTGGAGCCGATGGCTTTGCCCTAGAGACGAGAAAGGTTAGTCTGTACTCCGTACTCCGTTCATATCCCGTTTCAGCTGAGGGCCACATTGGGGTGCAAACAAGACAAATAAATTGTACTCCATACGCGTATGTTGTAGTCAACTCTTCTGTTTCTCTTTACTCCGTCATATCCGGATACGTACGGCTCTCCTTAAATTGAATATATCAGATGTTTGAAGTGGAGCCCTAAACGGCCCCTGGGGCACGTGCCATTTTCCCACGCGACAAGAACGTGCTTTTTGAGTATTCAATGATACATTCCATTTCAAGGTTATTTCCCCAAGATCATTGGAGAGCCCAAACATCCCGTCTGGCGTTAGCTCCAATTGTCGGACGAACCGGCATCCAATGATCATACAAAGACTAGAGCTTCTAAGTGGAGAACAGCTCTGGACCGAAGTTGGATATTTTACCCCTGAATGACCATTTTCAGGTTATGGTCTCTATATTGATTTCAATCCCCTTAGTACTCTATAGTGAAATTAATTCCTTTCCTTCTTTTCCATCTCTCTCCAAGCGCCGCTGTTGCTGGATGCTGTGAGCAGGCCTATTTGAAATTCCAGAAAAACAAAAACACCACCAAAAAAAAGAGGAACTTTGAAGTTGGAACTTTGTTCAAGTCCTAATTTCAATTATTTCCCCCCTTCACCCACTGGTTGGGAGCTTGTATTCTGTTTTCCACTCTCGCTTATTCTCTTTCATTATTTCCTCAACTTTTCTGAGACGATACACGGGATTGGACAATTTAGATTGGATTCCACCGTCTAGTTTCAGAGCAGTTTCGAATCGCTCTATCCCGGATCTGAGCACTCTTAGCGCTGTTGAACTCTGATATATATCGTTTTATTGGTGAGTGGCCTGAGGTTCCATAACCCCTGACGGGTGAGGGGTGGGGGGAGTGCAATGTCCCTGTCGATAGAGATCACTCTAGAAAGGAGAGAAGAGAAGAAGGGGACAAAAAAAAGGAAAAAAAGAAAACTAATAAGGGAAAGAACAGACAAAACCATCCCGAAATGGCAAGCCCATCTACGCGCCTGGCGCCTGAAACGGACATTCACCGTCGTACCTCCCTCGGCTTCCTTCGTCGTTCTAAATCCACCGAACCCCTAGGCGACAAATCTACCCGCAGAAAGATGTCCAAAACTCAAGCCATGGAAGACGAACTGCGTCGTCAGCGCGAATCTTATGCCCCCAAAGTTCCTCCCCGCTTGCCTGATCTTTCACCCACCCCACAACTGGAAACTTTTGGAGGTGAGGAACGTGATAAGATCCCAGAACCAATTCCACGTCCACAGTCTGGAGTTGCACCCTCGATGGCTGGCTCAACCGATCCCTATGCGCGCACTGAGAGCATGACCCACCGTGGTCGCTATAGCTATGCTAGCAGTGCTGTTAGCACCGTCAACAGCCCTCGCCGCGTGCGCCGTCGCAAGGACCCCACCTCATACAAGTGAGTTGAAGATGTGACATCACCAAAAAAAAAATAAGAGCTAATGTGTTTAGTGTGCTGGTCATTGGTGCTCGTAACTCGGGCAAAACCTCTTTCCTCAACTTCCTTCGCAGTGCTCTGACCATGCCCGCCCATAAGCACCCTTCGCGCACTCCCGAGGAGGTCGAAGAGCTTGAGCGTCAAACCTCGGCCTGGGAAGGATTCACGTCGCAATACCTGGAAACGGAGTTCGACGGGGAACGTGTCGGACTTACCCTGTGGGACTCGGTAGGTCTGGAGCGGAACATCGCAGATCTGCAGCTGCGGGGCGTGACAGGCTTCCTGGAAAGCAAGTTTGAGGAGACCCTTGCCGAGGAGATGAAGGTCATTCGCTCCCCCGGTGCCCGCGATACCCACATTCACTGCACTTTCCTGCTTCTGGATCCTGTGCGTCTTGATGAAAACATTGCCATGGCTGAGCGTGCTGCCAATGGCACCTCCAAGCCTGCCGATGCGCCTGTGGTCGGCATTCTAGACCAGAATCTGGATCTGCAGGTGTTGCGCACGGTGCTGGGCAAGACCACGGTCGTGCCGGTTATCAGCAAGGCGGATACGATCACTTCCGCCCACATGAGCTTCCTCCGCAAGGCGGTCTGGAACAGCTTGAAGCAGGCTAATATCGACCCCCTTGAGATCTTGACATTGGAGGACCAGGAGGAAGAATACTCCTCGTCGGAAAGTGCGGATGAAGAGGAAACCGACCTAGAGAGTAAACCCAAGTCGACTGAGAATGGAGGCGAAGCCAAAGAATCCGATCTCACCGATACCCCCGGATCCCCATCTCAGCGCAGCGAGGGCAAGTCCACCGCGTCGCAGGCCAACCAGCACGTTCCATTCTCGATTTTGTCTCCGGACCCTCATTCCTTGGCCGCTGGAGATCTACCAGTCGGTCGCCGATTCCCCTGGGGTTTTGCTGACCCATATGATGCCGAGCACTGTGACTTTGTTCGTCTGAAGGACTCCGTCTTTTCCGATTGGCGCTCCGAGCTGCGGGAGGCCAGCCGTGTCGTCTGGTATGAGCGCTGGAGAACCAACCGCCTCAACCGCAACGGACAGCCGGCACCCCAGAAGCAAAACTACGGACGTCAGGGACCTGATGGTCGTCGCACGCGATAAAGCCCTTCCTTCTGTTTAGCTTTCTCTTCCCGCACATACCCCCATTCTTCGCGGCCTAGCACCTCGCAAGGCTTCTTTTATGTCATACCTTTTACCTTTCTGACAAAACGTTTCGAAATCCGGAACCTGTACTAGTGCTTTTCATCTATTGTTTGCACGGTAATTTGATTATCTTGAATAATTTCCAGTACTTCTGTAAATGTAGAGGCCCCTTGGCAATCTGACATGCGCATTGACGAAAAGTCTGCGGCTGAAGGGCGCTATCACCGACGATCTCGAGTTCAGCTGTAAGCCAATAGAAGCTAATCCTTATACAGGAAGTGAAGAACCCTAAGTCCAGGAATACGAGGCCTTACAATCTTCTGTCTTTTCTTTTTTTCTTTTATTTCACCTTACACATAGGTAGAGAAAAAGGCTTCATATCTACAAGTAGAATGGCCTAGTGGACACGATCACGCACAAAGAAATATCAAGTCCAACTCTGTGTGACCAAAGACCTTACCCTCAGAAAACAAAATAAAACTCGTTGAAACACAGACCAAAGATCAAAGATCAAATCAGAACATTGAACCCACCATGTCCCTCCAAGTGAATGACCCACGGTCGCGAACCAGATCCAAATCCCCTGGTCGCGAGCGCTCACGGTCGCGCGACAGCCGAGCCCCCTCTCCCTCCCACCGCTCGCGCTCCCCAGCCGTCGAAGCCCCCAGAACAAAAGGCTACAGCCCGGACGAAGAAGCCGACATCGAGCGCCAATACAAGCTCATCAGCGAGGAACGTCGTCGCGAAAACGACGAACCCCGCGCCTCACGCGCCCCAAGAAGCCCCCGCTACGACGTGAACCGCTCAGACTCAGACTCAGAGTCGAGACGTCGCGACGCAGAAAGGTCCCGACGCTACGATGACCGCTACGAACACTCGGATTCGGAGCGCGGGTCTGCTGCAGCACCTTCGTCGCGCTCTCATCGACGCCGACCCTCGCCAGACCGCGGAAGTCGCGTGAACCACGACTCCGACTCAGCCGATGATTTAGCTTACGGCGATGTCCCAGGTAGTCATCCTAGCTATGCGCGTCCGAATCGGTACAGCTATGCCCAACCCACGCAGTTCGCGGCCGCTGCCCCGCGACCGGGATACCCCGCTGCGCCGATCGACTGGGCCTCTGTGCCGGAATGCGAACGTCCTGGATACGTGCCACCTTCGTCGCAGCCTGCGGGCTCGGCTACTATGCCCGGCGCGTTCCCGGTGGCTTCGACGTATTCCGCTACCTCGGGGTCTGTGCCGGCGCCGGTGATTCCATCGCAGTATCCTGGTTTCCCCGGACAGGCGTATGCGACCAGTGCTGGCTATGCGCCTGCGCATTATCGGACGGCCTCTGCTACTGATACTGGGTATCCGGCGGCGGGGTATGCCAATCCCGGTGCGTACCAGTATGCTCAAGTTGATCCGAATGTGGTGAAGTATGCTTCGAAAGCAGAACCTAAGCAGGCGCCGGTGTATCCTGCTTCTACGAATGAGCACTATTCCAGGCCGCTGCCGCAGCAATTGCAGAATCAGTATTACCCGCAATCGCAGCAGAAGCCGCCGCCACCGCAGCAGCAGCAGCAGCAGGCTCCTGACCAGTCGCATCGGTATAGACCCGAGCCTGAGTTTGTGGAGATCGCGCCTGGTGGGAATCGGTCGAGTACTCGTCCGCACAGCCAGTCTGTGTCATCGAATACCCTCGCAGTTGCCGGAGCCAGTGCAGCCCATTCGGCTCTTCCCCCTGGTAGTCCACTGCTAGAGCCGTATCGTGGTACCTACCAGTCCATCTCACCGATGCCATCCCCAATCGTCATCCCCTCCATCCGCGACGACGACATCTCAGACTTGGAACCCCTCGACGGCTCAGACTCCAGCCGACGTAGCAAGCACCACCGCTCGCACTCCTCCGTCAGCGAGAAAGATGCCCGCACCCGTAGCAGCAAAGACAAGAAAGACAAAGAGCGCGACGACCGCACCGACAAACGTCTCACCCGCCCTACCCACGACCGCCACGACTCAAACTCCTCCATACCCGACGGAAAAATCCTCGTCTCCCCAACAACCGGCCGCAAACGCGTCTCCTTCTACGACGCCGGCCCAGACGCCGCAGCAATGCAATCCGCCCTAAACCACGCCCGAAACATCGACAGCAAACCCATCATCCAAATCCTCCCCCGTCTATCAAGCGACGAGATCATCCTCCTGCGCGCAGAATACAAATCCCGCGTCCGAATGCAAGGAAAAGGAATAAACATCGCCAAACACCTCCGTCTCAAACTGGGAAGTTCCTCCTTCGGAAAAGTCTGCTACGCAACAGCCCTCGGTAGATGGGAATCAGAAGCTTATTGGGCAAACTGCTATTACCAAGCCGGCACATCGCGTCGTGAACTCCTAATCGAGTCCCTGATGGGAAGGTCGAATGCTGCTATTCGCGAAATCAAAAACTCTTTCCGTGATACTAGATACGATAATAGTATCGAGCGCTGTATGCGCTCCGAGTTGCGCGCGGATAAATTCCGCGTTGCTATCCTGCTTGCACTTGAGGGTCAGCGACAGGATGATCGTGAGCCGCTCGATAAACGGCTTGTTCGTGATGATGTGCAGGATTTGCATCGTGCTATTGTCCGGGAGGGGGTGAGACAGCTATGATTCATATTATTGTGTTGAGGAGTGATTCGCATTTGAGGGAGGTGTTGCGTGCCTACGAGGATAATTATGGACATAATTTTACTAGGGCTATGATTTCCAAGTCGAGGAATTTGGTGGTATGTACATTTCCTTTTCTTCTTTTCGGTTTCCCAACCCCATCCCTCCTTCTCTCCCTCCAATCATACTGAATACATATACTGACATATGTCCAGGGTGAAACCCTAGCACACATCCTCAACGGCGCAATAAACAGACCAATGCGCGACGCCCTCCTCCTCCACCAAGCCCTACGCGAATCCCGTACCGGCCGCGAACGCTCAGAACTCCTCATTTCCCGGCTCGTGCGTCTGCACTGGGAACCGAGACATCTTGATCTCGTTAAGAACGAGTACAGACGGAGATATCATGAGCGTTTGGAGGAGGCTATTGCCGAGGAGATTCTTTCGTTGAATGGTGGGCAGGATTGGGGGGAGTTCTGTATTGAGTTGGCGCGGAATGCTTGATTGTTTTGCATCTGTGTGATATGACCCATGTCATATGTTTGTTGCTGGCTGTTGTGTGTGAGGTGGGATTTTTAGTACTTGCTTTGTTTGGGAAAATTATATCTTTCCTGGCTTTTGTTTTGTCTATATGTATTTGTTGATTGTCGAATGTTCTATAAAGTGCATTATCAGATAATGTCTGGCACTGGAAACCTTTCACGTTCTATTTTAGGAAGATTCGATATTCAATACTCTGCTATCTACTCCCGAGGACGTCAAGATGACCTCCTGCGAGACCACTTGTTGAACCTCACAACTAATTCTAAGGCGTAGTCGCTTAAAAGTCTCTAGAATGATGCAGTAAACTATAAAACGTTCGCTCTATTACAGATGTAGCTATATGTACTTTCCTCTGCCGAGCTTTCCTATCTTAGCTGCCACTTTTATAAGGGCGAAAGTCTCTCTGAGTAAATTTCAGCCCGGGCTCAGACTCGGTGAGCAGCTCGTTCTTCTTCAACCTGGTCAATATCGGAAGACCATTCTACCAATCGAGCTGAAGACATTCTGGACTGTTAGACTTGATGCCTACCAAATCGGCGCTGACTGGTCCAGTATTAGTCCGCTGCAATGTCATCTCGGTAACACGTCTGAATGTTTTGTCGAAGGCACACGACTAACAGATATCTAGGCCAGCTCGTTAAGCAAATGAGAGACAACAGCACAGTCTATGGTGTGTTATCCACGTATACGCAGACCGTATTTCTGAAGCGGGTCGTGGATTGCCGATTCCAGAGGACGAAACCTATCACGCAAACTGCCACACAGCCATCCGTCAGACAGTGCATCATGGCAGCCGCTATCCTGGCCTCTGAGGACACGGAGTATCACGAGTCCTCCGGCTTCAATCTAAAATGGTACGGTAGGAATCATTCTCCGCACTTAGAACGTATACTGATAAATCCTTTATGGATAGCTACAACCCCATATGGGCCTCCAAGCCTCGGCACGCGATTCCTCCTACCGAGGCTACTCTACCCCCAACCCTTCCGCCGCGGATAATCAAATTCCTCCGGAGACATTTCACTTGACAACTCAGACAATACTTTTTGGCGGCCACGAGTCCGTTGCGATAGACTCCGTCGAGGTCATGAAGTCCGTCCGAGTTGCTAAAAATAAGGCCATCTTCGAGGTCCTCTGGCATGGACAGCCCGCATTGGCCAAGTGTTGGACCTCACAGAGAAAATACGAGTGCCTAGAGAAGTCTAGATACATGCGCTTATTAGTATACTCCGAAAAAGTGCTAAGGGCAAAACGAGATGAATTCCTATTCCTGCCCTTTCCTTGCCGGTCAATTTTGCTTTCTACATCTGTTGATCATTTTGATTTGCATTGCTATCTTGCTATTCCGATGCGTTTCTTTTACTACTTGGGGTTTATTTAAACGATAGGTTGCTAGACTATATCGGTAATATGTACTCTACTGAGCAAATATCTAGCTCGAGCATTAATGACTATGTCACTTTCGCAAAAGAAACCAGCATCAATAATGGAGGCTACGAGCTAAAAGAGCCTCCATAAACTTTCTAGAATATCAACGATAATCTCAAAGGAACGTGGCGAGAATCTACCTATCTAATTGGTGCTTAACTCTAAACTCAATTCTTTATTCCCAGGATCGTGTTACCCCATGCATAAAACACTATAAAACATAGCTTAGTTTATGATATGTGTAGTTGCCAAGCCTCTGATCTATAAGGTTATTTATAGGGCAAGCGGAGATCACTGATCCCGACAATCCCGAGGTCCCTGCTAAGACTCCCCACCAATGATCCCCGCCCGTAATCGTAATCCCCGTGATCCCCGCTTGTTTCCCGGGCACCAACAGCTTGGAAAACTGGTCTCACGAATTCAGACTGCAAAATGGTCGATAATAAACTGATTAACAGGTTCATTTCATTTTTGAACATAGTGAAAGCAGTGTGTTTATTGAACACTATTGGCCAAACAACACTCCACCCAAATCACGCGCATTTCCTAATACCCAAGCACCCCCAAGTCCAATGTAGGAATAATTTCCGGTTGCTCACCCAAGTAGCAAAAATGCCTAGGACAGGCCCGTGCTAGTTATGTCCATCTTTATGCCATATTTCTCAGGCCTCGATCCCACTTCTTCCCGTCCTCGTACCTTGTCTTTTAAGTTGCTATCAGTTGTGCCCCGTGAAACTCCAATGTGACAGTCTTGCCCTTTCGATGGCACGATGAAGCGCTTCAGTCCTTGATAGCAGCAAAAGTCCACGAGCTGCTAAAACATTGTGAATTCAGTGAATGCAGTGACGAGGAGGTTGAGGCTGTTCTGCTATGCCCTAACATAACGATATTTTTTGATTCAGGGAGAAGGCCTTATCGTAAACTCATGCAGAGCCCCACGACACGCCAAAATCTTATTTAAACCCTCGGTCGCAAGCCTAATCTGCATTGTCGTCAACGAGAAATCGCAGTCCCCGTTATAGGCGCCATGCACGTATGGAGGGGCTCTTTATTGGGCTCATCATCAGCCTAGGTGAGGGTTGTTGGGGGTTTGTGCTGCGCAATTGTGAAGTTGATTTGCTATTGCATTAGCACTATATATGATGCCAGAAAGCCCAGTGTGGTTTGGTGAGGGGACAGCGGTGTTGGTTGGCGGATGGGTATGGATGGCGCTGCGTTTTCATGGTTGTCTACGCCACCATTGTAAATGAAGGACTCGAAGCAATTCACGTTGCAGGCCAAATGTGTGGGCCGGAATCGTCTGCCCAGGAGGTATTGCGGTAATGGTTTGATGTGGATGCGCCGCCCGGCTGACACTGAGACTTGATTGTTTGGGGGTTGGGGTGGCATTGGTCGCCCTGCTATCTAGAGTTATTATTGAATGTCACTTAGGCGCTGCGCTGAGAGGTCCATGCGGAGAGATTTGGTGATGTCGCTGAGTGTGGTGACAGGTCGTCGTCTCTGAGGGATGCTAGGAGGAGTTCCTTGAAGTTGTTTGATTTGCCGCGCTTGCTAATTATATCTATATCTTTGAGAAACAGGAGCTGACACTGGGTGTTTCAGGGGGTTTCTTTGTCTTTGATTAGGAAATCATGGCCAGGGGGATGTGCTGAGTTGATTAGAGACTTCTGGATGCTCTACTATGTGCTAATATACCCGCCACGACAACGCAAGGCACACTTTATTGAAGCCTAAAGATGTAAATTAGCTGATAGATAGTTGATTCCAACGATGTGCGCCTTGTTTTGTGTTGTTATGAGTTTCAATGTTAAACCCAATTTGCCGCTGGGGTTGATTCACCTTGTCTTAACATCCATCTTATACCCCCCACGACAAGTCAATAATATGAGCGAATCGCCCCTCAAAGAGCGAGGTGCGTATCACAGATAGTTACTGGAATAGCATATTCCACTGCGCAACTCATGGGCAGGCACTCAAGATTCCGATGGTTTCACGCAGATACGTCTTATATCCAGCAACTGGTCAAGAGTTGTGGATGCCCTTTATAATAACGCGCTTATAGCGAGGCAGTGCCAGCCATAAAATTCAGTCTATTATATCCATCAACGCAGCATTTTCGTTCGTCCCCAAGGTGCATCATCTTTCACAGAAAGGCCTCAGTCGGGGTATAAAATGGGGAAATTCCCACCAGAAATTTCAAGATATCCAACCTTATCAACTCAGTATCATCATAATTCCTTGACCTTTCCAAGTATCCAACATGACTTTTGAACAGTACAAGCGCAACCGCGACAGAGCCGACACCTTCATGGAACAGATGATGAATGGTGCCTCCAACCATGAAATTCTGGCTGAAGGCTTAGGTGAGGGACGTGAGAGATTTTCGGACCATGTTTATGAATTGCCTAAGGATCAAATGACCAAATCTAGCCTTCCCGATGTCGCCAATTACAAACTTCAACTTCATGCATCGTTCGACAAGCCAGACCCAAATGCCGACTATTCGGATCATTCCAATGTCTATCTTGTCGGAAGACCGAATAGATGGGCACGTGGATTGAGCCGGACGCCAAAACCCTGCCACTGGTCTATCTACACCGGGGGCCATGCCTATCATCTCAAGTCGGCGGACGGGAATCAGGGATTGTCGATAGTACTTCGCGATGATTCTAGCTCGGATTGGAAGAAACCACCAGGGCCTATAGTTGACCCTTTCATTGCATACCATATTGGGATCACGGATTACCACGAAAAGCAGATATCCCTACTTGCCAAATGGGTGGTCAAACAATTGGATCACCATGACCTCTCTACGGCGGCCTATGAGCAGTTTGCATTTGGGCTTGGAGTTCGTATCCTTCGTGGTCCCAGCCACACCAAAGCTCTTTTCGGAGATTTTTTACAAATCATGCAGCATGACATTGAACCAGCTATTCCTAGTGGATTTCTCACTGGCGTACTGCTTGCGGATCTCGACGAAGATATCAGCACTTGGGCCAAGAGGTGCTATTTAATCTATCGAATTGAGACTGATGCACGAGGACTTGATCTCTGCTGGAAAAGAGGGATACAAGGCAAAGTCCGTTGGAACACCCACGAATACCATCCTTTCATTAGGCCTTTAGTTGTAGGGCCGCCCGCCATTGCGAAGGTTCTCACGAAAGTGGGACAGCGCATTCCGGTACTGTAAAAGGCTGTCCCTCCACGATATCACAAGGGTATGCTTGTGGCGGCAATCTACCGTATGCGAGAAGGTTGGTACAAAGTTTCGCTGTTTTAGATGTGCGCTTACTATATTTCTTTCGATATAGATACCCCATTGCCAAGGGGCCTTGTACTTGTGCCCTTCTATGGAACTTTGTCCTTTATCCGCGCTACTTACAGAATGGACGATGATGGTAATTAACCCTTACAATCTTTTACGCACATTATACAGCCAAGTTCGATATTTACTGATACTTTGTGCCCAACAGAGTTCTGGTTTATGGTAAATGACTTTCTAAATTCTCCGTTGGTCGAATGCGTTACATTCAATCGGGGATTTGAAGACAAAACTTGGCTCAGAGAAAACCCTGACCGACTGGAAATGAGCGCTGAAAGCTCTACTGGAGAGATATTGCAATCGAGCAGTAGCAACATGGTCAAAAGAGAGTCCGACGAATGGGAATTGACTGTCGAAGCTGAAGCAACCGCTGGAGAGATGCTGCCACCAATTCAACCAGGTAGTGGCCCTGTTCTCAGAAACGAGGATCGGCCATTGGATACCTTGGGTTCTCACTGGTTTGAGCATAAGGGTGTACTATTTCAGGTGTTTATTGATATCTCTGCCTATTTTGAGTCTCCTGTTGAAATTTGAGGTTGTCGGTATGTAGTTACTTCACTGTTTGCTTTATGCCATGATCTGGCAAGCAGCGCTACCCAACACCGGGTAGGTGGTGGTGCATTTGGCACGGTTATAATGTCCATTCTTTGTGTTCTTCATGTTGTTTTTATTGATACGGGGTGAGCCTTCTTTTCCTTGTCATGTCCTCAATGTTTTCATTCAGTTATCTAGGAATGTTGATTACTATGCTTGCTTTTGAATTTAGTCAACAGGAGTGGGCATTAGTGAATCCATCGGGTAATTTGTTATAATCGAGCTGGGGTCACATTGACATAGTATGCGGTGATAGCACTGGACATTTGCGGAAATGAGAGTCTGTGCAAAGATCTTGCATCAAGCATATTCTCTAGGTGAACTAGGATTAACTGGTACGTTTCACGATCATACTTTCTTGCATCCTATTATGGGCGACATTTCATATATGTCACCTAGTCATTATAAGTTATACAGAAGTAGATTATAAACAGACGTGCCATATGCTATAGTCGCTATACAAGCAATTTAGCGGGGTCGGTGGATTCTTGATCGACGTGAGTATCAAAGCCTATAAGGGCAACTCCACGTGCCAAATTAACCTCAAAAGTTCGCTTCTAATTGAAGAAAAAGTACGGAGTACGAATTACACAGACCGTTGCTCTAGGGGGTTGAAGGTTAAACATATTTCCTTTTGCCTAAATGAGCCCCTTTATCCCTGTAGCGCAGCCAGTGTCACGCGATCCCAAACAAGTCACTGGACTCCCAAGCTCATTACGTAAATTATTATCAAGACAAGATCACGGGATGTACTTAAACCCTTCAAGCGATGGCACAGTAGCAAGGCCAATCATAAGCTAGAATCTAATGAGAAGGGAGATTATATACTTCTAGGAACGGACACCGAAATCGTGGATTTTGGTCATATCATATTTCCATTCAATCAGATGGCCATTTATGTCCTGATTTGTTTGCAAAATACCGTAGCCTAAAGGAAACTACATATCACGCAAGGAGGATTCAATAGGAAGTGGATCGTGAACTCCAAACAAGATCCTGCATTTACTGGCCCACGCGACCTCAGCTTATGTACGGAGTATGGAACCCTACGTCCAAATATACAAGGTACATGCATATCATCACAAGCATCCAGGACCGATGGAACTTTGAAGTCGTTTTGTCCGATCGGGCTGGGCCAAAGCTGACACGGAGAAAAGAGCTTCTCTGCAAGGGGAACCCCTCTGATTTGAGATCAGAAACTCAAGGACATCCAGATGTCTCATTATTTACTGCAGGTTCCCGAGACCGTACCTAAGATACCGTGGCTATTCAAATCTCTTCACTCTCTATGCTCTCATGGGTTGAATGCCACGCTGCTGATCGCCGTTTCCCCGCAAATATATCGGGCACTAAAGATCAAGGCCTGATATTACCTGCATGAAATCAAAGCCGACAGGTCCACATGATGTTATCATCAAGGACGTGCACTTGGAACTTCTCTTGACTCGTGCATTATCATTTACTCCAGGCCTATCGGCGATGCCCTCAAGCCTTTTCTTTTTCGTCTGCAGTCCTTATTTCTGAAACCTCTCACCACACTCTTCTTCTCCACACCTTTATTTGCGCCATGCCACTGTGTGGTCTGTCACCTGCAAGGCGAACATCGAACGAAAGTCAGATTCCCCCGATGCTCTTGTCGACTGACGCCACGCATTTTGTCGATCCGCAAAGACCGCTGCTTGTCTTCCATGCGACATGAAAATATGCCGTTACTTCCGAAAACTGCTAGACCGCGTTTTGGCCTTTGACTTTGAATCCGAGCCATTCTAGGAAAGTCTACAATCATTTACACGGCCCTTCCGCTCATATATCCCTGTTCTGACACCCCCTAACATCACTATATCCCTCTCTCAGCATGTATCCTCTTCCATCCCGGACGTTGACCGAAGTCAGCAGATTAACGTCCTTGGAAGTTATTGAGATATGCAGGTCTGCTGCTACCTACCTTTATTACGCCAAGCCGCTTTGATATTCCCCCATAGAGAGCGCATTCTGGCATGCGGGTCTCGGAGGGGCTGTTGGCTTCTCCCCCTCTCTCGGTAGATTGAGCTCGACTATAAAAATGTCGCTGACATTCCTCTCCTGTAAACAAAACGCAGATCCCGATCCCTTTCTTCACTCGTCCTGTCAGAGTGCCGTGCATCCGAGCTCCTGAGAGCTGATTTCCCCTTTCTGCAAATAAATAACACAGCGGGCTTTCCTGAATTGTATTTTGTGTATCTTACATCTCTCCCGTCCAACTCTGTCATAATGCAGCTGTATCGCCTCGGTCTGCTGGTCGCTTCCTTTGTTGTCTCTATTGGGGCACAGTCGACTTTCTCCCCTGCCCGTCCCCCAGCCATACCCCTCGCTGTCAGGTCACCGTACCTGAGCACTTGGCTTAACGTAGGAAGTGATGGTGGTAATGGCGGGTACTTGGCTGGTCAATGGCCTGTCTTTTGGCAGTAAGTTAATCATACTGCTTGAGCTATATGCAAATCTTTATACTAATGAGACGTGAAAAGGAACCAGGTCAATGGGTGGGCAGGTTTAATCCGCGTCGATGGGAATACCTATACTTGGATGGGCCTCCCTGGATCCAAAACTGTCAATCAGACGTCGTTTGAGTATACTTCGACCAAGAGTATCTTCACTATGAACGTGGAGAATAAGGTTGAAATGAAGATTACTTTCTTGTCGCCTGTTACACCAAGCGATCTCAAGCGCCAGTCCCTCGTTTTCTCTTACCTTAATGTCGAGGTCTCTTCTCTTGATGGTCAGAAGCATGATGTGAAAATTTATACGGATATCTCTGCAGGTTGGTGTTCTGATCTCTTTCTTTATAGATAGTGACTGACGAAATGTTAGAATGGGCATCGGGCGACAGAAATGCCATCGCAGAATGGGAGTATGGTACCACTGACGGCGTGGCCTACCACAAAGTACACCGACAGACTCAACTGGCCTTTTCTGAAAAGAATGAGCAAGCCGAATGGGGTAACTGGTACTGGGCCACCGACGACTCGAAAGGGATGACTTACCAGTCCGGCGTGGATATCGATGTCCGTGGTCAGTTTGCGCAAAATGGAAAACTCACCAATGGCCGCGACACCAACTTCCGGGCTATCTCCTCTGGCTGGCCCGTCTTTGGGTTCTCATCCGATCTGGGCTCGGTCGGCTCTTCGCCCGTCAGTACACTTTTCTCACTCGGTCTGACACAAGATCAAGCCATTCAGTACGAAGGTGCTTCCGGATATGGTCCGGTACCGTCCTTGTGGAAGAGTTATTTCGATACAGAGTTAGCCGCTCTTTCATTCTTCCACCATGATTATCGCGAATCGAGCAATCTCGCGAGCTCTTTTGATAGTAGGGTAGCCAAGGATTCCATTGACACAGCTGGCCAAGACTATCTCACTATTACTTCGCTGTCGGTTCGACAGGCATTTGGTGCTACCCAGCTTTGTGGTACACAGGACAAAATGTATCTGTTCCTGAAGGAAATCTCTTCCGACGGAAATATGAACACTGTGGATGTTGTCTTCCCAGCCTACCCGATTTTCTTATACACCAACCCCGAATTTCTGAAGCTCGTCCTCAATCCTCTATTTGAGAACCAGGAGGCTGGAAAGTACCCAAACAGCTATTCCATGCACGATCTAGGCTCGGCTTACCCGAATGCCACGGGTCACTCTGACGGACGCGACGAGAAAATGCCATTGGAAGAGTGCGGAAATATGCTCATCATGTCCTTGGCTTATGCGCAGAAGTCGGGTGACATCGACTTTTTGAAGAAACACTACCCTCTGCTCAAGCAGTGGACCAGTTATTTGATCGAGGACTCGCTTTACCCTGCAAACCAGATCTCCACAGACGACTTTGCCGGATCTCTAGCGTGAGTGAGCCCTTCCCCTCCTGAAGTTTTCAAAACTGACCGGCATGATTAGCAACCAAACCAACCTCGCACTCAAGGGCATGATCGGTATTGAGGCCATGTCAGTGATTGCCAAACAGACTGGTCACAATGCTGATGCTGCCAATTACTCGAGCATCGCCAGAGACTACATCACTCAGTGGCAGGACCTGGCTATTGCCAAGAATGCTAACCCGCCCCGAACGACCTTGTCGTACGGCAACACCGCTAGCCATGGTAGGTTTAGCCGTCTGTGTCGAGTCTATGAAATCCTGCTTACCATTTCTGTAGGTCTGCTCTACAACCTCTTCGCCGATGCCCAGCTGGGCCTAAATCTTGTGCCAAACTCTGTCTATCAGATGCAGAGCGATTTCTACCCGACTGTTGAAAACAAGTACGGTGTGCCTTTAGACACCCGCCACACATACACCAAAGGTAGAAGCCGCGATTGCTTACCGCGTATTGACAAATTACTCATAATTCAATAGGTGACTGGGAGTGCTTTGCAGCTGCGATCAGTTCAGTCGAGACCCGGGCTATGTTTATCAAGGACCTCGCGACCTGGATCAACGAGACACCGACCAACCGACCCCTGACCGACCTGTACGAAACTATTTCAGGAGAGTAAGTCAATCTACCCCAAGTACTGTAATGGTCCTTGCTGATGAAAGCTAGTTACCCTGGTAATCATTTCGTCGCTCGCCCTGTCATGGGAGGTTCCTTCGCTCCTCTCCTCGTCCGCTAGCGGACGCCTTCGCTTCTTGTCAAATTATTTCACTTATATCGCCTTCTGGCATTTCTCCCGTTGATCGCTTTCCTTCCCCCCCGAAGTCTCTCATTTGGAAGTTTTGATCCAGTATATCTACCACCAGTAACGGCGGAAGACGTGCCGGATACATTCCGTTCGCTTCGTTCATTCCAGTCTTGGTAAATGTCTTTTTCTTGCTTATACCCATCCGTAGCCTTGCCTTTTGGCATGGGCTGTGCGAGTTTTGTTGACATCCTCGAGTATACATCAGAATGTGACGATATTTGTGACCTCGGGCCTCTATTCGTATCACCTAGGAGTATGTTAAGATGCTTCAACATCGAGGCATATATCAATTTCATAACAGATCCACCAGAAAAGTAAGGGGTTACATCAGCAGTCACTATTACTATCTGTTGTATCACAATGGGCGGCATGATGCCCTTGAGGGATTTTGGAATCAGCAAGTAATCGATTGAGCAAGGATTATATTCTGCTAGTTAAATTCGAAAGCAGCATGTATTGAGTCCTCGACCAGAAATGGGAGGATCTATAGATCTAAATATCGTATGCACCCGACCTACATATATATGGGTCAAAGTATTCCAAAATGGTGGTGCAGTATATTCACTCGGATTTTCCATCCCAGGCATCGAAAGATCGAATCAGATCTGATAAAATTAGCCAGATTTCCTCAACGACACAATGAACGAGAAAGAGGACATACCATAGTAAAGCATCATGCCTTCAAGATGCACATCCAAGCGGATCCGCTCGTCCACGGTGTGAATATTCAGCGATCCACCAGCACGCGACGGACTCCAACGGTATATATTCTCCGACAGAGACCAGTAGAAGCGCGTGTCTGTGTTTCCAGTCATGACATCCCCCGTGACAACAACTGTCGGCTTAGATCCAGAGGCAGATTTGGAAAGCGGGTTCGAGTGCGATTCAAAGACACTACGTGCCACTCCAGCAAAGTGCGCCCACACCTTCGATGTGAGCGGATCTGTTGGGGAGATCGGAGCCGGGGAAAGAGGAACGCTGAGAGGAGACAAAGTGAGAGTACGGTCGCTCACATCTCCTTCCGTGGATTCGCTCACACCGGGGAAGGCAACCCGTAGAGTAAGGTTATGGGATTTCGCAATAGGAGTGATAAGTCGGATAGCACGCTCAAGAATTTGATCGGGCGTTTGATGCAAGGCCACGCGGTAGTTGACGTCCGCTGAGGTTTTCTCTGGCAGCGCGTTTGACTTGACACCACCGTGGATCAGATCTATCGCCTGCGACGTCTGCATTGTATAGCGGACTGCGGGACCGCGGGAGCTGGCAACAGCTTCGCCTAGAGCGGCGGGATCGTCTGCTTTCAACTTATCGGATAGCCAGGTCTCAACGTGGTCGGGTGAATACCGTGCCTGGCACTCCAGCATCCCGTGGGCCGGGTGGTTGGTATCCAACCAGGCAGGGAACAGCTCCTTCCGCTCAAGCTCGTATAAAATCTCCGCCATGATACCGATGCCGGTGTGCGCGGGCGGGATAGAGCTGTGGCCACCAGGCACGGCAATATCGATGATTAAGTCGATGCTACCCTTCTCGCCGACAGCCGGGAGAGCATACAAGATCTCGCCGTTAGGGTCGGACTCATCACCCAGGCTCTGCAGTCCCATTCCGCCCTCGTCGAGGATGAATTCGAAAGAGTCTTTCCCATATTTTTCCTCCAGAGCTGCTGAGATCGCTCCGGCGCCTAGGAAGCCGTGTGATTCCTCGTCGAACCCAAAGGCAAACAGCACTGTGCGCTGTGGCTTCCAATCCTGCGAGAGCAGGTCTTCCACCACGGACATTAATCCGATAAGAACGTTCTTGCAGTCGCTTGAACCGCGGCCCCAGATCCATTCGCCATCAAAGACACCTGCGAAGGGCGGGTGGGTCCAGTCTGATGGGTCGTCGATCGGGACCACGTCCTGGTGGGCCATGAAGAGTAGCGGCTTACGTGAACTGTCAACGCCCTCGAAGGTAAAGACTAGACCAAGACGGTTAATGTGGTCAACCTTGCCGCGCTCGTGTCTATATAATTTATTTAGTAAGATCTCCCTTCCTTCATGGCATGCAATGGTCAATAATTGGACAGTTTCTTACACTAGAGGGAACATCTTTTCCAACAGCGATTGGAATTTTATTACAGGTTCGAATGCCTCATCGTATGGGTCATTCATATAATCACCAACGGTGGTTGGGATCTGCACCGCACGCGAGAGCCGCTCTGCCTGGCGGGCACGGAAGGCATCGTCGGAGAGGAAGGTCTGCGACGAGTGGAAGCCATCATTGGGGGTGCTGGCCTTAGGTGGCTGTGGACAGGTTTCCCGTGTAGATGGATTCGATAGCGGGTTATAACGGCTGCCCGACAAATCGGTTTCGGGGAAAAGAAGCTGCTGTATGGGGGGGATATTGAGGGCTAGCGATGGCACGGCGGCCAGACCGAGGAGGGCGAAAGGTTTCATGGTTAGATTGAGTTCATTCAATACTTTGGAGTGAAAATATCCAAAGATCTTGAAAAACTGACTTGAAGGGATTCACGATATCTTAGATATAGCACGTCAATGGTTATCTTATCATTCTTCCCCTCTCCTCAGCTCGGCTGGCGGCCGTTGCCGATGGCGAATTGCCCTATCAGGACAGCTACTCTGCCGAGAGTTGGGGTAAGTGTAGCATTGATCTTGGGGTGGAAAAGTCAATTTTAATTCTTCATGTTCAAAGAGGTTCAAAGAGAGATGAAATCTAGAAAGGAAAATCTGGAATCTCCGAATGCGTCGAGAGAGGAATTATCAGCTAAGACTAAATAACTGATGCCGGCGAAGGGTCAAATGCCTGACTTTTCAGTAGTGATGCCTGGGTGCCTGGGTGCCTGACTTTAGACCGCTTTCGACACCGCTCAATTACTACCGCATATAAATGAATTGCCCAGTGAAGCCCCGAGTGTTGCATGTTCTCTAATTGCTGGCTGAAGATGGAGCCATTGTATTGATTACTATAGACTATGGGCACCATCAAATCTAGTCCCATGGGTCAATCTCAAACCAGAGCTCTCGGAGACGTCGCATCTCGAGCGCGTTAGCCTCGCGATTCTTTTTTTCGATCTCCGCCCGCTCTTTATAGCCGGCCGTGATCAACGCTTGCTGTTTTCTAAGGTGGTCTAGCTCAGCGTCCTGCCTTTTGAGATCCAATTTGGCGTACTGGGCCAGTGGATCTTCCAGTTTAAGGTAGACAGAGCTCCGGTGGCCTGCATTAGCCAGCTGAGCTACCTGAGCTAGCTGTTCCAGATGTGCACGCTCTGCAGCATGTCGACTATTCGCTATGGAGATGTAGCGTGCCTCGGCTTCTTTCTCTAACTTTGCTCTCTGATCGGCTGCATTCTGTTCATTCTTGAGTATCAGCTCGTGCCGCTTTGCTATGCCGACTTGCGCCTCATCAGACTGGCAGCGGATGCGTGCCAGCATCCGTTCATTGCTCTTCTGATCGCTTATAATTTGGTAAATATCATTTGGGGGATCCATCACGTCAGCGGGCTGCGGATGTCCTGCTCGGGCCCAAAACCTGTTCCTACACCCGAACTGGGTGAGAAGCCGCAGTAGAGATTCATCATAGATCGAGGGTGCCTTGTTCCGATGCTTCGCGACGTAGGCTAGAGGCGAGTATAGGAGTCCGTTTTCTTCGTAAATATTAACGTCGTCGTTGACGTAGTCTGCCATGAAGCTGTCGAGAAGAGCCTGTGTCACGGATGGTGTGTTCCGCGGGTTGTCTAGTGCCAAATGAAGGGCAGACTTTCCGTGTGATCTCATTTTGAAGTTGCGGTCATCTTTCAGAAGTGTCATTGCCCGCTTAAGCTTATAGACCGGTTCGTTTCCGTCTGCTCTCAGGCAAAGCTCAGCCAATGCTGTGCGGCCATTGCAGCCAGAGTAGGCGTAGTCTCTTTGCTTTCCCTCTCTTACTAGAACTTCAATGATTTTGACGTTCACCTCTCTGGCGGCTTCATGGAGTGCCCCATCGCGCACCATCGTGCTAGCTAGCATGACCGACCGTACAATCTCGCTGTCCCCTGTGGTTACGGCAAGGAAGAGCATGGAGCGTGGATTAATTGCCCCTGTCGTCACTGTAGCGTCAGCTTTATGGCGTAGTAGACTTGCAACGACTCCACGTCGTGGTATCGAAATTGCAATTTCAAGAGGTGTGAGACCGGACGCAGTCTTGCGGTTTGGATTTGCTGGGATTAAATTAGAAGGGCAATTACCAATTTCCCGATGGAGAACGTACCTCCAGCGTCCAGCAGAATGTCAAAGACTTTGTTGGAAATCTTGTCCCTCTCTTCTATGAGCGCCCAATGTAACAATGACAAATATGTTCCCCCTTCCGTCTTCACCGGTGGATCAACAGGGCAACCTGCGTCTATCAAATATTTCACAAGCTCTTTTTCCTGAGAATAGTTCTGCAGCAACAGAAGAAGAATGGGATGGGGGGTGTTGGTAAGACTTGGCGGAGACGGATGAGAGCAAAACGCCACGACAAGGTCGTGGATCATCAGGCTGGACACACCGGAGGCAAAGATATTGGGGAATGCCAGCGTCATATGGTCAGGGTGTGGGCAATGGGCAAAAAGTTCCTTAAGCACAAAGAAGTTCCCCTTTGCCGCCGCCTTTACAAGGCTGACACCATTATCATAGTTGACATCAGCGCCCGCGCTCAGAAGGTTGGTAACTAATGCGAGAGAGCTTGGCGAGGATTCGAATGCCTCGATTGTATCTACCAGTGCAACATTTAGGCATTTACCCGTTGCTCCTGCTTCCAGAAGGAAGGAGAGGGCGGCTTCCTGGAGTTCGGCTCTGGCTCCCTCCATCCACGCACGTTCAAATACCCGTGAGATTATGGCCGATTGATCGCGGAAATATCGCCATAGTATTCTCAAGGATTTAACGTCATTCTTCATTGCTGCATGAAGGATGCATTTGCCATCTTGGTATAATACTGATGCACCGGCTCGAAGGAGGGATTTGAGTAGGTGACGGTCACACGACGGCTCTTGTACCTGATTTGCAAAAGAATTAGTACGATCTCTCCATCTGTCAATGGAGGGACTTACAGCTTTCAAGAGCAACTCGTTCAGTGTTGCTTCTGGCTTTGCTGAAGTAAGGAGAAGGTTCATAGCTGCAAGCCGTTTTTCGCTTCCAAGGGCATCAAACGCACAGTCCAGGGCGGCTGCAATAGCTTCGCTCGATGGCTGAAAATCCAATAGCAGCTTAATGATGCTGACTTGATAGTTTGTGGACTTGATTGCATTGCACAGTGGGGCACCCCTCCCATGACTGGGAGAGGCATGGCACTGGAGCAAAAGCTCACAGATGTCTCTCATTTGCTCTCCACCTTCCGTGGCAGTGAGCAATGCGCCATTGAGGAGTGATGCTTGAGTGCCTAGCTTGAGGACTTGTTTCATATAACGCAAATCGGTAGTCTTCATGGCATGCGAAAATGCCTTGGTGAATGCTACCTCGTGTGATGGAATGAGAAGCTTGCAACGGAGATATAATTTGAAGCACTCGGGGTATCCCATGTCTATCGCATTGCAGAGAACTTCTCCCTGATTATGATTGACATTGGCTCCTGCGTCGAGGAGAAGTCTGATCACCACTAATGTTTCTTTGTCATCCTGCCTCATGCATTGCATCTCGTGGTTCAGAGATGCAATCCAATATTCGCTTGACATGACAACGCCAATGGCGAGGAAGAGCTTGACCTTTTCTTGTCTGACATGGTCCCTAGGGAGGCCTATAGTGACCAAGAGGCATGAACAGAATTCCGACTCGTCGAGATGGTTGAATTGAAGCAAACGCTTGAGAAATGCCAGATTTCGGCACAATGTCGCTTTTCTGAACGCCTCTCCTTTATTAAAGGCAGTGCTTGCGGCTCCAGTTTTCAATAACAGCTCAGTCACCTGGATCGATGAGGTTTTCGTTTCGTCGATGCTGTCAACCAGAGCCTGACCGATTACAGGACCGCCTTTGGCGCCATTTTCGAGCAGAATCTCCAGTATCTTGTACCGCCATCGGTCATCAAGATTCATAGCAAGGGGAATACATGTAAAAAGAATAGCAGTCGGGAATTTGCCGCCCAGTAAAATCCCAAGGGTTTTGTCATCTCCGTCCCGGACCGCTTCGTGGAACAAAGAGCCCTCTTTCTGGCCAACATCAGCTCCACCGTTAACTAGAGCTTCAATATACGTATGATTTCGTTGACAGGTAGGTAGGTTCACGGCTATATTCAAAACTGCATCCACGCAAGCTCCGGTTGCTCCAGCCTCGAGGAGTCTGCAGGTCATGTGCAACCGTACATGATGGGAGATATTGGAAAGGTGGGCAAAGGCTGTGTTGACTGACTCGATGCTAGGCTTTCGATGAAGGAGCTGTACGAGATAATCCAACTCTTCAAGCAAAACTGCCATGACCAATACATTTCCACCTTCATAATCCACCGACGCACCGGAATCAAGGAGCAATATGACGCTTTTGAGATCCCTCGCTTCCACTCGATTAACCAAGGCCTCGTGAACAACATCACCCGCAGCTCCTTGTGTCAGAAGAGATAAAGCAAGCTTGAACCAGTCTTCCGACGATATTTCTTCCGCATACCGAGTGCTGTCAATGGAGCCAAAAATGTCACTTGCCAAGTCTTTCCCTAGATCGCCCCCGTTAAGAATCTCAAGCATGTCGTAATCAACGGCATGTACTGCTTCCCTGTAGGCTTGACCATCACAACAGGCAATAGAAGTCCCTTTGCTCATCAGCAGCTGCGCCAACTCCCCCAGCACTGCGCGACGGAACCCAATAAGACCACGTCAACATCGCTTCCGCAGGCACCTCCATTCAGTAAGACCTCGATCAGATGGTATTGGCGTACGGCGAAGACGTGAGGTGCTGACCATACATATGATACCATCGATCCCAACAGATCGCCAGCGGGATGCATCTTGCATAGGAGAAGCAAGATGATAATATCAACACGGTCGGCATCAATTGCGTTTTTCAGTGCCAGGCCGTTATCAAAACTGGGATTGGCTCCATGGGCAAGGAGCAGCTGGACCATCTCAATGTTCCCAAGCTTAACTGCTGCGGGCAGCGCCTGTGTGGTGATGGCATTTGAAACAGGTCTTTGCGATCGAAGTAGCAGACGGATAAAATCCAGCTTCCCAGCTAGAACAGATCCCAAAAATTCCTCCGGGCAGGTGTTCGTATCAGCTTTCTCCTCCATGAGAAGCTGGACGCCCTCTATGTTGTCGATCCAAATCCCCATTGGCATGACTCTGCTGACAACATCTGGAGCAGCAGAGTGAGCCAAAATTCGGAGTTGATCAAGTCGGTTATTTGTCAAGGCTGTCGTCATTAGATCGGTCATCAGAGCATATGTTTCATCGTCCGTCACAGGCTTGCGCAATTTTAGGGTTCCCGTCCGGGCCTTTTTTGGCTGATTGGCCTTGAAATGATTTAATACACTCTCAATAACCCCAACAGGTACCGATTCGAGGCCGACAATGTGTTTCAGGACGCTATCGTAGTCCTCGTACGTCCATTTATCTTTTTTTATCTTGGCTGGGCTCGTCATTGTTTTTACCTCGCCATGTCTCCGTGCTTCCGAAGCCTGGGTAAGGAAGAGGACTGCCTGATCGGCTTCTGTATGGGACCATGTTGCCAAATGTGTCGATATGAGGGGTTCTAGGGTTTGTTCATTGGAGTCCGGCCCTCCCAGGGTTTGTAACTGGGCTCGAAGCCATTCCTCGTCTCTACCGTTGTGTGGCATGTTGAGCGGCATTCAAATGTGAATATCGTGAGCCCCAGGCTCGACCATTGGAATTTGGGGGCCTTTACTTTGGAGTATCGAGAAGGACCTAAATGATCTCCTCGGGGTAGCTCTCACTGCCGAGTACGCTAGAGCACAGCCCCGGAGCCTCACCTTGACCCTTAGCGCCTCCGGTGTGACACTGCTCAGATGGAGTGCACATACTCGGTATCTTTGAGCTTTACCACCAATCAAGTCCCGCGGCAGCATTGACGCCTCGTATTTGCTTACTCGGCCCCAACCCTGGCAAAGCCCTCCCTTTGTATTGGACGAGATGTCACCAAATCACTACACAGATTGTCTTACAAGGCAGCTGCTGTCAGCCTAAGCAATGACCCGACCAGATGTACGGAGTATAATATCAACAAATACGGTATTCGGTATTACGATAGAACTGAAAAATACAAAACAGGACAAAAACACAAAAAAGCAAAACTAAACCTTCTTCCCAGCCAACACCCGCTCAAAGGTCGCAAAGTTGCCTTCGTTCTTCGGGTCATAGACAGCGAAGCACACCTCACGCCACCAGTTCCCGCGAAACTCAGATTCCCTCAGAACCTCAAGCCAGCACTGCGCAACCTCAGCAGGGGGGTTCGCGTAGACCCCACAGCCCAAAGCACCGAGAACTAGCATGCCATGCCCATTGGTTCCCGCAATACGGAGTGCTTGCCTCATTTTGGATTTGGTACGCTTGCGGTCCTTTTCGCGCGCGAAGACTTGTCGGGTATGCCGACGAGAGGGTGAAGGTGAAGGTGAGCTATGGTGTGAGCTGTGGTGTGAGCTGTGGTGTGAGCTGTGTGAGTGTGGGCTGCCACGTCGCTGGTTCTGGGAATCCCTCAGCACCAGTGTCCGAATTGCAGGTCGATAGAGAGCGGCAATGGTAATCCCGCTGACAACGGGAAGATCCTCTGGCGGGCTCGAGGGGGACGCTAGCAGGGTATGTCCGGATGCCAGGTCACTCCGCATGACCAGCACGTAGGGGCTGTAGATTGACTCGTCCAGAGCGAGCGGATAATCCCTGGTGTCGAGGCTTAGCGCCAAGGAGCTGCGGTAGCAGATCGATTCCTCTTGTGCCATCGCGCCGTTCAGCCAGCCCCCGCCTGGTTTTCGGTGGCTGGCAAAGTTCATGATTATTGGGCGGGGGTTCTGCGGGCTTATGTCGATACGGCGTGATTGCGCAGATTCATATAGTCTGACAGCAACGTTGAGGGTATCATCGTTGATGACTTTAATGGTCGCGGGCGATGGGAATCGCGGGCAGTCGCTGGGGTTTAAGCGTCTGACGGAATTTGACGATAGTTTCTTAGATTTGTGGGCCTCATGGTCGGAGTTGAGGCAGTTCAGGAGACCTGGGAGAACGTTGAGGGTCTCCTGGGCGGTTTGTCTGAGGACCTGCCTTTGGGGACTTGCTTCGGTATCCTCACGATGGCCCTGATAGCTATGACGTGGTGGTGTATTCCTTGGACTTGAGATGGGCTGGCGGTATTCATCTGCCAGGTCCCATAACATGGACTTGATATTCGAGAAAGGCATATTTGTCGGGTGTTGCTAATTTGATGTTGGAGAGAGAATTGACCATATTTGAACCAGCGGCAGCCTGCACTATGTCAGATAAGGTCGGGCAATCAGCGATTCTTGGCGCATGCCGAGTGTTCTTACGAGTCATGGAAGGCAGCCTAACGGATACTGAAATTGTAATACACTGGTTTGTTAGCCTCACCCATACATGTATTGAAGAAGGGGCTCGGCTTATTGCAACGGGGGCAGATATATATCCCTTTTAGTTGCCAGCTATCCTATTCTTCAGTTGCTGTTATAGTGACCGAGAATATCATGGTATGAGGCATCTCAAAAATATTTAGTTTGCCTTTGCTCACCTTCATTTGTTATAGGAACTGGCACTGTTAGACGACAACACCCGCTTTTACAAAAAAGGTACCCTAGACCCCGTTCACCTCAAATATATTATTTATTTAACATTGAATTTGCTAGTCTCGGGCATGTTCTATCGTCAGTGGCAACACCCCAACACGAAGGCCAAGCTTGTGTCGATCTATGTCATGTATGTATACCCAGCAAGCAGAGTGTCGATGCTGAGCTGATGCGTTTGCTTTCAGAAAAAACGCCAAACAGCCCGGACTCAAGCTTCGATTCCATGGAACACAGCGCGCCTGCAAGATCGGGAGTGATTCTCTAGAGCCCTGTAACAATACAGACTGCTATCTTTGTAGCATTCTCAAAAAGGGATTTTCAATCAATCATGCCAGTGAGTTACTGAACCGAACCAACATCCGCTTCATAACAATATAATTCTTATACGTTGCTAGATACTCGATCCATGTTCGGACCTGGAATCTACTCGAGCGTGGTCTCCTCCAGTGAGCAGCTTATTCTCCTTAGCCCATCTTCTGTTTCTGCATAGTCACTGAATATACCCTTCTAGAAGCCAACATCTATAGCAGAAACCACCACGTCCGTTCCCACAAGCATGTTCTAATTATCTGCGGGCTTGATCCTGGAAATTCTGTAGACATGACAGCCGCGGGAATTCCAGGCCCATGTGACTCAGTATGTTCCAGGTTGAGGACATACAAAGGCTCTGATCAGCTAACTATATCCACAGGTGGAAGGGCTTACCAAGGCCGAGGGTGGCACGCTTGATTACCAAGAAACTGTTGTCTACGACCCAGCAAGACTCAAGCCGCTCGGCCTAGTCGTATACATGCGAGAGGGTTGGACACCACGTTAATTGTTCTGATTCCTTTGATTTATTATACAGTATCATATTGTCTCATTGAAACTTGGTTTCCTGTTTTTTTGCACGGTAATTTTCAAATTATCCAATAGTATTAGGCAACTGTACAGATTTTAGCTGTATTTTTCATATAGCTTGTGCCCGAGGCTGACTTGTCCAGCCCTAATTCAAATGTAGACAAGGCTGGAGACCTTTTGGGGAATTGTGGCTTTAAATTGTGGCTTTTAAGATAAACAATGTGTCAGGTGTTCGGGGAAAAGAGCCTCCTCCGCATTTCCCCGCCTGCTCTGCCTGTTCTGCCTGCTCTCCCGTTGTACAACAAAGCCATGTGAAATCATGCGTCTACATGAATAGAGATTTGTTTTTTCTCTGGTTGTTCATTGTGATATATCGCTTTTATTTTTCTCTATCGTTAGTAATTGTCGTCGTGCTGTGTAGAGTTTTTATACTCCGATCCAACAACATGGATAGGTACTTCCTTGCCTCTAATTCTGCCAGAGCCCTGGGAATGCTAAAATAAAATAGGGACAAGTCGCCCGAAGATGTCTCCATGCCTCTTCCGCCTGTGGATGAGGACACTTCAATGACAGATCCTGATTCGACGATCTCTGAAACTGAACCGCCTGTTGACCTTGCAAATATGCCTCGTATTATAGAGAGGCGTCCTAGAAACATCCCAAGCAATGCATTCGTTGAATACCAGACCTACGAATCGGAGCGCATCAATGGGTCATCCAGGGCAACCGCACAAAGTCCCCGTCCGCCCGTGTCAACAAAGATGATCGTGGTACGTGGACATCGAATGACTTCTTATGGCAACTGCTTACCGCTCGTAGGAGCTGAGCGTGCTGGAAAGGCATACTCCCTTTTCAAAAAGAGGTACGTAGATTCCGATAGTGCGAATGTTCTATTTCTCAGCTAATAAGGCATGGTTTATAGTTGAACATTCTTTTTACGACTCGTGGCTCGATCAAACCAAGGGCTCCCATGTTAAAGAGATAATCCTCTTCGATATCAAAACGGTTCCATCTCAGCCCGACGGGCAGACGCCGGGCACATTCAAGCCTGCTAAGTACGCACACCTTTTCTGAACATTATCTTGTCGTGTAAAGAATAGGCCATAAAGTAGTTAACCTCATTCTTAGTCGCGATCTTGAACTGCTCACACTGCTAGGAGATTTTCCACTACGCTTCTACGGCGCACGTCGCGCCTGCCATATTGGGGATATTGGTTACCCTTTGGATCTTTGCCGCAATGTCGAATGCGCCACCTGCTCAGTTTTTCGGGAGCAATACACAGCCAGAGAAGCTGGTGAGTCTTGGCAGCAAGTGATTATATGCATTTGGAACATTCAGACAATCCGCTAACTAGCTGAACAGGTATGGGATTTGAATCGAGCCCTGAAATACTCACTAGCTCCTTCTCATCCCGTGGGTATTGCTACCCCTGCTTTCCATCGACATCTGTTCTAACCACGAAACTTGGCCACATCTAGAAGCTGATGCTTTCACAACGAACCACCATATCCACTCGTCTCAGCATGCCATGATACTCTGTGCATGTCCAAATATCGTGAGTCACTTCGATTGAGGCACAACCAATACCAACTAACACCCCACCAGGCACAATCGGATCCCGTGACCATGTCTTCAAATCCAGATGCCCCTCCTCCGTACACAGCGTCTGCCTCTCTTGGTAGAGTTGTTGTTCCGATTGGACTGATTATGTATACTCGGACAGGGTGGCATCTTTGATAGATTTTTATTGGGACTAGAATGTAGGCCCGAAAGTCAGGAGGGAGAGAGTTGCATTGGAAAGGAGATGAGACTCTCGAACTATCTAGTTCCATTTGGTTTATTTCAATAGAGACATTCAGCTAAAGATAATCCAACTCATCGGTTCATCCAGCACTATCTCAATTATCGTCATGATTTTCACCCTGTGGCGATAACTCATCTACACCATGAGTCGTCAGGAAGCCTGCCCCTTTCTACGCAATTTGAAAAGTCATTTCAAACTCAACTCTTCCTCCCAGAGACACGCTGGCCCTCCCGACCTCCCTCCGTGAGACTGAGACAAACAGATATCAAAATTGGCTTCAGAATATCAGTCGAAGTAACTTCACAAAATAGGCTTGAGTGTCGTGCTAGAGGGGGCGACAATAACAGGTCATCAGAGTTAGCGCTCGTGAAAAGAATTCTACGTGAAAATAGTCGAAAATATCGCAATTCAATACCATTAACCCAATCCAATTATTTCCTGTGCAAGTTCGGTCAAACAGAGGTATCCGAATTTGGTTTGGGTTACATTGAAAGAAGATAAGGATAGGGTTGTATTGGTCACCTGAGAAAGCCCACACGGAAGCTTCGGCTGAACCATGGATCCACAATCGAATTCATACTCAATTTTAATGTCCATCCTAATTATACTTACATACCTATACATATCAATAACTACTTTACCTTGCAGAATATGTAGAATAATGATACCAGACCAAAAAAAGAAAGGAGAAACAAGGGGTCACCGGCGATGACCAGCAATGTCAGATTCCTCACAAATGCAACACCCTAAAACAGATCTATACCCAATCAAGGCAAGCGGCAAAACTGGAAACACGCGAACTGTTCCTCAAGTTCATCCCATTTGACTCTCGGGGCTCCATCCGCCGTCATTGGTCGCTCAAAAAGGAAACAAGTGGCCACATCTGGGGATGCCGATCGGGTGATCCTGACCTCATAAGCCAATGAGCCCTATGTAGCCCCAGTGCGAGTTCAATAGAGCATATCGCTTAGTGTTTCATGTTGATCATTTGCTATTTTCGGTCGCTCAATTGGACATCGATGTCATCAGTCCCTGTCTTACTCCACAGAGGAAACACTCGAAAAAGATGGAGCCCGACGGGTGTTCCTGACACCAACCAAACGGTCGCCTTAAAGAAGCTTGATGGGGCCCTATTTTCCCTTCCCTATCACCTCCGTTTGTCAAACATCTTCCGCTCTTTCGCATATTTTCCTTGACTTCTCAACTCCCCTCTCTTTTATCAACCAAATTTTCACTCTTTAATTCGTTGACCGAATACATCCCACACCAATCATGCATACCAACTACATTTTCTCGGCTCTTGCCCTAGCTCTTCCCGTCTACTCGGCTAGCTCTACCGCCAATATGGGCTGCTACTCCGAAATCGAATCATTCAAGAGCCAGGGTCCATACACCTTCCAGTCAGTAGGAAATTGCGAGATGCAATGCGCAAAGAACGATTTCAAGGTCGTTGCTCTGAGCGCTGGCAACATGTGCTACTGCGGCAATAAAGTCCCCTCGGACTCCGCTAAGATCGCCGACGATAAGTGCGATATGCTCTGCGCTGGATGGCCTGAGGATAACTGTGAGTTACCCACAATATTATATCCACCACAGTAACAAGATCATCACTGACAACATATTTCTTATCTAGGTGGCGGCAGGGACACCTTCAGCGTGTTTCAGGCGGCCGAGAATGTCAAAGCCTCTGGTTCCGAAAACGGCACCACTGTTACTGAACCCACTGCTGCCACCGCAGCTGGCGGAATCATCGTCGCACCCTCGAAGGTTTCCTCATCAACCAGTATCGCGACCGCTGCATCCAAGAGCGCCAACGCTTTCTCCAAGTCTGCCTCTGGCGCTGTCGCAACTTCCTCCCCTACGCCCACGGATAACGCTGCCGGAACAGTCCGCGCCGGGTCATCGCTGCTCGGGGCTGTCGTTGTGGGTATGGGCTTGCTTCTGTGAAGTTCCTTGCCTTCATGTCTTGTGATTGAAGGTGCATATATACTATCGTTTTGATTCCGTGTACTCTACATTGCATGTACAGTTATACCCCTCGCTGGCTCGTCAACAGGGCGTGCATTATATCAGGGATAATATCCTGTTTATGTTTCTTGTGCTGGATCCGCTGGTCGGATCTAGGATGCATTTACTGCCTGTCTTGGGATAGGTATTCCTACACTCGTTTTTTATTTTTGGGTTTTCGTGAACAGGCTAGATTAGCATTCGCTATTTACTACCGGACGGACTTCGATATCCTTCTCGGACAATTTAAATTTGTGCCAATGGCATTTTTAAAGAAAGTAACCCTGAAGATACATCCATAGGGGCGGTTAACAGTACTTCAGCATCTATACATTCGCTGACTGGCTAGAGACTCATACCACAACCTGCTATGCCAGAGCAGAAGCTTTTACCTTTCCCTCTTGTCTGGGCAGGCATGGCGTCACTCACGCATGCACCTTGCGCAAGGCCGACGCCTTGTGTTCCGCTGATACAATTCCCTACCACGCCCGCGGTAATATTCACACAAGCTGGGTTGCAGGGATATATTTCACGAAGAATTTCTGGATCGCGCGCGTAGGGACCGGAGGAAGCCTTTCTTAATGGGTCTTCGCCGCCGCATTTGCTGCCACTGCGCTTGTGTGACCGCCGCTGCGCTTTCGCCCAGCATGATTCAAGCTGGGTGGCCTTGGTCTGCATTGCCTTTGGATCGGCCTGAGCCAGGATGCGAACTGCATTATGGGACGAAATATGCGGCCCTTGACTTTTACCCCCGTCTGCGGTATTATCGGCACTATCGTGAAGGAGGGCAGCGTTGGTCTTGGCCTGCAGGGTGGACGGCGATATTAACCTGCCAAGTCCTTGGTTGTTGGACTCCCGCAATGCCTCGCAATACCAGCAAATGCATTCGCTGTATATCTTGCCGCCGGTGAGCTTTTGGTATTGTTTTGAGGTCCATGCAAAGGCGTCATTGAGCTTTATCTCGTCGATTTTGTCGTCATGGTCGATGAATACGCCGTCTGTCTGCGCAATAGAGAAGGCGTAATAGCGAGCGGGAGAAAGCTGGTGCGTGTGCCAAATCAGGTCGATATCGAGAGTCGGGACAACAGCATGGCCTTTATTCTTCGTCATTATCTGGAAGAACACGCCATACTTGCTGATGAAGTGATCCATGGTGGATTTTAAGTGTGACGAACGTATCCAACCGATATTGTCCATCTTATCCACAAACGTTCCTTGGCGTATAACCGCCCCGATCAAGTCGATGGCGAAGGGGGATGAGTTATCCCAATACCTGGAAAGCATATTGCGAAGTGATATCCTCTCTGGCATACTCGAATTCCCAGAAGTCAGTATTGTCTTGTTCACGCGACGCAATAATGCTCGGCTCTTCAAGAATCCCTCGAGGTGGTCGCGGATAGTTTCAATGCTAGTGCTTTCATTTTCGGTGAGATCAGTAAGCTGCAGGAGCTCGCTTCTGATGCCTTCCTTGATAAGCCGGTTTGGGAAGCACACGTTATCGCCATTTTCATCGTCGGCGGGAGTGCCATTCTGCGCCAAAAACGTGCCCGGCATAGGCAAATCATCTTTCAATAACCTCTGCACATCACTGCGGAACTTTTGGACGCGAAGAGAATCATGTGTGATATTGAATTTGCAGGCTGGGCATGACACCCGCAATGATTTGTCCGCGTATCCAATGCAATGTGCAAAAGCGACGTCTGGGTCGCATCCAATTGATCCTTCCGTCCAGGGAGCAAGAACTTCCTGCTTACAACGGAAACAAAGCAGAGATTTGTTGGGGCTTTCATGAATATTTTCCCAGGAATGACCAGTTCTTGTCTCGAAGTTTATTTTCGCTTCACTGCCCGGGTCGAAAACAAGCGTCCCATTGTCGATGGATTGGTTTATGACATCCCATGGCAGCCCAGTGGCCCAGACGCTCATTCTAGATTGACGCAAGCAATCCTCAAGAAAGGCACGTGGGTTAAGCATATATGCATGCCAGACCATGATAACATCTAAGGGGCAAGTTAGAAATATAAAATAATACCACAGCTCCAAGGGTCGGAATAACTAACCAAGTGGTGGCAACATATTAACAGACCAGGCTATTTTCGCTTCAGATGAACTATTCAGCGTTGAGATGCGACTGGTATTGAGACTCGGTAGGCAGGTTTGCCACCAAACAGTAAATCGGTCCACAGCTCTGGCTACATAAACAGCCCATCTCTTTTCCTGAATGCGAGCAGCTGCCTGCACTTGCTTGCGGGGGTCTGAAAAGTTCCTGGCCTCAATATCGCGGACCCCGAAAAGTTTGTCCTTTCCTCTAATCAAGTTGCGAAGTTTGGCGGTCGCAGACAAAAGCTTGAGGTGGGTGATACATTCCTCAATGTCCACCGTTTCCTCTGACCTGGGAGACACATTGCGGGACAGTCTGTGGGATACGTTTGGTTGTTGGTAGCTCGGTGGCTCATCGATGGGTTCGGTTATAGTTGAATATGGTGGAGGGTTAGATACTGCCTCGGCACTTGCCTCAGCATTCTTGCTACTGTAGGCAACATCTGGGTTCCCCATTTTCAAAAAATTGATGGTATGTAGAAAGAAAAGAGAGCACAAGACGCAAAAAAAAAGGTGAAATGTCAAAATTGAAATACCTGGGGAAAGATCATCGCTTTCTGCCGCGTGCGCATAAACATAGCCACTCCAAGTGGGGGCTATAATATAGTAAAAGAGATGATGCAATGCCAAGAGGCTAGTTCTTACTTGACAGGCAGAGCCCATAAGATTCAATAACTCGATCTAGGAAATCTTCATGTTCTTCTATCTTCCGTAAACTCACTGGCTAGTCCAAATCTTTTATTAGCTTCGGGGGGAATATTATTGTAAAATATTGAAGGATACACATTAATTTCATCATCAGACAATGCTGTCAAAAACATCCTCAGAAGAAAGCCTAGGGCCCGTTCAGCCAGGTGGTAGTGACACCGAGCCTCTTTTGCAGATCCAAGTAGGTACATCCTTCTATCGGGCGAGGAAGACCTAATCAGAAATCTACAACTAGATAGAATACCAAGCAAAATCTTGAAAGTCGTCGGAAAATCGCTGGAATTATGACGCCCAAATGTGTGTTAGGCTATTCACTTTAAATGGCTTTTATTTATATTGGCTAACATTCAATTCTGCACCTGCATAGATTTGCTATATTATCCTCCCTTGTGCTTGTGCTGAATATACGTGTTTTTGTATGTCGACTTGCTAAGGATGTATGTGAATTCTGCGCCTGGGTCGATTTATATCGTAGAAGCTCTATAGTTGAAGAAAGGTTTAGGCGATGATTACGTTCGAGTGTAATAAATTCGATACATAAATAGATTTTCACAGAAAATACTATCGTATTGCAGAATAATTTAGATTCTATTCCTGGAAAATCTGGTTGCTATTTTACTAGGCCCCAACGTTAGCACGAAATCCGGGGCATACTTGGAGGCTGTGGGATTATGGTTCTCACCAATCATTGTGGGGCAAACGTCATTACGCCCTGCGGCTCTTTGGCTCTTAGACAGGTAGATTTAACTAAGTCTAGATAGATCATCATCGATGAGGGGGGGCGATGGGGCCAAAACATCCCGTCCCTGGGGTGCGTGCAGCATTTCCGAAAATGGAAGACTGAAAGTAGTCTTCCATCTCTTACTCGGACCTCCTGCAATTGCTTAATTGGCAAAGAGAACAAAGCCACTTCAACCTTGCCATTCCTCCAGTCATCGATCTCATGCTATAATGAAGTTCACTAGAGATGTTGGCTTCTCGATGAACTTATCCACGAGACCCGCAAGGCTGCGCCCAGCGATGATTTTCACTACGGCAAGATGCACTGCCATTTGGCAAATTATAGGCAACACTCTCTAGCTACCTTCAAATAGACTGACTTCCTCCCGATTATAGTATGATCGATATCTATCTCTTCTTCAATATCTTGGATTGCATCTCATTTTGTGACCTTCCTCATTCAACCACCATCATGACCAACGCATCAGCCTCTGAAACTAGCAAGACTAGGCTAGGCCTACGTGTCTTTGCTATAATTTTGGCCATCGTTACAATGTCAATCTTTGGAGCCTCATGGCGCAACCGGGCTTGGGTATACTATATTGTTGTTCGTGGACCCTGACATTCAGATGGCAGTAATGCTTCTTGAGGTTACATTCTAACAAAAAACTACAGGCCGGCATCCCAGGAATTTGGTCTTTGATCAATGTGGTCCTAATCGCCTTCAAGCGGCCTGCCCACCCTGGCGCCCATATTGCCCTGGATCTCATCTTCACGGCTGACCTTTGGTTTTTCGGATTTTTCGGCCTTTTAGGCGAGTCCATGTCGTATGAAAAGGGATACTCAAGGGTCTCGCTGCGGGCCATGCTTATCGCTGCTTTATCACTCATGATTTTTAATGGGTAAGGGTTCTACTACACAAAGGCTCAATACATGACCATATGCTAACATACCCCATCCTAGTTTGCTCCATTTCGTTCACTTTGTCCTAGGTTGCTGCGATGTACACTGGAGACGCCATGCTTTATCAGTCGATCACAATCCCCGGAAGGGAGATATTGAAGACTCCGTCTAGATTTGACATCTTCGAGGCACTTCAGAAAGGATCGGAAACGGGAAGGTTGTGGAATATTTTATGAGCGTATATTGTATTCATCTGGATTACGCTGTTACGAGTATTTAAACATATCGTTGGAATTGAACTCTAATCAAACACTTGAAATTACTTTTGCGTCTTGTCTCACTTGGACTTGTCAACTATAATAGCCTTAGTCCGTGATGTTGAGCTTGTTTAATTGGACGCTGTATAGTTGCTACTTCCTTACAGCGAAGCCGACTTCGCTAGTGACATTTAATCGTTCAGATCAACATGTCCCTTTGGGCCTTCGATCTCATCACCTAGCTCGTTTACCAAAACCCGCTTCCCCAACCGGTCAGATGGTACATCGTCAAGTGATGCGCCGAAATCGAGAACCTTCACGAATCAGTAAATTGTAAACGACATATCAGTCCTGGCGCACACTAACCTCGATATAGCTCACGGATTCACGTTGAACTGCTGCAACGCAACGCTGGCCATCAAACTTGACTTGCCAGACACCGCTGAGGCCGGTGAAAAGATTCATTTCCAAAGCACCAGTCCGTATGTCCCACATCTTCACGTCCTGGTCGGAACCAGAGACTACCTTTTGATCATCGTGCTGGAAGGATGTGATCGCTCCAGTATGACCGCCGAACATGCTCTGACAATGGCCATTCTCAGGGTTCCACACTCTAACAGTAGCGTCCGCAGACGCCGACACGAGCCAGTCGTCTTTCAAATCAAGTATCCCCACCAACGACGAGTGGCCTTCGAGGTTATATAACAGTTCACCTGTGTCAATAGACCAGATCTTGACCATGTGGTCCATTGACCCGCTGATGCAGCGGTTTCTCTTATGGTCCAAAGCTACGCTATAAACCTTGTATGTATGGCCTTCTAGCTTATGTAGTGATTCTCCGGTAGATATTTTCCAAACTCGCACGGTACAGTCGTAGCTACCACTGACCAGTGTGTCCCCGTAGGCTGTGAGTGCCCGCACAGAGTGTTGGTGGCCAGTCAATACACGGACAAGATATGGACATTCCTCGTCGGTTGGAGGAGTAGGAGGGAGATACTTTGAGTCGCCGAATTGAGGAAGTTTCCATACCCGCATGGTCGAATCACGGGCGCCCGAAATGATTAGAGGTTGTTCTGGCATCATCACTGGCGTACCGTCTGGATGCTGGTCAATTTGAACTGGGAGCAATATTTGTATGCTCCGTACTGTGGATGTGTGACCTCGGAACACCTGGGTGCACTCGGCTCCCGCAATGTCCCATACTCGCAGGGTGCCATCCGTCGACCCAGATACTAGAGTATTGCCGTGGAATTCAAGTCCCCATACACCACCTGTGTGGCCTTCCAATTTTGCGCGAAGTGCCCCAGTCTTGATATCGTACACATTGATTTTGGGGATGTCGCTAGCGGCTATAACCTTGTCGGCATCAAATTGCAAACACGTTATAACATGTCGATCATGTGCTCGGAAGGCAAGATGCTTCGGTTTTGTATTCTTCCACATCTGGTTTTTTCTTTAACGAGAGCACAGTGAGTGCCTTCGCTATTTAAAGTGTTCACAGTGTAGAACTTGTGTGTAGAATGAGAAATATAAAGAGAAAAAGAAGGAGGGGTAAAAATACGAATGACTCAGGATACGTAGCCAATAACAGTGCATGTCCAAAGTAGAACTTCTATATATAACGACACCAAGAAAGATACAGACCTGATATGCGATATCTAACTGACCAAAATGATTCTAAATGTTACTCTACTTTTTCCTATCGTTGCGCTCTTGTTGCACCTGTCGCCTGTCAGCACTGTTACACTCCACACATTCGCTCAATCGTCGCGGGAAGCTTTCAGGATGCTCCGGACATTGGACCACATGGCCTAAACGAAGGCATCGCAGAGTCCGCGCATGAGTAGGTGGCTTGTGAGGACAGTTATGCTTTCTCTTTCTCTTGGTCTTGACCTTGATCGTGGCCTCGGCCTCGGCCTCAGGCTTGTTCTCGGCCTTCTTTGCGACCTCGTTCTCGTTCAGATTCTGGCTTCTTTTCTTACCTCTACCCTTGCCCTTGTTTTTTCCCTTGGCGTTGCCCATTTTGAGGGCTGAAAACTGGTATCGAAGTAAACAATTTCCTTGAAAGTCTGATTTGATACAAGTAACCGGTCCTTGGTGCCTTGGAATCGGTCTGGGGAGCTAATTACTCAAGAAATATATCTGTTTTTATACTATAGGTCTTTTTTTTTCCGCTATGTACCGTGTAGGAGTTATCCGTTGATCTCACATATTGTCAAAGTATTCTGTATGGTATCTTTATTTCTTTGTTTGTGATGCACCCCGAAACTCGTAGAATGAATACCGTTCTTTGATGCTGTATCATGATGGAAACTATCAGCGTCGTATGTCAAAGGCGCGAACAAAGGACTTTATGGGACCTTGCAAAGCCGAGGCAGGCAATATGATATGATCTCTATTAGCTTCGTGTTTATTCCTCATACATCCCATACAAAGCGATTGACCCCTTGTATCTTGGCCTTGATCTTGGCTCATTCCAGCCTTTCATTCCAGGCTCTACTTGATGTCTCACTATTCCAGTGCAAAACAAATCATGTGGCTCCTTTCTCTCCTTTTGTTTTCTTTATGGATGATCATTCTCTGAGCGAAACAAATGACCATTGGAAGAACCTTGGAGAAGTTTTATATAACGTGTTAAAAACGATGGACTGACAAGAGCTAGTAAGTTCGAATAGTCCGCGAATTCTTGCTTTGATTTCTTGACCTTTTTTTCAATTAGAGTGTACTCGGTGTGGCAACTAAATCAATGGTAATATAACATGGTGGTGATTCTCATTCTAGTGACATTTCCTTCGCCCCATACCTATCCCCGGCATAAACTCCGTCTTTATGATTTATTCTGGGGAAATAGAAAAGAAGTGAAGCTGAGCTTTATGACTGAGTTATGAGATCAGGCACAGCCATGCTAACTACGGGTGTAGTAATTTCAATGGCTGCATCAACAGGTATTAAGATATGCTCGTCATGTGTAAAATAAACAATTCATTAATCGTGACAGCGAAAAGTGAGAAAAGGTAACTCGAAAGAATTATCCAACCATCAATGCTTCTTCGTAGAAGAGCCCTGTGCAAGGCCAAAAAAATCATACACACTCGAAAACAAAAAAAAAGCAGAAACATAGAGATGAACGTCAACGCGCCATCTCATGTGCTCCTTGGGTATCTTTGGGTATCTCGACGAACGCTAAGAAACGCAAGAGCAAACTGCGACTGTAGATCATGAATGCATCAAATTAACCTGGTGCTTTATCCAAGTTCGGCGGAAGTGGGCGGCCCTCTCTGTAAAACACGTCAGAATTGCTCGCTACACTAAGGACGAAAAGGGATCATATCTTACCTGAGGTACTTCCTCTTCAGATTGCGAGCACGATCTTTACAATTGACCTGGGAACGTCGTTCAAGCATAGGACCACCCTCAGATGCAGGACAAGCGTTGTCTTGCTTCTTGATTGCGGCATAGGCAGTGCCAAAAATTTCCATGAGGTGAAGCAGACGTTCATCTTCTTCCTCTGTCCACCTGTAGCTGGCCTTTGGAGCTGCCCGGTTGATCATAGCAGCTTGGGAATTGGAGGCTGCCCAGCGACTCTGGGAACTAGAGGGCGGTCCATACTGTTCAACGGCAGTCTCTTCATCGGTGACGTCCTCACTATCAGCTCTTTGGGCCCGTTGGGAAAGTTGTGCCGAGTTAGACCGGGGGTGGAATGATCTGTTGATATCCGCTTGCAATTGTGCTGAGGTAGAGCCCCCATTGTCCTGGGGGCGCTGTCGCTTCGCGGCAGGCTTTTCCGCCCGACGCATAGGGTCGACTTCCTGATTGTTCTGCTCGAATTCAATGTCTGATCCGTCACTTGAGTCATCATCCAGGTCATCAATATTCCGGCTTCGCTTCCCCAGCACCGTCTGCCCTGCACTTTGGCTATCAAATTGACTTATCGGCGACACAACTCCAGCGTTATTCTGTTTATCGAGGAATCGCCGAGCGACCGGAACTGATCGCTGTGTGTTTTCATCTCCGGGCGAATCAAAGAACCGAGGAGTAGGATTGTGGCTGACCCGACTGATTCTAGCCGAGTTGGGTGGGCTGGTCGATGTGATAACATCAGTTTCTGGGCCGTTGCCGAGGTCCAGCTCTTCGTCATTGTTGACATATGTAGAGTCATCGCCGATGTCTGTGTATCTCAGCTCGGGGGATTGTTGAATTTCGAGAGGCTCAACTGTGCGACCAGCAGGAGGGCCAGGGTTAATCGCTTGCGCCACAATACTTGTGTTCGTAGAAATGTTTACGGCTTGCGATTCGACCGAGACAGGTTGTTGGTGACTAGTAGCCTGGCGCCTCATGAGTGCCGCGAATGAGGCCGGGTCTCGGTAGTTGCTGTAGATGAAAGTTAGTAGCCACAAAAAAAAAGTGACGGAAACTCTAGAGAGAGCATACCTTTTGGACTTACGTCGACCCGGATCTTTTGCTGCCACCTGTGCGACTTGGGCGGAGACACTTCGTTCAGGGACGTTTTGAGAAGTGCTGCGTGGCCGAGAAGCGTTGTGTGCAGGTATTTTGTCCGTCTGAGGTGCCTGGTATGCCTGGGACGCGTTCTCTGCATCTGGTGCCATGTCCACCCCCGGTGCGATGTTTATCAATCGTTCTTTCTGAGGAGACTCAGTCCGTTGCGGCAAGGCTCCCCGACGACCGCTTTCACCACTTCGAGGCACCGTCGATACTTGGCGCCGACTAGGAGTTCCAACCGGGACAGAAGTAAGGCGACGAGATGCGGGTGAGATATGCACCTTTTCTGCCTTTTCTGACAAGCGTCTGATGTCATCCTTGATTTCTCTGTCACGGGCATAGATCCAACGTGCAAGGTCCCGTTCAAACGACCGCCATCTGTATGCCTTCTTCAAACCATCAATGTCAACGGAATCCCACTCAGAAAGTTCCTCGTGAAGCTCATTGAATCTATCGCTAACAGCGATGAGAAACTTCTCAGGGAGATGTTCGGGAAGATGGCCATCATCGTCCTGTAAGACACCCGGCAAGTTGAATCCTCGGAAGGAAGCGGGGATACTCTGGGGGTCATCTTCACTAGACACAAGGTCCATAACAAAAACCTGTCTCAAAATGGAGAGTGGGTCGAAGTCCTGCTCATGCTGACGCCTTTCTAACTCCATGATGAAGAACTGTGTGCGGATACCCAATGCAAGATTGAAGGTGGCCTCGGTGGTATTACTCGCCCCGATTTTCCTTGACATAGAACTGTCCGCAAGGTGATTCATGACACATGCGGGGAACTGGGCATCCAGCTGTTGGATGACCTCAGACTGTGACTCTGTACCCATGCTGGGGAGAAACATGTTGAGGGTCAACAGAGCGCAGTTTGTCATGTAGATATCTGTGGTTGACACGTCCAGTTGTGCGGACGAAAGCAAGCGACGAGCCTGAGAGATGTCCAAGAATGATTTACCATCACGAGAAAGAGGAGAGTCTTCCAACTCATCTGTCAGCCCTTCCACAGATCGTCTCAAGCGTTTCCGGTTCGGGTGATTAGAATCGACGAGCTTCTTGGACTCAGCTGCAAGGCTGTCCGGGTTCAGATCTGGTCGAACCAAGAGACTCATCACAAGGGTCGCCTGTTGTTGGACGAATGGCAGATGAGTTGCGATTTTTTCGGCGACTTGAGAACCAACGGGCTCCACATCGTTGTGACCCAGGGTGGTACCAGACACATTGGTATGACCTTCATGGTTTTCGGGCGACTCTGGTATCACATGTCTGGGTACGATGAACCCAGGAGAAGGAGTGGAAGGTTCCTCAGCCAGCCCGGTCAGCCCTGAACAAAGTCAGAATATACTCAATTGTGAAACTGAAATGAAAAGGCAGCAGATCAAGAGTGAGGCAAAGTGACAACAAAATGAAGTAAATATCAAGCGGCACAAGACTAAACATAGATGCATAGTCGACGGACCCACTGTGCGACTGCGACACGAAGTTGCTGGGACTACATCAAAACTTATGGAAAATCACATACAATTCTGTTCCAATGATGCCTTGTTTGGCATAAACCCTGCATTTGCTTCCCGGCTCTGACTTCGAGTCATGCGTGATCCCGTGATGCGTGCCATGGAAGGCGGTGGGGGGTCGAGCCTCCACGCGTTGTTGTGATGTCTTCGCTTTTCGAAGTTTTGTTGAAATTGAAGAAAATGAAGAAATTCAGATGAAAAAAAGATCTTTCTGGTCGCCTCTTGACGAGATGGGTGAATTCAATGGAGATTTGAGGAGGTTCAGGGGATGAGAGACGACGTGTCAGGGTTTTCGGGGCTGCGTTTTCGGAAAAACAGGAACATCAATAACGCGCGATCAGCTAAGCTGCCTTGGGTAAATTTAATACCTTAATTCTGCCTAAAGTATAAGGCCCCAGACCCTAACCTCCAGACCCTAAACCCGAACCTCTAAGCTCTATTTTGGTCCACATAAGAGCGACCAATAGCGTGTTAGTGATCACATGGTCGAGGCTATGCGACCTTCCAAACCTTCCTTGTTTGAATTAGAGAAGACGAATTTAAGATTCTTAACTACTTGGAATAAATTATTCGAAGTTTTACATTGCTGGATAAAACGAACAGTTAGTTACTACATGTAAAATTGGATTTCCACTGGACAAATTATTATTACAAGAATAGTCGTCCGCTGATGCTATATATTTTTGGTAGTCTTCACGGATATTGTCTTTAGACGTATCTTCTAAGTACTTTCACACCTCTCAGTTTTATAGCTAGACGGCAGAAACAATGCGGAAAGAAGCTTGAAATCTGCACTTTTAAATTATAATCTTTGATCTGCTACCCAGTACGATTTCGAGGTCGAAGCGAGCTTTGGACTTGGCATTAGAGGAATAAAAGGTAACATTGGGAAACTGGCCATTGCGTGGGCCAGACACGTAATTATATCATTAAGACAGTCCTAGGTATGTCACAAGATGCATTCATTCGACTTTTAAACAAATCAACCGCCAAAAACTGTAACGATAGGTTTCCATGGACACATACAACCGCGGAGATGCAGTGCTTTAAAAGATGGCTTCAATGAAATAGATGACGCCAAACACAAGGAACGCCACAGCGCCGCCCAGAGTCACTATAGAAGTCAAGATTAGCATGTATCCTAGATAAGAAAGCAAGCAGAAGATACATACCAACACGCATGCTAACCCGGCCAGCGATGGCCCGTCCACCGATCACGGCGGCTGCGGTGCAGATTCCGTGACCAGCACTGGCGCCAATGGTCACCCACCAATAGTCCTGACCAGCTGCCATGGCGATAGTGGCAATTTGGCTGCGGTCACCCCATTCACCGAGGAAGGTCATGACAAAGGTCTGAACCCAGGCGGGGCTGAGAAGCAGGGAGAACAGGTTGCTTAACCCAGAAACGGCATTGTTGAACCGTTTTCGGGGCTGGGGGGAAGATCCACGGGACGAGGACGAGGACAAGCTCTCCGGAGGAGAGGGCAGGCGGTTTCCGGAGCCGCGGGTTTTGGGACGGCCAGCGCGACCTGCTTCGAGGTTGTGAGGAGTAACCGAGGAGCGACGGCGGTTCATGCGCAGCTGCTCGTGCTCCTTCTCTTCGAGCTCCGCCTCGACCTCTCGCATCTCTTCACCCACACCCTCATCTGGAGACATTTCACGACCTTCCTTGAGCATCTTCACACCAAATACCAAGAACAGAATGGCAGCCATAAATTTGGTGAAGGTTTTAGGGATAAGGCTAGGAACTGCATGGCCCAGGACGGCTGAAAGAACAGTCATACCAATCAAGGCGCTAAATGCGGCACTGAACACCACCAAGCGGTCGTGTCTCATGGCCATCAGGGCAGCCACAAGGAAAGTCTTGTCGCCGATTTCAGAGACGAGGATCATGGTGAACGAGAATATAAGGGAGTGCATTGGGCTGCCAGCATCGGGGATACCAGAGTCGTGGTCGTGGCTCAACGAGGACGAGGACGAACTCGAGTACGAACTCGAAGACGATCCCGAGGCGACCGAGTCGTGCCCAAGGCCCAGAGGATCCTCCTTAACCACGGCCGGGGGCTTGGGGTATGGGATATCGTGTGGCTTTTCAGGCAATCCGGATGGCTTCTAGATGCACGTTAATTCGAATTGTTTAAGGACCTCGGGCTAAAGTGAATGTATAAGAAGTCTTACCTCGAGCATACCAAGGCTTCCCGAACCCTCCGCAGACCGGATTGCACTCCCGGTTGTTGCGTCCTCGCTATCAGAGACCAACTTCTTCGTCTCGCTATGCGGCAGCGGAGGTGCCTCCTTTGGGCCCCCGGGCACTTTCTCCGCGACCAATTGATTCCCCTGTCCTTTCTCAGACACACCACCCTCTGTTCCGCGTGTCCCCTCTCTCGGCCCCGCCCGATATGGATCATCCATAACGCCGCCGTTTGAATGCGGGATCACCTTCCCTTCTTCGGTGCTCAGGTGCTCCGAGGAGGAGAGTTTGATGTCATATTTGGTGGAAACCGGATCGTTATCATCGCTTCCCTTGGCAACTTTGGAGTCCCGGTCTGCGTTGGTTTCCACCCACGGACCAGCGTGCGGTTTGCCATCCTTGCCATCCACGGGGACGTCCGGCGCCCCTTTAGCGACATTGGATGCGACGACATCCGAGTCTACGAGACGAGCGTTGTTGCCAACAGTCTCACGCGAGACCCGAGCATCTATGTTGTCATTGTATGTTGTGTCGGCGAGTGCGGCCGAAATGGCGGGAAGAAGGAAGAGAAGGAAGGACGACTGGTTGATCTTCATGATGAACAGCGGGTTTCCCGCAGAAAGAGTGAATGAGAGTTGGAATTAGCTTGTTGAATGTATAGTCGATGATCTTTCACGACAAGGAGCAAAAGAGGTGGAACTCTTATCGAAGGCGGGAGAATTCTTGATGCCACGACACTAGGTCGCGTGAGAGGGTCTGATCGACGCCCGACAAATTTAAACAACGGAGATAGACCTTGGAATGAATGTGTAAGAAAGAAATAGAGATATTAAGAAAAAGTATATCAGACAAATGACAGAAGAATCTAAAGCAAAGAAAGAGTGCCTTGAATTTCCAAAGGGGGTTCGCACGTGACCGCATGCGGCCCCCTGTAAATAGAAATCGGCTCGATCTGGATTCTCCCCCTGGACGCATCTGGCAAATAAGAATTTGGCAATTTGCAGTCATAGATGTTTGAATGGAGAGTAGCTAGTCTGCTATTTTCTAAATTATGCAGTATAACTCATGTTTTGCTATGTTGTACTGTGATGCTTGCCTGTGTTTCTCTTTATAAAGGACATTTAGGGCCACTAGTTAGTTAAAGGCTGACACGTATTAGGTAAAAAGTAGGTAAGGTCAATGTGTGACGTTCTTTGTAAATGGAGTGCTTAGCTATCCTTTATACCCCTAGAGGGTATATTACCTATACCCTTCGAACTCGTCACTAATAAACCCCAAAACTGTTGATAAATGGTAAATGGATAATCCATTCTGGCTGTACCCCCTCAACACTTTATTTGTTGTTTTTGGTCTGTAGAATGGCTGATGGGAAGTGGGGGCATTCTATTTATATATTTATTATACGTAAAGAATTTGGGACACCTAGTATCTCCTAGCCTGCTACTTGTAGTTAAGAAATTGGGTATAGTATCGCTCCAGGCTGGAACCTTTCTCCTCCAATTTGCGCAGCGGCTAAGGACTCGGAAGAAGCAAAATACCTTTCTTTGGTGTTTCTATAGAATTGTTAGATGTGAAACTCGGCACACGCTCGAAGAAGAGAACGACATATTCTGTGAGAAATGCAGCAATGTCGATTAGCTGAAATTCTTACACTTAGGATGTACTAACGGATTGCATCTCATGTTCAGAATTTTCACATAGTACTGCGTATAAATAAAGTAGACAGCCCCTGCTCATGGGCTTGACAAATATGTGAAATAACAGAACCAGGGCTCACCTTTTGGATTTACAATCACCAAAAATATAGAGATATCTGGATCTGTATAGAGATCAAAGGATTCATTTTTTTAGACTTGTAAACGCCAGCAGAATAACATATACATGGGTAGGCGCATTCAGCAAGGCGACAACAAGACAACAACAAAGCGAAAGGGTAGTGACCGGCCTATTTCACAATCTTAAAACCACGTTTAATGAGAGGGTCGGCTCCGACAGAGAGAGACTAGTCGAGGAAGTGACCCGACGTTGGTGCATATCGGAAGAACCCAATGACGTTCCCATCATCATCCCAAATTGCAGATCCACAAACACCATCTCGGAGACGTTCAAGAGATACTTGGCCCATATAACACCACCGAGTCTTTACCCATTCAAATTGAGGTTGACTTGGGTCACCAATAGGAACTCGCTTGCGGTCCCAAGGTCCACAGGTACCTTCACAATAGCCAACGAATGGGCTATTCATATAGACGGATGGACCGATATGCAAGTTATCGGCGGACACAAGACCTTGTAGCTGGGTAGGTCCTATTCCCTCAACAGGGGTCTCGAAAGTCTCATTAGTGAACGGGATATCATCATGCAGTTTCGCAATCGCAATGCCTGTGCCCGCGATCGCCGTGATTGGTTGACTAATCTCTTCACCACTAGCACAAGGATGGAAAACCCTATCGCCATCTAGAAAACTGTGGGAAGCAACTGTCATATATTGCTCCGAGTTAGAGTCTTCAACGAGCGCGCCCGAGGTAGTGCGGTACTCATAGCTGGTGATGGAACTTGTTCCAGAGCTCAGCATAATTCCAGGACGCAAGGTATCATACTTGCTATCGTCGATGACGTTACCTGTCGGGTCTGTGATCCTACGGGCCGGAAATCGTGGTCGTCCGACTTCATTCTCAAACAGATAGAAACAGTTGCAGCAGCCAATGGTACGGGGAACTCTAGAAAGATCTGTGCTCTCGTACTCCAGGACAATAATGAAGAACCTACCCCAGTATTGAACTTGTGTGATAACGATTTGGGTTTTAGTAAAGAACTCAAAGACAAGCTTAAAGGCATTCTCAACCTCAGAAGGTGGAAGGTTAGTGACGTTGGTATTAGCACTTATACGAAGATGTGATTTGCTCATTCGTTTTATCGGAGGCATTGAGCCATCATCGATTGGGTCAGTTGTGAAATATGGCTGAACACCAGCAATGGTGAGGGGCCATGGCTTGGGTGGGAGGGTGCTAAGCCAAAACCGCAAGAAAAAGCCATCAAATGACACTTATTTTATATCGGGAAATAGACGAGAGAGGAGCTCAGAATTTTGGTTGAAGCTTCCATCATGTCGGAGGTTAAATGGTAGAATGATGTGACGGGACGGCGGAATTGGGATGGTGAGTGACAACTCCGGCGACTCTGGTAATTCTGGATGCCCATGTGTTGTCTTGAGACGAGACCTCTTATCTAACATATTAATTAGGATATAATTCAAAAAGAGATGAAGATTTTGTGAAAACTTACCAATAGTACCTTCACCCAACGGTAAAAGATATTTGGATGGTGCAAATAGAGGTGAATTATCCAAATACAGGACAGTCTTGCCCGAAGAGAACACTGCATCGGGAGATAATATGCAGCTCTTATTTGGGGATGAGAGTTCAGATGATGGAGTGACTTTTTTCATAGTGACTGAAGTGGTGTGGGTGTGAGGGGTGCTAGAGGTAACAACGAGCACTTCTTCAATCTTCCAGGGTGTCTCCATAGTGATTCAAATAACCAGGACAGCGATCTGAAAACAGTGATAGATGTTGAGAGCTTGAAGAAGGGAATTTGGAGAAGGTGCCCGGTGACAACACTATCCTAATTAGGCTTAGTATCCTTATATACTTCAAGTTCTTCGTGTAATAATGACACGTGCTGATAGTACTTTGAGGCTACTTTATTTAAGCTTGGCGATCATATGATAGTCATGGTACCCAGCGAGTACTTTGGGACTTCTCACCGCCTCCCCACTGCCACATGGGATCGACATATTACACCTTTTTCTTTGGTCTCAACATTTTGGAGTTTCCACCTTTACCGCGTGACATATCTAACAGCTTATCTTATGGACCTCGAAAGACGCTAAGGCACTATATATTACTCGCCACTTGCAGATCTCCTCTACACTCGCTTCTCTTTCCCGCTTCAATAAGCTATGCCTTCAAGTGGAGCTCATTTGCTGCCTGGGTTAATCCATAAGCGTTGATCGCTTTCGCCCAGTGACAAATACATCACCTGTTCTTTGCGGGGTATTGATATCCTTACTGCTAGCACGTCGTCTATAGTTGCTAGTTTTTCCTGGCAGCATTTTTGGGCGGATTCCGGTATTACCTGAGATACCTGTGAGTGACTCCCGCGCTGCACCCTGTTGACCTAGAGGGCTTCCTCTTTTCTTGCACCGGTTCAAAAGACTCTGGCTAATAATGGGATGTTTAGCGCACTTGTTTCGCAAACGCCCCAGGCGGAACACTACTTTCCTGGTTCTCGAACAGAAGATGGTATCACCAGCAGAAGAACGCTCTGCTACAATGGAGGAGAACTCGGAGATACACCCTGTCGTGCAGCAGCCAGCTGCTTCGCGCTGGAGACGAGTCTTCGGAAGAAAGACTGAAGAAGAGCCCGAGTCTAGCGAGGATCAGACCTATCGCGCCAAATCAACGCTGGGAATCCTAAGTGACAAAGAGACAGATGAAGTTCCTGGTGAGTAGAAAGCCCCCTGCCACCGATAGAAGCAATATTGGGAAACGAGGACTGATAAGTGTCTGGCATGGTTTAGGAACGGTGCTTCTGTTATCATCAAATCGCAATGAGCCTCTGGGAATGAGACATCAGCCGCATCGGACATCGACATCATCTATATCCTCGTCGTATCGTCCCTCGCGATCTAATTCTCGAACCCGGTCAACGATTCCAACGCAGAAGAGAACAGCGGACGGACAATTTGTGCTTGACCCCCAACCGGATGACTCCGTAAATGACCCTCTGAACTGGCCTGTGTGGCAACGAGACACCGCATTGGTCTCACTAGGCTTCTATTGTTTGATGGGAGGCGGCATGACCCCCATTTTGGCAGCTGGGTTTAACAATGTTGCAACCGAGTACAATGTCAGCACGCAACAAGTGGCTTTCACTACGGGGTTCTATATGCTAGGCCTGGGCTTGGGGTCTGTCGTGATGTCGCCCACAGCCATCCTATATGGGAAACGACCGGTCTATCTCTTGGGAGCAACCCTGTTCGTCATCTCGGCAATTTGGTGCGCAGCGTCACCGAACTACCCAAGTCTCGTGGTCGCTCGTATTTTCCAAGGATTCGCCGTGAGCCCAGTTGAGTGTCTTCCCTCTGCTACCATCGCAGAGATCTACTTCTTGCACGAAAGAGCCTATCGAGTGGGCATATATACACTCTTGCTACTAGGTGGAAAGAATCTGATCCCCCTAGTGAGTGCCGCCATCATCGAAGGCCTGAGCTGGCGCTGGGTATTTTGGATCGTCGCCATGATTGTAGGCATGTGTCTAGTCTTGCTCTTTTTCTTCGTCCCCGAAACCTTTTGGGACCGCACACCCCGTCCCCGTGTGCACAAGAATAAGAGCCCGCGTATCACTGGTCACAGCGTCTCTGACCTCATTTCCAACGGGTTCCGTGGGCGGCGCCCTCATGTCCAAACCCAGGACGAGTCTGTCGACCAGGCCCATGCAGATCCAGCACTGGCACCGAAGAAACCCAAGCACACGCATGTTGGGTTCGCGGATGACCACCCAGAAGACGGAAACCAGGCAGCCGAGACTGAAAAGTCCGATTTCATTTCCGAGGCTGGCAATGCTACCAATGGCGATCAAATCACCACTCAACCGCCGACTCCAGCTAATGAGAAAGGCGATGACTTCCTCCAACCACTACCTCACGCTCTTGTACCCGGCGCACACCCAGATGACCTGGAGACAGGTCGACCGGCCGCCATGTCGCCCGCGAGGACCGAGTCACTAGAGCCAGCCGGGACACTGCCCGCAACCCTACAATACACAAACCGACTTCGTGAACGCCCGAAGATCCCATTCTCCCAATTACTTCGAGTGTGGAACGGACGAATCGCGCAGGATAGCTGGTTCCGAGTCGCCGTGCGACCATTTGTTCTATTCGCCTATCCATCTGTGCTCTGGTCAACAGTGGTATACTCACTATCGGTTGGCTGGCTGATCGTGCTTTCGGAGTCGGTTGCACACATTTTCGAGGGCAAAGAGCACTACCATTTCACCGCGCTGCAGACAGGTCTGGTCTACATATCGCCGTTTGTTGGCGGTCTCCTGGGAACCGCAGTGGCGGGCAAAGTATCGGACATTATCGCACGATTTATGACCAGACGCAATGGCGGCATTTACGAACCCGAATTCCGTCTCGTCATGGCACTTCCCATCGCTTTGTCAACTGTCATCGGTCTGATGGCTTTTGGTTGGAGTGCTGAGATCGGCGACTCTTGGATTGTGCCGACTATCTTTTTTGGTTTGATCTCGTTTGGTTGCTGCTTGGGCAGCACGACGGCCATCACCTTTTGTGTAGATAGTTATCGCCAGTATGCTGGTGAGGCGCTAGTGACACTGAACTTTAGCAAGAGTATGTTGAACCATCATTTGTATTCTTTGTTCGATTTATCTGGTCTAACCCATTCTCTCTTGCAGATATCCTCCACGGCCTGATTTTCTCTCTTTTCATCGTGGACTGGCTCGATGCCGATGGTTCACGCACCGTGTTCCTGTCTATCGGCGGTATCCAGCTTTTCTTCATGCTCATGTCGATTCCCATGTACATATACGGCAAACGAGCTCGCATGTGGACGGTGCGTAAGCGTCTTATGGAACGTCTTTAATTTGGCTTATTGAATATTCGTCGAATATCTTTTGCATTGCATTTCTTTTTCTCTGACTACATATATCTCGGGAGGCTCACCGCTGTTGGGGCACCACTGTTGGGGGTTGTTTTAGATATTCTTTTTGGGATGTTACATTTGGAGGTAGTTTATACTGGGAGCGTTTGAAGGGTCTTGAGCGGATCGAGTATATTATCGAGCATTATATCAATATCACAATTTTTAATGACATCTTAGTCCTTTACAAATTGCAGTAGGCTGCAATGCTATCGGGACATCTTTCTAATGAAGTGGTTGATTCTACCAGTCAACAACTAAAGACAAAAAGCCAAGCTGGTTATAGTGCACGAAATAATACTCCAAACTCACGGATGAAGTAACCAGTAACCGGTTTAAAGAATCCAAGCGGGTCTGAAGGCAATAAAATAACAGCATAAGCTGACGACAGCTCGGAGAGAAGCCGAAACTTTTAAGCTGTTCCACCGTCTGAGGGCACATCATAAAACAAATTAAAGGTTAAATTCACCGAGGTTGCTCCGAGTTGGAGTATATTCTCAACGCTAGGCTCTATCAGGGATGAGACCCCCATTACAAGGTTCTCAACCATCTTATCTGATGGAAGTCCGCCGTGCCAAGTGTTGAATCTTTCTTGGCCTGTTTACGTACATCTGATTAGGAGCTTCGGCCCTTCGCACCGTGATCAGCTCACCGTGGGTTGAGCTCGGCGTTGTTAGACTTTTATCAATCTCCGAGGTCCATAAATAGTAATGATATCGAAGTCCTTTTTTGAGTTCAAAGTTCTTTATTTTCTTTGACAGCCTGAGTTAGAAGCCTGCTATATATCATACCCGTATCGAATTGCGATCATGGCATTTGATACTTCGGAGTCGAAGTCTGTGGATGTGGTGTCGGCGCCTGTCCGTGAAGACATTTACGCCCCATCAGAAGAATCTGACGATGCATCTGATGGAAAGAAGCCACCTCCGCTTGCAGCAAAGTTATGCGCAGTCGCACTGATATCGTGTATTAGCTTCGGCTCGCACTGGAGTTCTGGCGTGACGGGTGCTATGAAGACCACGATCAAAAAGGTACTGAATACCCAAGATGTCGATTTGAAGGATTCACTGACGGAGTTTGGTGACAGCAAATGCATATCGACAATGTTCAATTTTCGCTTTTGGAAGCCAGCGAGAATTTTATGGCAACAGTTTTGCTTTTAATAAGTGGTGTGATTACCGATCGAGTCGGCGGAGCTGGTATGTTGTCGAATCTGTCAAATCAGCGAGAGATATCCTGACCAGTCCTTTTTCATAGAGATGATTGTTTATGGAAATATCGTCTATACCATCGGTTCTATCCTTGTCGCTGCCGCCGCGACCGTACGCTCTTTCGACTTCATGATCGGAGGTCGAGTCATTCTCGCACTCGGAGATATCGCCACACAAATCGCCCAGTATAAGATGTTTTCCTCTTGGTTTCCTCCTAGCAGTGGATTTGCATCCACACTAGGCTTTGAGCTGGCTATTGGCAAGATTGGAGGATTTGTTGGCAAGTCGACGGCCAATATTATTGCAAAGGTGATTGCTTTCTCGGGTTGACTTGGTTAAGGCACTGCTGACAGGAGAGTAGAAAACCGGAAACTTTGCGTGGGTCTTTTGGACATCGGTGTTTATGAATCTCTTCACAAATGTGGCTACTGCAGGGTTCTGGTTCTTTAACCAGTATTGTAACCGCCACTTCAAGGGACGACGCGATGAAGCTACCAAAGAGCAACTGACAGAAAAAAACAAAAAGTTCGAATTTCATAAGGTGTTCGAGCTCCCCTGGACGTTCTGGGCTGTTATGGCCTTTTCTGTGTTTCAAACGAGTGCTGCGACAGTGTTCAGTCAAAATGCCACTGAGCTGGCCGAGAAGCGGTTCAATGTTGATTCTATCAAGGCCGGGTGGTATAGTTCTCTTTCGCAGTATGCAGGTACGATATGCATGATCATTAGAACTGGATACAGACTGATAAATAGCTAGGATTCTTCCTCGTTCCCTGCTTGGGCGTGTTCATCGATGTTCTTGGCAACCGAGCATCTGTTTGTTAGTTTTATCATCAAGATCCACAACATGCCTAATACTGACATCCCTACCTAGTGTGTACTTGCGGCCTCGGGATGTTATTAAGTATGGTCCTCATTAACTTTGCAACATCAAAGGCAGGCACAGGGGCTGCATTCGGCATCTACGCTGTTGCTCTGTCGCTCGGACCAACCTCCGTTATCGACAGCATTCGCACCACAATGTGGCACCAATCGGTCTTTGGATCTGCGTATTCATTGAAGGTCACCATGAATAATGCGTAAGTTTGATTCCCTAAACCCCGATAAATTGTGTTCTGCGCCAGAAGTTGACATAGGAAACAACAATAGCATGAGCATTATAGTTCGGATTATAACCGGAGCTCTGCAGGACGCAGATGACAATTCATATCGCCGAGTGGTACAAGTCTATCTAGTTCTCGCTGCCGGTGCTTTGATTGTCGGTGCAGCGATTCTGATCGGCTCGTTTGTGACTGATAACCTGGCGGTGCTACAGTGGACTCGGCATAAACGGTTGACATCGGGTGCGGAAATTATCGAGCGAATTCGAGAGCGCAGTTTGGTAGCCCAACACCGGCGCACTCGGAATATTTCGTTAATTTGCTTCGGGGCTTTAATTTTGTTGACACTTGGGTCATGGGTGGCGTATATCTGGGGGGCAGTGACCGGTCATAATTCCTAGTCGAGTAAGTTGAGTTGAATACAACATATGATTTCGTGAGGCTTCGATGATTGAGTTTATGACGGAAGAGACCATTTCTATATCGTGAATCAAGATCACCCATATCAGGTTATGTATTCGCCACCATCGTCATGTGGTTCGGGGGGCTTGCGCTAGCTCTCCGTGTACCTTCGTGCCAACCCCTGACAGAAATGACGTTTTTTTTTTCAAATGACGGCATTGGCATGTGGATGCCCTAGGGCTGGTAGCGATGCTGAGATACGGTTCAGATTATAAGACATGAAGCAAGGAAAAACAAGCTACAATTAGCAACATTTGCTGGTCTATAGATCGTGAAGATTCATTGGTCTACTGGGCTTTGATCGTGCCTGATCTTCATGGCCAATAATATTGCCTGAGGCCATCCGCCAATGATCTACAACCTCAGGACGCCACAAAACCACTGGACAGCCACTGAAACCAACTGCCCTCCACATCTTGTCCACATTTCTGCTGTCCACTGGACGCCCCCTGGACGCCCCCTGGGGCCTCCTACTCCATCATGCTCCTGTAAATTGTATGCTGGTGTGCCGATCCCAAAATGACGGACAATCACACGAGAAGTGGTGGAGCAGGTGTACCGCGTGCCGAGCGCTACTTCTTGGATGTTCTATGGAGTATTTCTCCCTTGACCCACCCGCTACCTTGACAGATGAGATCCCTGTACATATGTTGTACTCCGTATCCGCACTTCACCTGACTTGCTGTTCGGCTGTGGAGAGCCATCTCTAAATCGAGAAATCTCCAGGGCTCACTTTCCCTTTCTCCAATAATTCGTGACTAATCCAGCTACACTCATCGCTCCAATTTCCAACCTTTTTGATAACTTCTTTTGTGTATTTCGACCTCTCCTAACCCTCACCACCCTGCCTTGGTCTTCGCCGGGTGATAACTTGATCAAACTCGAAATCTGGAGTCCGAGAATGCAGCACTGTATTCTCACTCTTCTAACGCTAGCCCCAAACCATGAATGTTCCTAGGACACGCCAGGATGGCCTACATAACGCAGATCGCAGGGCGAGGGAGCTATACCGCTACTACCAGCCTGCTTCGCAACCTGAGGCGGTTCCATCTTGGCTTTCTGCGAACGATGGATTTCCTTTCTCTGCAGTTTCAGGACATACCCTCACTCCACCGATCTCCGAAGGATCACTGCCTTCACACAGTAGTGGGACTTCCCGACCAGCGACCGCAATGGGCTCAGATGCTCTCGTGCTGGGTACCTCGAATAGTACCATGACGTCATTTGCCCAGCTAGCAGCCTTGCGCTTAAACGTCGAGCGCGTGTTTATCTCTGTATTAGATCGTGATCAACAACACATCATTACCGAAGCTACAAAATCTCTCAATTTGAATGATCCCACAATCCACGACGACAACGATGACCTCTGGTTGGGGGCACCCGACACCCGCAAGACATGGAGTGTGTGCAAGGTAAGTTTGCTCAAACGACGAGCTGGCTGATCCGGTGCCACTGTCGAACTCGATCACATTATTCAATTACTCCTTGATTTTGACGCCGTTCGACAGGACACTGTTTCACTACCTCCCAACGACCGCGAGAATGCAGACTATCAATTTCTAGTCGTCAACGACATGACCGAAAATGAGCGCTACAAAGACCTTTCCTTCGTCGCGAAGGACCCCAACTTTCGCTTTTTCGCGGGAACTCCCTTGACAACTGAAAAGAACATCAACTTGGGTTGTTTTTTCGTGTTGGATAAAAAGCCTCGAGATGGGTTGACACCGCTAGAGAAGGATACACTGGGATCTCTATCAATGCTTGTGGTGGATTACTTGAAGGTTTGCAGACAGGCTTCCGAAGGACGCCGGGCCGCGCGCCTTTCTCGCGGGCTCAGCTATTTCGTTGAAGGAAGTTCTAGTTTCGTGGATAGTATCGACCGGTCGCGCACCAACAGCGTCGGTATTCCATCAGCAACTCCGCCATCCTCCTATAGTCGACCGAGTGCCTCTGGTGGCTCTCCTGAGTCTCGTGGGAATGGCTCAGAAAACGCATCGCAAGAGACATCCAATAGTCCACCAAACGACCGATCACTCAGTACCGACGCGCGCTCCTTCAGCTCTGTCCCTTCCGATTTGAAATTGGACTACGATTCGAAGCGCAGTAGTTCGAGATTGGACAGTAGTTCAAAATTGGACAGCGGCTCGAAAGTAGAATCGGGCACGGTAGAGAGCTCTCTGCCGGAATGGCTGACCAGCAGCAGCCGGAATCGGCTACCACCCGATGATTCGCAAGGCAACTCTTGGTGCTTCCGCAGGGCGGCCAACTTACTTCGAGAGAGTCTTGACCTGAATGGAGACAGTGGAGTCATCTTCCTGGAGTCCAACAATAACCCTTTGATGGACGCCGATATGGGGAGCGATTGTTCCGACACAGGCGGACCTGCTTCTGTTCTGTCAGCATCAACAAATGAAGAACCATTTGCTCCACAGGCAGGGTCGATGGCTACGTGCGCTGCGGCCAATTTAGACCGGTCTTTCCTGCAATTGTTGCTCAGACGCTACCCCAAAGGAAAGCTATGGTCTTTCCATCGCGATGGGCTCATCTCGACATCAGACGATGACGACCAACAGCCTCAAGACAAGGGCCATCTTGGCACCAGTGCCACCAGTCGGTCCCCACCGAGTGCAGCTGCACAACCTCCGAAGCCCGTACGAAAACGGCGGAAAGCTGCGGAGAACTCAGTACTCAACAAGTATTTCCCAAATGCTGCGCAAATTATGTTTGTGCCTTTGTGGAATGCTGTTTCTTCGCAGTGGTTCGGAGGGTGTTTCTGCTGGAGCACAATCGAGACCCAGGTATTCAGCACCTCAGTCGAGCTCAGTTCGGTGCTTGGATTTTCATCGTCCATCATGGCCGAATATAGCCGTGTTGAATCCCTCATCGCGGATCGCCAGAAGGGTGATTTTATCGGGAGTATCTCGTGAGTTTATCTTGGTCTCTGGGGATATTTGCCATGCCTGACCGCAGTTACTAACTACTATATTTTACTAGACACGAACTTCGTAGCCCCCTTCATGGAATTTTGGCCGCTGCCGAGTTTATGAACAGCACCCATCTCAATGAATTCCAGGACTCATTGCTTGAGACTGTCAATTCGTGTGGCCGAACATTACTGGATACAATGAACCAGGTACTAGACTTCAGCAAAGTGGTGTCTTTGGAACGGACATGGCGGTCAATGAAACGCAAGAAAGAGTCACCGCTCGATTACAGAGGATCAGACAAGCTGGCGCATCACTTGGATACATTGGTGGCTACCGATGTAGCTATTCTCGCCGAGGAAGTTGTTGAAGGCATATGTCTTGGTCATGTGTTCGGACAGAGCTCTACTGCTTCAGCTGACCTGCCCGTATTGATGCCACATCAAACAAAGCTGCAGACTCAGCGGTCCAATGTCGAAGTTGTTATCGACGTTTCATTCCGGGATTGGGTCTACCGGACTCAGCCGGGCGCTTTGCGGCGCATCATTATGAATCTTTTTGGAAATGCCATGAAATATACAGAATCTGGCCGTGTCACTATCTCCTTGGCCGCATCCAGTCACTCTGAAGGACGATCTCGGCGCCAAGGCCTCGAAGACTTGGTCACATTAACAGTAACCGACACGGGTAAAGGTATATCAGAAGAATTTTTGCGCGGCAAGCTTTACACGCCCTTTGCCCAAGAAGACGCCCTGGCTGTCGGTACCGGACTAGGATTGTCAATTGTTCGCAGTTTGGTCAAGGCTTTGAATGGAAGCATTCGAATTCGCAGTCGTCCTGGGGAGGGCACTGTCGTACAGGTATCCCTTCCCTTAGAGAGGCCTGTTGGCAAGGAAAGTCCGGTCATACAACCATCTGGACAGCTTGTCCAACAGCAAGAGACCTTGGCACAAACTCTTCTACTACGCGAGAGATACCCCGGTAGACGGGTCTCCATCTGGGGCGCCGACCCAACCGACGTGACTGCCGACTCTAACTGGTCTGAAATTGCCCGATACCTTTCAGACTGGTATGATATGAAGATCGTTGCATGGACACCAGAAGCCCATGTCGATATTGTGCTTATGGATGAAACCGATTTACCCAACTTCCGCACAATTGCACCCTCTGCCACTTTGCCTGCTCTTCTCGTCCTATGTCACAAGTCGGTGGATTACACCGGCGCGAAATCCGAGTGGTTGCCTCTTGCTTCCTCCGTGAACATCATCCGACGTCCCTGTGGACCACACAAATTAGCTCGAAGCGTAATGAGGTGTCTGACCCAAGATCAATCGAGATCCGCGACACCGGCTTCCTCTCAGAAACCATTGAGTCTACCGCTCAGGACGTCCTCATTGCCAGCACAATCAGCATTCGATTCGCCCGTTGTATCACCTGCCGATGACAATAGTGCCCCGGACCTGGACTGTCACGGAATCCGCCCCATGACGGTATCGCCACTGCAACAACCATCGCTGATCACCTCATTGCCCGAGGAGATTGCAGAAGCCCCTTTACCAGCACCGCTGGTAGAGGGCGGAGTCAAATCTTCGCGACTGGCAAGAGTGCTCGTGGTTGACGACAACCGCATAAATCTCAACCTGATGATGACTTTCCTCAAAAAACGCCAGCTGACGGAGCTCGACCCAGCTGAGAATGGCAAATTGGCTGTTGAGGCCGTCGAGCGCATGCAGAGCGGTTATGATATCATTTTCATGGATATGTCGATGCCTGTCATGAATGGTTTCGAGGCTACTCGTGCTATTCGCTCGCTGGAGAGGGATACGGATGGCCGCAAGCCGGCTATCATTATTGCCTTGACTGGACTCAGTAGCTCACGCGATGAGTCGGATGCTATGGCTTCTGGTGTGGACCTATTCCTCACCAAACCTGTCTCTTTCAGAGAAGTCTCGCGGCTACTGGGGGATTGGGAAAATGGTCGGATGGTAACAGAACGGAAGCTGGCATCTTAACAAGCATGGTCTTCTCCAGTTTGATTTGGCGTGCAAGCTTGTTCTGAAATCCTTGCATTGTTGATTCCTAACCCCCCACCTCTTTGGTTGGAACTTGGATGTTGCCCGTTTCCTTCTCTCGTCTCAATCTCGACAAACCTCACATGATCGGGATGAACCACTTTTTTCTGCTCTGGTTTTTGTTTTACCCATCATATCGCTATGATTTCAATCCGTCATTGACCTGAGAAGTGATCGGTCTTGATCATCAATACCAATTGATCCTATCAGACAATGAACGTGATGATATTTAGGCCCCCCTTCTCTCTCTCTCTCTCTCTCTCTCTCTACACACACACACACACACACACACACACACATTTCAACAACTCCTATTGCTTGAGCAATTTACGATTCACACGGCATGTGCCAAGCCAACGCTGGATACACGGGAAGCGACGGCTGGAGTTGGTATACCTTGTTTTTGCTTTTTGATTTCTCTTTTCTCTGTTGCTTTTTGCTTCTTGCATGATACTCAATATTGTACGGCGTGCATCGATCTAACCGCCCGGTGGTACAGAGGTGTCTTCTTTTCTCTTTTTGGATTTTATTTTGGTGATTGGAATTCACACGCACATAGATATCTGTTACTTCAGGTGGCGCTGGATCGCTCTGCTGGCCTTGCGATATGTATACGACTTGGGATGATGGCAAGATGACATGGAAAAAGTCATGATCACATTCTGTGAGAATTCAATATAGTTATGTACTTCTCATTTACACCCACGCATCTCGTACTCGGAATCATCCCGACAGCCGCAATCGCGATGTTCCGGTTTATATGGCGAGTGCGCTAGTTCGGCTTGTTTGACTGTTACGTAGTTCTTCGCATGCTCCGGCGCAGCGCTTGGGGGCGCGTATTGCCTTTGGGAGATCTGAGGCTCCCAGTGTCGGTGATCGACTTTGGCAACGGGATTGTAATACTCAAGGGTTGTGCATCGGGAGAGCGTGAGAGTAGAAGCATCAGCTGAGGCGATTGTTAGTATACACCCGGAATAATAGAGGTTGAGGACATGGATGGACATACCTGTGCATCTCTGCATAGTCAGCAGTTTACTCTGCAGCTGCGTATGACGACGTCAAGTTCAGGCTGTAAAGGCGATTGGAGTTGTTGAACAGAACATCAGCAGCTATCTTCATAGCCTGGGACGCAGTGAAGTCCCCATGTTGAACATAATCGACGAGCACCTGCATGGCAGAAGAGAATTAGCATCGGCAAAGGCAATTAGTAAAAAAATAAGATTGCAACTAACCGTCTCAAGAGCCTGCCGAAACTGCCGATTAGCCAACCAGAACGTCTCCGGGTGAAACCGGCCATCGGTACTCCAAAGTAGACGATTGGTAGGCGCAAGCTCCAAACTCTCCCGCAGAACCTTCACCTGCGCCTCTCGGCTAACCATAGGAAAGACCTTGCCGAGATCAACATAGACATTGGGATAGACCGAAGCCAGATACCCGGCTTCGCGCGTATAGGGGTATCCAGCGTGCAACAGGACAATATCCGCACCAGCATACTGAGCGATTAAAGGCTGCAGACAAGCAGGATTCGCCCGCAAAAGATTAATCCGAGTATCTCCAAGACCGGTGTGAAACAGCAACGGCTTCGCAACACCAGCCTTCTTCTTAAACGAGATCGCTTTCAGCGTCTGCTGAACTATCCAATCACAAATACCCTTATCATCGACCTCGAAGCCGGACCTGGTGGTTCCAGAATCGAGAATGCGAATCAATGATCCGCCGAGAGTTGTATCGTCGGAGGAATACGCATCAACGTCCAATCCAGTCCGACAGCAGATTTCAGATTTAAAGGCGACGACGTTGGGATCGTCCAGGGCGGAGGCGAGAGCATCTTGGAATCGTTGTCGGAAATTGTTCCAGACTGATTCACCGTTCTTGCGCGCGTTCGATACATCCAGGATTGTAGATTCTGCCAGAGCTTCGACTTGCACGATGCGCTTTGTCGCTGAGACCGTGAAACTATCGTGCCAGACGGAAGGTTCGATGTCTTCGTCGTCGCTGAGGTAGTCATCGAGGAGTAGTGCGTGCGTGCCTTCTAGAGATTTTTGGATGAGGCCATCGTAGTTTTCGCGCACGCTTTGATCGTGGGCGGATTTGATGTCGGTCCAGTTTGCGCAGGGGATGCTGTAGAGCTCGGAGAGCTGGGTTATAGCGCGCAGTGAAGGGAGGGTAGTGTTGGCATTTTCTAGGGCGCGACCGTGTGCCGAGGTGGTTATGGCCTCGATTGGGTAGTTTTGGTGGTCAGTGGCTGACTCGCGGTTTAAGAGGTTGTGGGCATGATTGTCAATTAGTGGGTGAGACTGAATCAGGTCTCGCAGAGGAGTGAGATTGTCCATGATGAGAATAATGAAGTTTTATGTAGTGAAGAAAATCTGATATTCAAAAGATCCCCAGATTTTATGTGGCCAATCAAAATATTTATTTCGTCTACAAGTGGATATAGTTGACCACTCACAGTTAACGAATTTCATTTCAATTTGGTGATATGTAGATCGAGAGATGATCGATAAAGAATATATAACATACTTAATATTGTCCCTCGAGAGTCATGGTGCCTGTTTTGGTAACCAAGTACTCATTGACAGCAACATCCTTTCCACTCTCTTTGCCATATCCAGACTCCTTGATACCACCGAAGGGAGACTCGGCAGCCGATGAGTTGCCTGTGCGAATGTTAGCATATAAACAGATTGAACTCATTAAAGGAAACTCACCTGTATTCATTCCGATCATACCCGCCTCCAAGTTCTCCAACAGACGCCACATGCGATCGATATTCTTGGTGAAAGCATAACTGGCCAGACCCATGCTGGTATCATTAGCCACCTTGACAGCCTCATCCTCAGTCTCGAAGCGATACAGCGCAGCAATAGGCGCAAACGATTCTTCCTGCGAGATGAGCATCTCCTCGGTCATCCCAGACAGAATAGTAGGCTCGAAGAAGTAACCCGGCTGGGACTTGACAGCATTACCACCCAAAATAACATCAGCGCCAAGACGACGAGCATCCTCGACCTGCGCAGAGGCTTTATCAATACTCCTCGGCGTAGTCAATGGTCCCATCGTGGTATCAGCCACCGCACCATGACCAACAACCAGCGCAGCCGTACGCTCCTTCAGAAGCGCAGCGAACCGATCATAAACACCAGCCTGGACATAGATCCGATTGGCAGTAATACAAGCCTGACCCGCATGACGCCATTTCAGCGACATGAGCTGGTCAACCGCCTGATCGAGATTGGCATCGTCGAAAACGAGGAAAGGACAGTTTCCACCGAGCTCGAGAGTCAATTTCTTAAGTCCATGCGCACAGTGCGCAGCAACCAACTTACCAACCCGCGTCGAGCCAGTGAAAGTCACCTTCTTAACAAGCGGGTGCTTACACAACGCCTCACTCAGCGCGGGTGTATTCTCCAAATCGGTAGTAAGCACATTCAGCACACCAGCCGGGATACCAGCACGATGCGCCAGCTCCGCCAGCACGAGCGCCGAAATCGGCGTCTCGGGACTAGGCTTGACGACCATCGTGCAGCCAGCCGCCATCGCGGCACCGACTTTCCGTAGAACCATGGCAATAGGGAAGTTCCATGGGACAAGGGCGGCTGCTACACCGATCGGCTGTTTAATGGTAAACACGCGACGATTCGGGGCCGCGGCTGTTGATACACTGCCCTGGATGCGCTCTGCTTCGCCGGCAAACCACCAGAGGAAGCCGAGGGAGTAGTCGATCTCACCGTATGCTTCTGCTAGTGGTTTTCCGGTTTCGTGGGTTACGATCTGGGCGAGGTCATCGCGGGCTGCGAGTGTCAGATTGTGCCATTCTAGGAGCCACTTTGCGCGCTGGCGGGGGTTGACTTTGCGGAATTCCTCGAAGGCTGTGTGGGCATTTTCAACGGCGGCGGAGACATCTTCTGCGGCGTTGGCGGGGCAGCTGGCCCATGCTTTGTCGGTGCCGGGGTCTGGATATGTTAGTTGTGATCTGAGATGTAGAGCTTTGAAGTGACATACCAAGTACTTCAAATCTCTTTCCGCTCTTTGCGCCGACCCATTTGTCGCCGACAACGGAGTCGAATTTTAGTAGACTGGGATCCGATAGCTGGGGAAATCACGTTAGTCCCCGGTTATCTCAACTCGGACATCTTGCCGAATACCCCGCGAAAGGATAAAGACATACCTTGAATGGGAGTTGATATTCCATATTTGCGTAAGCAAGTTGCTTTGATTAAATTATAGTGTATGAGCGTAAGAGAGTGAAAGAGTGGAGGGAAAGTTCATAGCTATATACTGACCCCTCATCCCCCAATTGGGGTAGATCGGCCCGTTTTGATATCCTTCTTCTTCAAGAAGGCTATTAGGGCTATTAAGGCATATTAAACAATACTATCAGCACTAGCTGGTCTCCCTTCTTGCGACCGACTATCTCCCACCCTAGTCTCCATACTATACCCGACCGTGATATCAGTTCTTTTCATAATCCCCTTACCATCATCACTACTCAAACTAGGACTATCTCCACCCTTATACTTACGCATCTCAAATTCAGCAACAACATCGACACGCGGTCCACCCAGCGGATCCGCCATTTCGTAATCGCGGGAGTATATCGATGGCAGCGTGGGTACGGGAGCTTTGGAGAAAATGTTCGAGTGGAATCTGCGAGAGCCGACGCCAGCGCCGGAGCCGGTGCCGGCCCCATGAGTGGATTTATCACGTGAGCTGCCGAGAAGTCTGGGGAGGAACCGGCTGCTGATAGCTTTCATCGATGGACCACAGGCTGTAATTACCGCGAGGTTGACTTCGATTGCCGAGCTGCAGAATCCGATCGAGTAGGTTGAGTCTGAGCCTTCTACAACGGAGAAGTAGGCATTGGCGATGACTATGACGCGCCAGACTCCGACGGCGGTTGCGCTGTGCGGTTGTTAGATGGATGTATGGTGGATTAGGGTTGGATTTGGGGAATTTTCTTACACTCCACCCATACATAGAATGACACACACGGCGATCTTGCGTCGGATGGGCATTTGAAGGCGCACGGTGATTATGACCGGGATTGAGAGGACCATTAGATCGGTGAAGAGGTTTATCGCGGCGCTTGAGACGTAGAATGCGCCTTGGTTGATGCATTTGCCGCCCGGGATGCTCAGGTCGTAGACGTATTGTACTGGCTGGCATTGAAAGACGTCGACGATGAGGACGATGAAGAAAAGGAGGCCCACGATGGCGAAGGAGCCCCAGATGAGGTATTGGACCGCGCGTGAGCGTGACTCGAGTCGGCGTAGGAATAATAAGATTGAGATTTTTACCGCGGCCAAGGCTGGATTGTAGAGGTGCTGGTTTGCGAAGTTCCACTGTTCGTGTGAGTCTCTGATGTGCGGGAGCTGTGAAGTAGACTTACCTTTCGCCCAAGTGTGGCATCATGGTCTTTGGGGATGTCCCAGATGTGAATGCCGACATAATTGAATTTGATATCTGATTTTGCGAATTAGTCGTTGCTCACTTTGCACTCAAATGAATTGCTTACAGTTCCATGCGGTAATAGACTGGGAGATGGAGAGGAGCTAGAAAATGAGGCGTTTAGCATACACTCAACAACCTGGGGATCTGGGGATCTTACATATCCCACGAGAATAAACCAGTCATCTAAAAGAATCTCGTTAGCACTTCTGATAGCCCAAGTCCAGTACCGATCTGGATTGCATACCGCTTGTTAGAGATGTTCGGGATAACCATCGGCTCCACATTCGAAGTACAATTGCAATGCCACTGAGAACCGTGAACACGACCATTAGACCCAGGGCAAGTCTCTGTTGGTGGTCATCAACCATCGTGTATTCCCCTCAGCGCATATGGGTTCTCGAACAGCCTGCGACCTCGATCTTAGGATGCAGGGTTAGATATTATGGCCATCCCAGCGAGTCAGGATCGGCAGCAATATCCTTCTTTGGCCTTGGCTTTTTGAAATCCGGGGACATTTTCAGGGATTTTTTTCGATAAATTGACACAATGAATCAAAATTGATCGCGGTGTCCGCATCTCAGTTCTATTGTTGTCGATTCTCGGTAAATAAGTCTGACTGATGAATGCCGTGTAAGGGCCCATGCGTTCATTTAGATTGGATTGCTTGAATTCACTGGGGTGTTCTTCTGAGCCGCAGTTCTAGACCACAACCTCGTTTCTCGTGTCTCATTTGAATGTTGTTCAGTGTAGGTTTCAAACCCCAGCTAACGATTGATTCAGCACACAGAGAAAGATACAAGCCATCAGCTAGCGCAGGTACGGAATGTTTGCACAGGGAATAGCCACATCTCGTATACTTGTGGGGAAATTAATAGTTGTCGTGTACCATCTCGGGGGAGCGCAGTTCATCCTTGTAAGGGGGGCTAGTGGGAGAACCCCCTAATTATACACTTGCGGGACTGTGCCCCAGATGAGTGGTGAATTCCACTAATAAGTAAGGAAATGCGCCCAAGGATTTCATCCGTGCTGATGCCATAGAGTGAATTTGAGGGCTCGAGATCTCGGATAAAGTATTTGGCCCCCGATGAATTGTTCTCCGGGTAGCAAATTTTCCTTTCTTGCTCTTGGCAAAATTAGATGAGATATGCACCATTCTCCTAGTTCCTTGCGTTCGGGCTTCTCATTGCCCAGAAATTAGATTTGATCTACTCAAGTGGATCGTGGAATGTGGAGAATGGAGTCGAAGTGTGGCCTGATGGGAGTCCGAGAAGTTCTCGTACGGGGTAGCGCGTGTTCGTGAAGTCCGTTATTGTTCCTGTTCCTTGTGACTGAGAAGTCTGTATCCTTCCGGCACATAGACCCGGTTAGATTTTTTTATACATGGCGACTCTGTACGGAGTACCATAGGGCAATTAAGCCGGACTCTCCGTCGCAGTTAAAGTGTGGCTTGAAAATTCCACGGGGAAAAGGCCCCATCCATCTCTAGCTTCGTCTGTTGATTAAGAGACGCGAGTATCCCAAATTACTGTGGGGAAGACAGATTTCCCTTTTGGGATGTCAACATGGGTGCCCAGGTACTTCGTGCTCCGTACTGTATTTTGTACTTTGAGCTGGCGATGTGGATTTGGTTTAAAAATCCCCATTGAGCATTTTTTTCGGTCTTTCCAATCTCTGACATAGCCACTTCCCCTGAGCACCCTCACCATGGCCCCTTGTTCGTTCATGACGGGCGTTTTGCTCGGTGCTCTCCTGCTGGTATCACCCGGAGACGCTCGTGCTGGGCGGACTTCCTCTGCCTCTGTAGCCGCCGAGCCGCTATTTGAGAGCGAGAAGTTTCAATTGACAGATCAGGACATTGCAAAGCTCAGCCAGGACCAGTCAGCCTTGGTGAAATTTGGGAGCGATGGCACTGATAAGACAACGCGGTCTACAAGGGGATGCAAGGTATTCCCCGGTGACCGCAATTGGCCATCACAGTCTAAATGGTCGGTCTTGGATCACCTCCTAGGTGGTGCGCTCATCAAGACAGTCCCCCTAGCAGCGGTCTGCTATTCTTCGTGGCCCGAATATGACATTGCCGAATGTGAGAAAATCACCTCGCAATGGACTGATTCTCATCTGCAGTTAGTCACACCCCATGTATGAAACATAGACATTGTATACTGAATCCATGATTAGTGCCGAAGACCCGGCCTCGGCAATGTGGCCTCTGTTCGAGGGAAGAACCTGCCTGCCCACTACCAATGCCTCTGCATCTTGCACGGTGGGTGGCTACAGCACCTATGCGGTGAATGTGAGCAATGTGGCTCAAATTCAGCTGGCTGTCAACTTTGCACGCAACACGAATATCCGCCTGGTGATTAAGAACACCGGTCATGACTTCAATGGAAAATCAACCGGTGCTGGTGCTTTGGGTATCTGGACCCACCACCTCAAGGATATCGAATACTATGAGAACTATCGTGGTTCCGGTTACCATGGTCCAGCTGTCAAGCTCGGCTCAGGCGTACAGGCCATTGAGCTCTATGAAAAGGCAAAGGAACTTGGATTCACTGCCGTGGGTGGCGAAGGCATGGTGAGTTGGTCAATGCACAAATATCAATATTCGGCGTTTCAACTGACCTTGCTAGACTGTCGGTGTCGCCGGTGGCTACGTTCTCGGCGGCGGCCACTCGCCCATGTCCAGCGTGTACGGCTTGGCTGCTGACCAAGTGTTGGCTCTCGAGGTCGTTTTGGCCAACGGACGCTTCGTGACAGTGACTGAAGAAAGTGATCCCGATTTATTCTGGGCTCTGCGTGGTGGAGGTGGTGGTATGTTTGCTTTCGTATTGTCTTCTCGAAATTCCATTTAACGGTTTCCCACCAGGTACCTACGGAGTCGTCACTTCCCTCATCTCTCGTGTCTACCCCAAGGTCGACGTGACTGTCTCGACATTCAACTTCTCCACTGGCAAGGATATCTCCCTGGAGACCTTCTGGGCTGGCCTCAAATCATACGTGAAGCGATTCCCAGCTTACGCCGACGCCGGCACCTACGCCTACTTCTGGGTGCTGCCGACCGGCCCTGACGCCTTCACTTTCCTAATGAACCCTTTCTTTGCAGTCAATCACACTGTGGACCAGTACAATGCTCTCGTCAAGCCATGGTACGATGAGCTCCGCGAGCTGGGCATCTCAATCCAGCCAAACACAACCTACTATGACAACTTCCACGACGCCTGGAAAGCCGGATTCCCTCTCGAGACCGTCGGCTCATCGGTCTTGAGAACCGGCTCTCGCCTCTTCCCACGCGAAAATTGGGACACTCCCACCTCACTAGACGCGACCTTCGATGCCCTGCGTGCCACTCTAACTGAGGGCTTCGCATTACTCGCATTCAACATGAAAGCCGAGCTACAGGATGGCTTCACCTCGAACTCAGCGAACCCGGCACTCCGCAAAATGCTGATGCACGCCATCACATCGACGGACTGGACCAACACCACTTCCGATACCGTTATTCAATCCAAGATGGATGACCTCACTAAAGCCATTGGCAAGTGGCGCGCTGTGAGCCCCGACTCCGGCGCGTATATGTCCGAGTCGGATATCCAAGAGCCGCACTTCCAGCAGGCCTTCTATGGTACCAATTACAACCGCTTGTATAGACTTAAGCACCGGTATGATCCGACTTCCTTGTTTTATGCGCCTACTGCTGTTGGCAGTGAGGATTGGGTTGTGAAGAGCCTTGATGGACTTCCCGATCAGAATGGTCGGCTGTGCCGTGCTTAAAATGATGTTTATGATAGAATCTAGATTTGTATAGTGAATCCTTTATAGACATGAACCATGTACAAAACAACTGAGTTAGATTGGTCTGCATGGTTTCTTTTTTGCCTCCTATGTTATGGCTTCGGTACTTTTGTTACGATATTGCAGCATCACTCGATTATATTGCCAACTTGAAGGAGATGTAGTTCGCTGTGTTCTCCTAATGAATGGGAAATATCATGTCTTCCAGCTGTGGGGTGACCTGTGCATTATCCATCTCGGATATCCGAGCTCATCAACACCAACAACTCAGGGCTATTCTCGTGTCATACGGAAAAGTGTTAACCACCGCTCCATTCATTAAGACACAGCCTGTTTCCACCAGAACTTACATGAGTCCTCAGGGCACCTGGAAATAGCATGGATATCCAAACCCGGGGATAAGACTTTTCCGGGGCATCAAGTCGGAAAACCGGAAAAGCCCCCGCGATGCGTGGGATTACCCCAACATAGGGCATTTACCCCAGATATAAAGTCATCTCAAGCGAATGAATTGCTATTGGTATTTTACACCACCATCATGGCTACAGTAACCCTCACAACTACTGAAGGCGGCTTGGAGCCACTCCAGACTAAAGATATCGCGTCTCGCCTATTGAACGGCACACTTCACTCCCAATGGCCCGCGTTTGAACAGTTCGCAACTATCGATGGCCTATTGAAATCTCATGCCGCTCAGCCAGATGAGGCGCAACGGCCCCTGGTATGCTATCCCATTCGCGGAGCGGCGGATTTCGAGGAGCATACAGCCAGCGACATTGATCGGTATACTGATGTTGCTGTTCGCTTTTATATGCAGCAAGGACTTGTACCTGCGGTAGGAAAAAGCCAGTTTTCATGTATCAACCTCAACTAATGATCTCCTAGGACCCAGGTCTTGAGCAGGCGCCTGTTGTTGCGATGCTAGCTGGATCTAGCTTCGAGGTCGTGGTGACTTTCTTCGCGCTGAACCGTCTTGGCTATGCCGTGCTTTTCTTGTCGACGCGTCTCACGGCCCCGGCTTATATCAGGCTAATGGAGATGGCAAATTGCAGCCAGATTATTATCACAAAACAGTTTCAGCAAGTTGGAACTGAAATTTGTACCGAGAGTCCTGGTTGCAGTGGCTTCTCTCTACTACAAAGAGAGGACTGGTTCAATCGTCCTCTTAGCACTCCTCACTTTGAACGTCCTGATGCGGATCCATCAAGAGAAGGCAAGAAGATTGCCTGGATCCTACATTCCTCTGGCAGTACGGGGTTCCCAAAACCGATTTTCCTTACCAACCTTCAAACACTCGCCAATTTCCGCAAGAGCTTCGGCCTGCGCCTCTTCACCATCAGCCCGCTCTTCCATTCCCATGCTCTGATGGAGCTCGGACGAGCATTGTTCACAAGAGCCCCAGCATACCTAGGAAACCATTCCCTTCCAGTCACATACCAAAATCTTTTCGATGCTCTCCAGATGGCCCGGCCACAGCAAATCAGCGCCGTGCCATATGTGATCAAACTACTGGCAGAGAAGCAAGAAGGCATCCAAGCACTGGCTAGCCCGCAGCTCGTGCTATATGGCGGCTCCA